GAACGGTTGCTATGCAACGGATTAGCCAATCATTAACAGGTAATCATGCCCTCTCTTGATTACTAAAAATGCCCTCGATTAAGAAAAAAATGCCCTCTCTCTCAACCAATCAGCGCTCAGTAATTTTGCCCTTTATTGATAAACCTCGTAACCAGGGTCTCTCTTTCAATCCCTCGCTTGCTCCGGTGAGAGATCCTGGAGACGAGGTTAACGATGTCTGAACCTTGCCGTGGAATAAGCAAGATAACAAATAAAGGAACAGTAAAGAACAGTATTGATCTTTCCATAAATACATTAAGATTACCGAGGAAAATAATGGGACCCTTAAAAAAAAGGGCAAAAAAAGTAAGAACAAGAGTTAGAGAGGATTTCATGTTTTTTTCGAATTAAAACAAAATCAAGCGCGTCGAAAAGAACGTAGAATTCTGACATGAATACGGAAGAAATTTGCTTCACTTCCGCAAACTAGGGGCGTTGAATGTTTTCTCCGAGAAAAATAGCGTTTTCTGAAGAGCAGCATGATTAAACAAATATGGGGAGAAGACCAATATGGCGTGACGTTCTTTTCTTCAGGGTTGTTTACCTGCATCATTTTGGAGATCAATATACCACACTCCTTCGTCTTTTCCTGTTAAATGAAACTCGAACACTCCCCTCACTTCATTAACAAGTTGCTTGTTACATAAGCTCTTTATGATATCGAAAATTCCATCCACTCCTTCCGCACTATTTCCTTGTGGAACAGTATCTGCGGTCTTCTGAGCCTCCATAATTTTTTTAGCATCCGAACCATCAACGTCCAAGAAGAAGTCCGGTAACAGTTTGCCTCCTGTAAATGTGATGAAAGGAGGGTAATAGTCACACAAGCAAGACTAGGGTGTATTGCGTGACACGATATAAAAAGAAATCGTCTACCTATGAACCTCAACTCGCATGACGATTTCAAAACGACCTTACGGCCGATTTTTTCCCTATCTTTTAGCTTATGGCTGCCTTACTCTATCTTTGTCTTCCCTTCAAATCAAATAAATGGGTTACTTTCCACTATTGTATTAAGAACACAAAGCATCAAACCAATTAGTCAGTAAACATGGTTCAGGAAAATTCTTCAAAGTAAACATCCCTCCTTTCTTTACGTTTATCTTTCCCACTACCAAACCTAAATCCAGTAACCCTGTCCTCTCAACTACTCATACCTGGCACACAGGCATAAGGTTCAAAATCTGTGACTCCCACTTCTATGAGTACATCTTCATCAACAAGAAACTCTCCAGTCCTGGCTCGACTATCCCTTGTTAGGACAACATAGGCAGCATCAGCCATGATCTGATCAGTGCGACAGGAAGCAAGAGCTTCTTTACCACCCAGCATCTCCATAGCAGCTGTAGCTATAGCTAATGAATCAAGGGAATACTTCTTTAAGCAGAAGAACATACAGTATAACAAAAAATAAATTCTGAAATAAAAATACAACTTTCAGAAAGCAATGAAATGAGTGTTATGTTTTGTTACACTGTAGTTACTGTATGTCATGATGGCTCTGAAAGCCTCTCTTGAGAAATATTTTTTAATGAAAAATTGATCAAGTTAGGTTTGTAGTTTTGTGTTTACCTGTTTTAGGCCACAGTGCATTAACTGAAATCCCATCATCCTTGAATTCTTGTGCCATGCCCAGGACACACATGGACATGCCATATTTAGCCATTGTATAAGCTTAGAACAAAACAGATAGCAGCTAAGGAATCAAAATGAAAAATCGCCAAATTCCACAAGCACTAAATATATCAATTTAATCTAAACAAATAAAATTATTACAGGTCTAAATTTTTTTTCCTGATTTTTTTCAGGCCTTATTTTCACTACTGCTCAAGTAATGTTTATTACTGCAAAGATCAGTTTCATATTCACAAAATTATTTATGTCCAATGAAAAATTAATTCCTTATGGTAGAGTTCAGCCCAAAAGGTACATGTTAAAAGGTTAGTTACAATTATTGGCACATATCTTGTTAAAAGATAAAGCACCTGGTAAATTGCTTGTACTTTTTAGCAGTATGTTATTACTTGTTACTTGCTGTTTTATTTTGTTCAACCAACACCAACCATCAGATTACTAAAGACTGCATCAGTCAAGACATTTGTCTCCACCTGTATTACAAAGTGTCTGTTCTCATGACACTTGTCGTGAGTGTAAGATGGAAGTTTTTCTAGGTCTGAGTTTACAATGAGTACCCACAGAAGAGGGGTAACCACCAAGATTTCAAACCACAGTTTGTTAACTCTGGTTCAAATTCCTTTTTGAATGAAGGTATAAGAAACAAGTCAGATCTGACCACAGTGATCATCATCTGGATGGTGTTCCAAAATATAATTAGGCAAGAAAGTCTCTCTAATTCAATTTATTACAAAGTTGGTGTGCTGTGTAAAAGTGTAAGCAGCATTGACAGTGGGAGATAAATTGTGAACTAACCTACATGACCTTTGAACCAATGAGGATTCATGTTCAGAGGGGGACTGATGTTTAAGATGTGTGAATTCTTTCCAATCTTTAGATATGGTAGACAGGCTTGAGAGCTGTCAACACATTCCAAATGATAAAAAATTAAAGGTATAATCGGATAATAATAACAAGTATTGGAACATATTTACAAGGTGTCTAAGCTCTAAGAAAATAAAATAACCCATGACATTGGAAATAACTGTTCTAATTCAAAACTTGTAGATATATGTATCAATATCTCTATGTATATAAAAAAAGCAGATAAGCTCAAAGGTAAAGACACACTGGTAAATTTCAAAAAGAAAAGAAATAAAGGAATGTAATTACCACATTTATTCATGATATATGACATTAAATATTGAATGAAGTTTTACTTCAGAACCTTTCATGACTTAATAGAATTTGGAAATGCTCAGAGGTTGAATCAAAAATATTAAAAATTGAAATGAATTTTTCTTCTATTCTAATTTCTGAACAAAGAAATTTTAAATTTGAGTCAACTTTAAAAAAATTTAACCAATAAATTGTAAAATATACAACAATAGATGGAAGTATGTTCAATAACCATGAAAGTTGATATATGCTAACTGGAGAGACTCACCACAGATATGTCCCCCGTGCATTAATGCTGTTCATAAGGTCATACCTGTAGATAGGTGTGATAAACATTTCATAAAAATAAATATTTTCCCTCCAAATGATTTAAAGATTGATTTTCATAATAATACTTCTTTGTTACTTTGTTACTGAGAGTAGAGGTAGTATTATTCATTCCTTGGGTTTGGAAATTGGAACCACTCATGACAGACTCTAAAAAGTTTAAACACAAAAACTTGGCTCTTACTTGGTGTATGACACAATAGAATTCCATCACAACTGGGAACAAGAAAACAATGAAAACAATAGTGTGATTTAAACTGTGTCTTCTACACCAAGTAAGAGCCAAAAAGTTCAACACCTTAAAAAACCATAGTCTACAGCGGCAAAGGGTGTAAGATGGCCATGAGCTGACCATAAAATCCATTTATTTTATAAAGCAGTAATATCTTTCATGCTCCAATGCTTTTTTAAAAATAAAAGATGCTCTCACTTTTTCATTGGTGTTTCCAAAGTCCCTGTCAAGCTTATTGCACTAGCATTGTTAACAAGTATGTCAATCCCACCAAATGTCTTTACAGCCTCTTGTACTGCACTATTGACTGCATTTTCATCACGAATATCCACTGCACAGGGAAGGCACTTTCCTCCTGCCTCTTCGACTGTAATTAAATACATCAACACAATAACTGTTACACCAGTTGGCTTGGGTCGTTGCCCAGTGGAGGAGGAGAGGGGATGGGGGGGGAGGAGAGGGGATGGGGGGGGCTTAGGGTGTTGTTAACAATTCAGTTGTTGCTTGATTTGAAGATCCAAACTTAAAGATAATTTTACCTTTCGAAGCTTAAAGAGGAGAAAATACAATCAAAAAAGGTAAAACCTGAGCCAAGCCGTTCACAAATTACTACCAGGGGCTGCATGTAGTGTGGCAAATATGCCTGCATCCTCACTTCTGTGCGTTTCAAACAATGCCTTCGAGGCACGCGAACCCCCATGTGTAAATGAACAAGGCAAATATATTTGACTTTACCTTCTTTTGCTGCAGTGTATATCGTTCCAGGCAGTTTTGGATGAGGTTCGGTAGTTTTAGCGGCGATTACAATGTTTGCTCCATCTTTGGCCGCTTTCAGCGCAATGGCTTTTCCAATTCCACGGCTGGCACCGGTAATAAATATAGTTTTACCGGCTAGTTTCCTAAAGGGAAATCGATTTTAAAGATACTTTGGTTATAAAACAGAAACTTTAGCTGATTTTCCTAAAGAGTTGGAAGAAAGACTGAAAATAGACAAAACTCTACCCTGTGTTCAACATTTTTCTGCTGAATACAACACCACGAGAGGAGTCCACAATACTGTTGGTCAGCGCGTAAGTGAAAGTAAAGATAGGGGTTGATTCTCATGTAAGAACAGAGCGATCGATCACCATTGATATCCATTGTAATAGTGAAGGATGATGTTCAGGGTGTTACTAGGGGAAGTGAGTTATCTTAAGTATGGATTGACAAACTGAAAAACAGAGAGGACAGAACTATTAATTGTTGGCTCTATAAACACATGAGCAACTCTGAACTGTGGTTGTTTCATCATCTTTCCAGTCACAAACTCAGACTCCCTGGCGATGATTAATCTGTCAATCAAAAAGTCACGAGTTAAAAACAAACTTTTTCCAAAAATAACTCAAGACCTGTGTCGGTGACGTAATCAATCAATCGGACATTGAATTATCAGGAACAAGTCAGAAATTTCAATACTAGAAACAATGTTATCTGTTTTCTGTTGAAATGCATTTAAAAACCCGGATATCCATAGGAAAGGGGAAGGATGTTTTCTCGGCCACATTTTAGGTCACTCCTAGCTTTCCAAGAAAATATCAAAATACTGAATATCTACACAATTTATGTCTGTTTATTTGATCAAGTATTGAAGGTAATACCACAGGACAATATTACAAATACTGACAAAAGCAACATGACATCTGGTAAAAAGAACTCTGAATATGTACACTTTGATCCAAACAATGGAAGAATGAATGAGTAACACAAACAACAGCAATGTAACTGTGTCATAACCATTACATTTTTACCTACATATCTCACTTTACTGTAGACAAAATTACCCAGTATCTTTAGATGTACTTGATTAAAATGTATTTACTTTGTTCAGGATTTCAAATATACAGTTTGGGGTAACCTTAGATGAAAACACCCTGTACCCTTATATGAAACTTTTAGATAAAGATTTCTGCCAGAAACTTTGGTGATTGGTAATGTGACAATTCCTTCCTTACTTACTTTCCTCTGTGAATATATAGGAAACTAATACGTGTGAACTGTGGTTTAATGAAGAAATGAATGAAAGCAATCTTTGCAGTAATAAATACTACTTAAGTGGTGGTGAAAATAGGGCATGAAAAAAATTCAAGGCCTGTGCAGGTCGTAGTTCATTCAATAGTGTTCATCACTGCAAAGATTGCTTTCATTCATTACTTTCCTCTCTCCTTAATGCAGCTTATTAACTATGAGTTACTCCTCAAGAAAATATTTAAATATGTTCCTCTTCATCTTTAGAAAAAAGTCCTTAATTCTATAAACACAATTTAACAGTAATGATGATACCAATACTAACACCAAATAATAATAATAATAGTGGTGATGATAACAATCAATATAATTCCTATTATTGTCATTATTTTTACTTTGAACAAGACTAAATTCTTCTCAAAAAGAGTAATGTTCATAATTTGGATTTCATCTTTTGTAGGAGCTGATTCTCAAGTTTCATAAATTTATGCATGCTTCCTGTAAGCTGGAGTTTTCCTCCCAAATACGCTTGTGCTGGATTAAGTTCGCCAGTGAACAACTTCACAAAATCCTCTGAGTCTAACATTACTGTACTGTTCACCTCATCTCCTGAAAAAGAACCTCTTCCAACCTCACCTATTAATGGAAAACAAAGAATAAGTGAATAAGAATTAGACTGGAAGAGCAAATTTTTGCTTTTGTTTCTGCTTCCTATAAAACTCAAGGAAATAGATTAAAAAAGGAGTCAGCTTTTGTCCAGATCTTGTTGAACCATCAACTCTCAGTTGTCAGAACTTGTCTGCCTTGTAGGTGACAGGTAATCGCCTGTACTAAGGTTTTGTCATTTTGCATCATTTGGTGGTCAGAGAATAAACCCATGAGTTACTCTTGTTTGATCATTTAACTAAAGTATCCTTCATTACACCCTAGTTTTTTTTTTACATCTGTTTGAGAATTTTCTTGTTTGTTTGTAAATGTCTCACTCATTCATTTCTTTACTTCCTTTTGTTGGTTTATCACTTCATTCATTTTCAAAACTGTTTTTTTTTGGAAGCAATTTTTTTGTCACCTGCCCAGTCCCTTCTTTCATTAAACACAATGGAGTAAATTCAAGTGTTTACCTGTACTGCTCTTAAGATCAAGATACCACACTCCAGCTTCCTTTCCTGTTAAATGAAACTCAAAGACTGCATTCACTTTCTGAACAAGCTTTTCATCCAAAAAATTTTTAACAGCATCAAAAATGTCTACTACTCCTCTCACTTGACTCCTGTGAGAGGAAGTTTCCCTGGTATCCTTGGAGGAGTTTCTTTGCAGTGTGGGAGAATAACCATCAATAAAACTGTCTGGCACTGGTGCACCAGCTGTAAAGAGAGTAAGGAATGTTATTGACCAATACTTTTCATAGAATCAACCAATGATGTCATCTGAACAGGATGAAAGTCCATTGTAGCACACTCCACCCACCCCTTCTCTTTGTCAGGTTTCTGACTGACTGTATGCTGATCCCTTTCTGTGGTCCTGAGTGGAGAGAGGCTTGCAAAGAGTTAACATTCTGACCCAAAAACACAACACAATGACCCTGAGACTATGACAAAGACCGGTTTATCTGTCATTCAGAGAGCTCACCATGAGGATATGGCTTCTCAAGATATTAACTGCACACAAGAGGGAGGTTAAGATTTTAACAGAAATTCATGAGGTTACCTGGAATATAAGAATACTGTTCAAAGTCAGTGATTCCTGCCTCCTTAAGAACATCTTCATCATAAAGAAACTCTCCTGTCCTTGTTTTACTGTCTCTTGTCAACATGATATATGCAGCATCAGCAAAAAACTTGTCTATTCGACAGTAGGCTAAGCCTTGTTTCCCTGCAGTAACCATGACAGCAACAGTGGCAATACCTGTTTAATGGAGTAACCTTTAATTTGTTTGGTAGTAATACTCAGGTGTACTGACTTACAGCTGTAAGCTAAATGTTTTCTTTTGAGGGTACATTTTAATGTGTGCACTTTAACATTTCAGACAAGGAACTGAACAGTAAAATCAGATAATCAAACCTTTTTTAGGCCACAGTGCATTTACTGCAATCCCATCATCCTTGAATTCTTGAGACATCCCAAGGACACATAATGACATTCCATACTTAGATAATGAATATGCTATAAAAAATCATTCATGGAGTATCATAACTACAACAAAGATAAATTCAGCAAGAATTTTACAATACAAATAGTAGCCTTAAAATAATTGTGAATAAGTAATGGTAGATAAAGAAACAAATCATAAAAGAAATATCCATTGTTTGGATAACAAGCCTTCCATCTCATGAGACCAGCCATCAGATTACCTAAGATAACATCAAACAACAGTTGTTGCCGTTCCCACCTGCAACACAAAATGCTGTTCTCCAGACACTTGTGTTAGGTGTGGTGTGGAAGTTTTTTGGGTCTGATGTTAGGATGGGTTATCCACAGGAGAGAGTTATCACCAAGATTTCAAAGATTTCAAACCGGGCAATGGATTGAAACCTCTGGTTTAAATTCCTTCTTAAATGAAGGTGGTTAATTATGTTAGAGCTGACACAGTTTGAACCATATGGCTGAAGATGATACAGTTCAGTTGAATGGTGCAGCTTGCTACCAAAAACAAACAAACCAACAAAAATGCTGTCTACTTTTTTAGTCAAACCCAATATTTTTGGAGAAGCAAGAAAGACCTTCAAGCTTAAATATGTCAGCAAAATAAATTAGAAAACACACAATTGCAAATTCTTACCAACATGTTCTTTGAACCAGGCATGTCTGATATTTAAAGGTGGTGTCACGTTTAAAATGTGAGGATTCTCTGCATTCTTTAAATATGAAATGCATGCTTTGGAACTAACAAAATAAATGCAACAACATTTTTAGAGTTTTTTTCAGCAAAACGTTTTGGCCTTGATGTACATCAAAAGTCAGTGACAAGAAAACTGATTTAAATTAAGTGTTTAACTTGTCAACACTTACCACAAGAATGTCCCTCTTACATTGACATTATTCATCAGATCATATCTATAGAGAGTTGGTTACATAGGATTGGTCACAAGTGGAAAAAAACTAAGAAAAAACTTTCAAAATGGTAGTTAACGAGTGTTCATTCAATAAAAATAGACTACATTCAGAGTATCATTAACATGAACTTAAATCTCCAAAAGCTATTTCTCGTAAACCAAAATTTAAGAAAATTTGCGATGGAAATACTTGTAAATTGAACAAGGCCTCACTTTTTCATTGGTGTTTCCAAAGTCCCTGTCAAGCTTATTGCACTAGCATTGTTAACAAGTATGTCAATACCACCAAATGTCTTTACAGCCTCTTGTACTGCACTGTTAACGGCGTTTTCATCACGAATATCTACTGCACAGGGAAGGCACTTTCCTCCTGCCTCTTCAACTGCAGCAAGAAATAATGTTTGGATAACATACCAATATCATGAAAACTTTTTTAAGGGTTTATCAAAGATGATCTTAGAAATCAGCACTGAAATAATGTCACCACGGCTACAGTTCGAGGAAGTAATGCGTATTTTATTGAGTACATACAAAATCAAGGCGCCAGACATCTGCAAAATTATGATCGTGACATCTGTTTGTATCACACCACTTGAAGTCACGCATTTCATTAATTCTGTCACGATTGTCTCAGATAAAAATGACACTCTTGCAGCAACAACGAAAACAAAAGGATCACCTTCTTTTGCTGCAGTGTATATCGTTCCAGGTAGTTTCGGATGAGGTTCGGTGGTTTTAGCGGCGATAACAATGTTTGCTCCATCTTGAGCTGCCTTCAGCGCAATGGCTTTTCCAATGCCACGGCTCGCGCCGGTGATAAATAATGTTTTACCAGCTAATTTTCTGCCAAATGTAGGATGAAGACAGTACAGATATCATAATGAACAGAAAAAAAAATCAAAACAGGAAATCGTCCGATCTAACGAAGGCAGATTAGCAAGTTTTTTTACGTGGAGCAAAACTTACCCAGTATTCTTCAACATCTTTCCCAGTATTGAGCCTTCGAAGGATACAACCTGCGGTTGGCTTTAGAAAAGAAGCCTCGTTTCACTTTGTCATTTGGCGCCATAATATCATGATGGCGTTTGAACATGAATGGAATCAACGCAAGAGGAGGAAATGTGTTGCTAATAACGATCTTTCGAATAAGAAATACAAGAAAAAGGCAGAATTAAGAGAACTTACTCTTCAAGATATTTCTAGTCTCAGTGATGAGATTCACCATCTAGAGGAGGAAATATTTAAAAGAGATTCTTTATGTGCAGATACCTACACACTGGAATCTCTGGCAATGATCGAAGCAAAACTCTTGAATGCTGACTTGCCTTCTTCATCCAAAGAAAATAACACTGACGGAAAAGAAAAAGAAATTGATGTAATAAACGAGAGGCTTCGTTCTTTGGAAAAGTTGACAGGTTTAATATTTATTGAAAATAGCACCGAGATGCTTTCAAAGACAGAAGCCACAATGGTTTTACTTCGGAGAATGTTAGGAACTTGTCTTAGAATTCCCTTTGCAGTGGAATTCGAAGTTAAAGAAGAGGAAAATGTGAATAGTCTGCTGAGCTCAAAAGGTAAAATTGAGTCAATCGTGCATGTTGTGGTTAAATTTTACCTTACAATCGGTTCTATTTTCTTTGTGTTCAAAAATGTAAAATAACAGTTTGAGACAAAGGGAATATTCCACGTAGGAAAAATTAAACCAAAATTATTTGTCCGTCGTAGGCAGTATTCTTGGAAGACATCATAAACCTTAACTTGATGAGGACACTGCAAGATAATAGTTTGAACCCTGAGCAGTATAATTTGTTGTGGTTCAAAGTCTTTTTGGTGTCTAATTTTTTAAACCAGTTTGATTTTTATTTTCATCTGTTTCCCTTTTTAATAATTGTCCAAAAGATAAAGGAACATTAAAATCAAACTGACTTGAATAGTAAATGGCTGAGAAAAGCTTTTGACCATACTTATAGGCAATGACTGTACAATTGATGTTGGTCCTGAAAAGGAAGAACTCAGTCAAAATTGAGGTTCTTTGATAAATATTCTCAAATTATTTGTCCTCACTGTATAAATTTAGGATTAATACAAATTTGATTGTCTTTGCTCCATACTATAGTTGTAATTTTAGTATCTTTTTTTAATCCAAAGATGCTGAGTGTATGGAAGACAGGGTTGTTGAATTAACCAGACTCCAAGTTAGTGTCACAGATCATCTAGCAGAACAGGAACTTGCTCAATTTCTTGAAAAAGTGCAAGAGGACAAGTCTTTGCAGCCATTTTTTTTTGGACTTATTCAGTATGCTGAAGGGCACAGCAATAGGCAAAGGACATTTGGTCATTTTAAAATGAAGTACCCTGAAATTGTCCACTTGACAAATACATCCACTGCAAGTCAGTTTATGAAATTGTACAACAGGAACAAACCTGGACTTGTTTTTACAATATGCTGGAGACTTGTTATTGGTGAATCTGGACATGTCACATCAGATATTCAGATCCATGCCTCAGCACCAATGAAACACACTGACCAAAGGGACAAATATTCTTTGCTTAGAAGTGTTCCAAAACAGTTTCACAAAGTGATGCCTATTATTGGAATAGAACAGGCCATCGAACTTGTGGTTGGATTGGTGTGTGGATAGCGATAATTTATTAGTTGTATATTATACTGAATTTCTCTGAGTTTGTTCTTTTAGAGAGCTGAGAAAGTCTTTTCATCTTATAACTGTATTTCTATCTCGTAAAATAGGTTGTCACATAGAAAAATTCCAGCAGCTTCAAATATCCAGCATCAGTTATATGGAGACTAATTCCTAAGAACATAGAGGCATTGTAGCTAATGTTTGGGGTCATTGGTAAAGGTTCTATCTGTAATAATCTCTTTTTGAGATACAGTTGAACATCTCCTAGCACACAATTTTGGATGACAGACTCCTGTTGGTAGAAACTTAGTTCTGGCCTATATAACTCTTGCATCTTACTGGTGCAAAACCTCCAGGGGATAGAGAGGGCTGCTTTCTGGAGGTTTGGTGGTAGTGAACTTGCCCACATAGACTCAGGCTCTTTGTTGTAAAAATGGCAACAAAAACCAGCAAACAAAAGTAACTTTTAACAAGTGAACATTTACTTTGAACAATAATTCAACAATTTGAGAGGGGAAAATAAACAGATCAATTAATTTTTACACTTTAAAGAAGCTAACTCTGAATTACTGAACAAAGTGTAGAAGGTTACAGTCTGATAATTATTTGGAGAATAATTTATGTTTTTTTAGAAATGAATTATTCCTGGTGTTATTATTTAATGCATACATTGTATCTGGTTGGTTTTTTACCACAAAGGAGAGTACAGAATTTGCCATGGCAATAATTTTATTAGTGGTATCAATCTTTCTAATTAAATTCTCAGACTTATTAATTAATAGAACCTGCGGTAGAGATGAATCATGCTTTTAACATCATGTCTGTATTTAAATATATATTATGCTCTGTGTAGATATCTTGAAGCAGTGAAACCCAGACATTAGTAATTTGCATCACTTGTCTCACATCATGGAGCACATTTAATATATTAATTTGAAATATCTGATTCACTGTTTAATTGTATTGCCCTAAAAAACCCAGTGGAATTGTTGGTAAGAAAGGTGTTCTGTATTTCTTCACTTGTTTAATGTTCATCCATTCTACAAACAACACACCCCACCCCACCCCACCCCTGTCCCCAACCCCCTGAATTCAGATGTCAGTAATTCACTATTCCAACAGAGGATGCTTGATTTCTCCATTTCCCAGATTGCCAGTGTAACTTAAGATTAAGAACAACAGTCAGTCCGTTATTAACACATCAAAATATTTGGATGAATGCAGAAATATAGTGCATTGATTTTTTAAGGAGATCCCTTCCAGTGCAAGAGGTTTTTTGTGCTGTGAGCAGTACCTTCCTCTACCCTGAGGCTATACGTTCTGCTCTCACTTATCCGTTGGATAGCGATTTATCCGTTGGAAAGCGTTATCCGCCCTTTATACAACTGGGTCCAAATGTGTAGAAAATTAAGTATGGTTCAGTTACTTATATTTTGGTGACACGAAGCGAAGTGATGATCGTCGATTATTTTGGCTACGTGCCTCATCCTTTTGATCTCGACTTTCCCCAAGCGTTCAAACTCGTCTGACTTAAGTAGGTTTAAAGCCAAAATATGACATTTTAATCGACTGAGCCATTTTGGGATGTGAATCATACTGACATTATAGTCACAAGAGTTTGTAAGAACTCACTGTAGTTGTGATAAGCTTGGTATTGCATTGGTCCTTGATAGAACTGAAATTAACAAATAAATTCCATGTTGCCCAGTGTCTGTTCAGTAATTGATCACAAGTACAGCAAAGTGCGTCACTGATCTTCTTACCCTATTTTGGTCTCATCTGTGTTCGATTAATGTACAGACACGCGGCAACACGGAATCTTTTTTTCATTATTTCATGACAAACCGAAATACTCCGTTCAATATATATACTAGAATAAGACTCACACGAATGAATTAGAAGAGTTTTAATCGAACTACTAGAGATGGAAAGAAAAGAGAAGCAAAAAGGGTAATAAATATTCTTTTTCAAGCTCAAATAAAGAATCTCAATAAAGATCTGTTTATCTTGTTTAAACCTTGATTGTGAAGTACTCTTAAAATTAGAGCATTTTGAAAACATTTCTCTCTCTAAAAGGTTAGGTTGAGATCTTAAAAAAAATTGAGCATTAAATTTACATTTAAATTATTAATTTTCATTGTTGAAATCCTTTTTTCGTGACTTTCGTAATAATATTTATTGCCAGCTGGTTCGTATGCATGTTTTGTTTTATTTCTTTCATCTCTCCTACAAAGCGGAGACAATAACCAGCAAAAATGAATTTCTCGAATTAATTGCTTATTTTTGGTCAAAATGCTGAAGTCATTCAAATTCAAATTCCAACTGAGTTTATTTAAACTAAAAAATAAACTGAGTTGTTATTGACTTTCAGCCCACCACTTATATTCTTTACCAAGAAGATAAACAGTGGGTCGACGGGAATAAATATTCCGTAACTTCTTATCTCAGTAGTAAATACGGAAACTTATAAGTGAAAAACATCTGCAGGCGCCAGCGTCTCCCATAGCATTTATTTTCTACCAAATGTTCTTTTGTGTGGTCAGTCTCTTAAAGGTTTCCCTATTTGATTCATCAGGGCGGAGTGCCGTAGACTGCAAGAGAAAATATAAATTTTCTAATAACATTTGTTCAGTGCCGAACAACTGTTTTAAATGGAAGGAAACAACAAGGTAAGGATGTGAATTTGCTCTCAGTCCGCCTTTCTCAGTTGATAGCAATATTTTCTCACATGTTCCATCTTCTATTTCAATTTTTCATTTTTTGTCACCACTGTTTTTTTCAAAAATCTTTTTTCGAGCCTCTTCTATTTTATTTAAAAACCATGAAGACGCTAAGTCCAATATCTGTAGATCACAAGAGCAAACAATGAACCTTTTGTTTGTTTTACTTTGTCAAACCGTTGTAACTGTTGAACCGTTGGATCGAACTTTTGTTCTCTTCTGCATCGACTTTTGACTCCGCTTTCTCTCCTAGGAGGTTTTTTTTAGGGGTTACAATTACGGAGATGTAATTTTGAGGCTAAGAAATAATAATCGCATGTAGTTATTTCTCTCAATTTTAAGATTTCCTCTTTGTTGATTTTCTTGCTAGTGTCAGACAAACAGCCTTTGTGGAAGTCAAGTAAACCAAACATCCGGGAGCTTGAACAATACTGTGTCTAACACATCTTCTACTCATATTTATGATTTGTCGCAGATACATATTTCTGTGTTTATATTTTTGGCATTCGTCGGGCTGCTGATTGTCCTCGCTAACTCCACGGTAATCGTCCTCTATGAAAGAAAGACGTTTTTGAAAACCAAAACAAACCTTTGTCTGGTCTGTTTGGCTGTTTCAGACATGCTCGCTGGCTCAGTTGCCGTTCCCATGGTGATATCGTGCAATATGATGGTTGAGTCGGTAACAAAGATGAAGATATGTACCGCTATGGACTTATCGTCCAGGTTTATATCCATCTCTACCGTATTGCATCTGCTTTTGGTGACTATCGAGAGATATTGTATGATAATTCACGCCATTCATTATCCGTACATTATCACAAAGTTTCGGCTGGTCACTGTTCTTGTATTCCTTTGGTTTTTCTCGCTGGGAGCCTCGCTCATTCAAATTTCATGGATTCCTTTGGATTTCAGCCCAAGCAATGATTTTGTTAAAAAATTAGACACTAAATATTCTTTATCTGTGTTTTTTGGAATAGTTGTGCCAAGTTTGCTGATAATGGGTGTGGCTCTAACCTGCATTTTCTTAGTTTTGCGGCGTCAACTGATTTCTATTAAGGCAGTGAACAGTTACAAAACTAGAGCTTACCGTAGAAAAGCGATCCCTCTGGAGGGCAAAGCAGTCATTATATTTGGGATAATGATTTTAACTTTCATAATTTGTTGGTTTCCATATTTTCTTCACGGCTTGATGCAAGATTTGAAACTTGACGTTCTTCCTCTGCCTCACTGGGTACAAGTTTTACTTATGTTTTTTCGATTTGGTTCATCAGTGGTGAATCCGATTATTTATACTTTCTTTAAAGAAGATTTCAAAAGAGCTTTAAAGAGGTCTACAGGCTTTGCTAGCTCACGCCGCCGAAGTAATTTGACAACATTTGATTTCACACCAGTTTGATGTCCTGAGGAACTTTGTGTTGAATCATTGCGTATATATTCAGTTGAGGATGTTCATGAATCGTGAAAGTACGCTACAACTTAGACTTGGTCAGAGATATAAAAAAATTGAGACCCATAGATAATCAGGGATGAAAGGCAATATAATCACTGAAACATTAAAGATAACTAATGACGAGCACAAGTAGTTCTAATAAGTCTGAGCATGCTAACTGAACTGGTCTATACAAAAGGGAATTTCCATTCGTTTTTCGCAGGAGCTTCTGGCTCAATTCCATCAGCTTGATTTCTTTTATGTTTATGAATCCTCTACATTCGGTATTGAGCTCGATAGCAAGAGGTACGTGTCTGTGCTTCATCCTAAACGGCTCTTTCTTGTGCCGTATTTTAATTATACCTTATATTTTAACAATAATTCCTAAAGAATTTGAGGCACCTTCTGCCCCATCCCACCCTCCTTCCCCCTTTCCCCCACCTCTACAAGAAAATAAAGGGAGTTGAAAACACCCATAGAACCAATCAACTTATTCCGTCGAGTACCATTTCATAATCTGATCAGTAGCAAAAAAAAGAGAGAGAGACTGGAAAATTAACCTTTTGAGCTGATGACGTCACTATAAACTCATTGATTCAGCTTCTTGATGCAAATCAAGTGCAAATCAAACTGCAATAACCTGGTAATAGCGGACGTTTTACGCGGTAAATCGTGACTGAAAACTAAATCAGACTTTTTATATAACTGCCGAGCAGCGGTTGGTCCAATTCATGTTAATCTCTCTTAATAAAAGTCGTAGCAACTCTTTAAGTCTGTCTCTTAACCCTTTCGACAGCAACGTCAGCCAAGTCCGTGATTATTCACCGGAGTCCGAACCAGTTCATGATTCTTCGCCCAGTCCCTTCTTCGCTTCCTCTCAGCCGACGGTTCATCTCATTCAGAACTTGTAAATGTTCATGTAGAATTCTTTCCATCTCTTTTGATCTTAATGAAATTAATAGACAAGATACGCATTAAAAGATAAATGCATGAATGAACAAAATTGAATAAGGCAGTAAATGTATGAATGAATTAGAGGAGAAAGGAAGACATGAATAAAGCCGGTAACTTACAAACACAACACATCGACGTAAATTATATTTTACTTCAGTTTAAACTAAGCAAAATTATTTATTTTGAATTCTTTCTTTAGGCTTAAGTTGGGTACATCAGTTTTTGGTAAATAAACCATGATTACAGAAGCTTGCCTTCGAGATAAATTGTTCGAGGATTACATTTACGTGGTTTCAGTTTAGCGAATAAACTCCGTGTTGCTGCAGGTCTTTTCAGTAATAGATCACAGATGACGTCAAACGCGGTAAGAACAAAAAAGGTATCCCTGATGTTTTCAGTCACATAAGGCCAGAGACCGACCAAACCTAGTTCCTTGTTCACCAACTTAACCATCTAGCTGAAATAAAGCCACAGACTGACCATACCTGATTTCTTGTTCATCAACTTTATCTTTCAGCTGAGATAAAGTCACAGACACGTGGTTACCCTGGTCATATTCATTTCCCTGGACTCGACCCAAATCACAGAAGAGCATCCACATCTAAAAATAACATCAAGTCTATCCTTATGACATTGAAACAAATACCTTAATTCCTTAAACTAGTTAATAAGTTATGATATTGATTAATAATCTGAAAGCGATAGCCTTCCAAGTCTGGTAATGAACATTGCCATTATCACCTTTGTCCAGATTGTCTTTAGGTGGTTTGGATACTCAGCGTGTTCTTTCACGGTCAGACGGCGTAACAGCCATTTAGGAAGAGATTCTTCCAGCTCTAGAAGAAGTGCGACCTGAAATTAAGACAATTTTTATAGTTCATGGCTGAGTTATATCATGATTAGATAATTTTCAAGAAAATATAATGTTACGATCCCACCTGGATTTCGATCTTTGAGACTGATAACTCGCAAAATTAAAGGTAACACTGAGTATCATAATTACTTTCGATTCCTGAAGCCCTCGATTTCCTGATATCCTCCATAACTAGATTTAAAACTTCCTTTTCTTCTGTGGTCGAACACAATCATTCAAAAAGCTTTATTTCGACAGCAGAACTCAAATCGGCTTTCGTTTCCAAACTAATTTCTTCATCCTTTGATCTGTTCAGTAAATCACGAATTTGTGTCTGTCACTTAATTACAAATAAAAAAAGAACCAAGACAGTTTGTACCTGAACTCTGTAACGATCCATAACAGCATTCTTCTGAATGTTGTCAATGTCACCCACAGCAAGACCAATCTGGAGAGAGTTTGAATTTCTCACTCGTAACAGGTTCACAATACATGGATCCGTTATTGCAAGATTTATGTGGTCTTATAATGGAACATTTTCCGCTCATTCTCTGCGAAGGCTATGTGTTTATTCATATATCTATGTATATTTGTCACAACCTAAGTACTTCGCAAAAATCTTTTATCAGAAAAACAGTGAGTTGTGGTGTATGTTTGCACGGAAGGCATTTTAAAGGTAGTAATGTCTTCCGTCAGGGTAACTAAATTCACATGTTTAGCTGATTCATTTCACACTTCCTTTTTCTAAAAATGGGTGTGTGACCTGTTAAATGTTATCTGAAAGGAAGGACCCTATTCTTCTATTTTTAAAATGTATAGAGAATTTTAAACTTGATACGTGTACTGTCGTATAGAAACTTTAAGGAACAACATGGACACAAGTTTGCCGTTCCATACCAACATGTTCATCAGAATGATTGGCATAACGAGCGCGAAAAGAATAAATATTCCAAAGTTAAGGAAAGGAACGTCGACATCTTTGTTGATGTAGGTAGCTTCAAAGTTCAACTCTCCAAGCGTCATAATGAAAGTCTTCATCAGCGATTTGGGAAGAGATCCAAATAAATTCTGATTCTGGAAACAAATTAAGAATAAGGAAAATTAGTCGGGTAGGAAAATAATGGCTTGATGGAGACATATTTACTAATGGGCCAGAATGATATAGTGTGGCTTAATAACTTATGGAAAGCTACTTATAAGAATTGACTGGAGGTAAACCTGGTTTACAAAAAACAAAAAACAAAAACAAACTAACAAACAAACAAACAAACTCGTGACGCTCGCAAATAGCTTGCACGTCCAATTGTGGTCGTCTTGATTTTGTTAATACGGGTAATAATGAACATTCAACGACTGAGTTTCTAAATTCCCAATAAATGCATGTCAACGTAAGTCGAGTCAAAATCTTCCAATAGTTCGCTCTTCAAGATACGTCAAAGACTAATGCTGCCTATGTAAGTTTTTATTGTTTCCTTTGAAAGTATTAATTTTAAATTAAATGGTTTTGTAGCTTGATTTCTCCTCAAAAGCCGGCTATTAGGTGACTGTTTTCGACAGCTTTGCAGTTATAAGGTTTGAAGTTAAGGATTTGTGTCCATTAGGACCTTTAGAACAAACGTAATAAAAACCTCTACATTTGAATTCTCAGTATCTGTCTTTTTTCAATAATTTACCCTGAAATAAAAATGCCGAGGCAGTGGGTAGTGAAAAGAAAAGAACTAAAATATACGTACATTGCCCATGAGAATGTAGAATGAAATTCCGAACGCCAAAATAAAGAGAATAAAAAGAATGATAACCTAAAAAAAAAGAAAGGGAATATATTAAGAAATCACTTTACAAATTGGACTTAAAATTTCTGATGAGAGGTAACATTCCTCAATCCAAAATCGCTACTTTGCAGTTTACCTTGAGTAACGTTTGTATCATAGTCATCAGCATAACCACAAACCTACCATACGTTGACAGTCTGAAAGGAAAAAAGAAAATAACATGGAAAATATTCGTTAATATTGTTTAGTTGACTGTTTTCTCACCTTACTTTTAATCTCAATAAAATATCTACATATGGAATATTTGTGGTCCAATTATTTTTTTTTAAAGATCAGCAAACGGCTGGGTGTGTAAGGTCTATTGAATTGTCTCCATTAGAGAACCCCTTGTCCCAATGAACAGCTTTTGAGCCTCCTCAGACCTTCCAGGTCCTAATACAAGATGATTGATGTCACTGATACGATTAAGGGATATGAACATTTCTGACAAGGTTTACTACGTTATTTCAGTTTGCTTTGTTCATCCTTTACGTCTTGTGTCAAAAAGCCAATCAGTGTCTGATCGTTAATTGCGAAAACAAACAAAAACTGGCTCAGTTTTGACGATCTTCATGCACTACACACGATCTTCTCCTATCTTTTGCCAGATAAGCAATCTATTATAAATACTACCGCTGACCTACGGAGGTAGAGCACCAAGTTGAGCCAACCAAGAAACAGACCCAATGCTACTGCATGCATCTGAAGAGGCGTCTTACACAAACAGCCAGGATTCTTGGAAATCAGGTAAACCAAGGCTAACAGGTTTATAGACCAATCCATGTAGCTGGATGCATCCCAGAAATATTTCAGTCGCTAGTTAGGGAATAATGAGAAAAAACGGAATATTTATTCATTAATGTTCGCCACTCTTCAAGCTGCTTCAGCCGACAAAAATAAAGTGTATTGTGGCGGTATTGTGATTTTACTCATAGATTACATGAGTCACTGCGAGGCTCAATGGCTAAATGACTAACTGAGTAACCGACTGACTGATTGACTGATTGACTGATTAAGTGATTAACTGCCTGATTGACTGATTAAGTGACTGATTGACTGACTGGCCGGCTGACTGACTAACTGACTGACTGATTGACTGACTGGCCGGCTGACTGACTAACTGACTGACTGACTGACTGACTGGCCGGCTGACTGACTAACTGACTGACTGACTGACTGACTGGCCGGCTGACTGACTAACTGACTGACTGACTGACTGACTGGCCGGCTGACTGACTAACTGACTGACTGACTGACTGACTGGCCGGCTGACTGACTGACTGACTGACTGACTAATTGATTGACTAATTGACTTACTGATTGACTGGCTGACTGGGAGACTGATTGACTGATTAATTAACTGACTGACTGACTTACTGACTGACTGACTGACTGACTGATAGATTGACTCGCTGATTGACCGACTGGCTGGTTGAATGACTGCTGATTGACTGACCGGCTGATTGACTGATTGGCTTGTTAACTGACTGGCTGACTTACTGACCGCCTGATTGACTGACTGGCTGACTGACTGACTGCCCGATTGAGTGACTGGTTGACTGACTGACTGGCTGGTTGACTAACTTACTGACTGACTGACCGACTGAGTTAGTGGCTGACTGACTGACTGGCTGATTTTCTGACTGGCCGACTGGCTTATTAACTGACTGACTGACTGACTGACTAGCTGGTTGATTGACAGATTGAGAACAGCTTTCATGTTGATTACTTATCTCACCAGCCTGTACAACTGCAGGAGCTCTTTGATTATGGAGAACATGTTAAACGCCATCAAAATGGTCAAAGCAAAATACGTGTCATTTCTTCCGCTCTAAAAAAAGAAAAAGGTTATTGGCCAGCAGGGCTCTTTATTCAGTCCCAGGCAAACGCAAATTATGTTATGTTACTACTTTTAACTACACTAAAAGTGCTACTGTATGGTGTAGCATGTCAAGCTTTCTGTGTGTTTAAAACAACCTAATAACATTGCTTTAAAATTTGCTTTCACTGTTGAAACCTTTTAGGTTGAGAGTTAACGCAACTATTTGAAACTTTAAATCAAAATAACTCTGGAAACAGTGACCACAAAGCTTGATCACCTGATTTTTGCATTCTGAATCACATTTGTTGATCCATTCAGCTTTACTTTTTACCGCAAAATATGTCAGTACAAGTAAGAACAAAAAAAACATGAAGAAATTCAACATGAACGTGACCCAACCAAACTTCTTCCTGCAAAAAATACGTAGATATGCAATTAATTCATTTTTTATATAAGTCGTTAAACAACAAATTTATGGCACTTATCAAAACATGTAACAATTTTGTTCTCAGTCGTTTAATTAACATACAAGATGGCACAAATATTTTGAGTTATTCTCACCACTTCAGGCTCATTAAACTGTAACAAACCGGATGACCGATGCATTTCTCTCTCTTGTATTTCACCATCGTCTGAAAAAAATAAACATCAGCAAGCTACTGTCAGACTTACCTTTTAATGTTTTTGCGTCTATTATAAAAGGTAACGAAGATACAACCGTCTTTGAAAACTCTTGTCTTTCGATTTCCTTTCAAGACGCACGGAGCTAAAAATATTTTGTTATTAACTCAACAGTATTAGTGAATAAATTGACAGCTTTCATCGTCCAGTACTTGTTTTCTTTCTTTGTTTTTTGTTCTGAATGTTAACACTATGTTGTGATGAAAGGGAAATCAAAGACACATAGGATTATCAAAGACTGAGGCAAACTTTCTATTTCTCCAGTAGAACCACAAAGTATTTGCTGAGATTATCACAACAAACCTGAAATCCTTCAAATAGTCCAAGTCTCGTTAAGGATTTCCTTGCGAGAGCTAGTTTCATCATCGAAAGAAAATTATGGATTCCTCAGTTTTGTAGATAGATTTATTTCGTGGGAGCCCAGAGAGATTTTCCCGGATAATTATTGATTTAGAGACGACAGTATAAGCCAGAATTAATGTATTGGAACATCGCAAATTAATCTCCTCACCCGCAAGTGGTTCAGGGAATGTTTTGTTTTATCCCCATTAGCATCCATTCCTTGGATTAATCTCAAGTCATAAGTTACCTGAGAAAGAGACGACACAATTTTTTTAAAATACATTTATAATTAAACAGCGATGGTAAAGTTCATAGTGAACTTTCACCACCCTTACCTTGTAATTGTAATCTGTAACCTGGCCTTCTTCCACGATGCAGTGATCTAAAAGACGCTGGGTACAAAGATAAGTCAGCATTGGTTGTCGACATGTTCAATCAAGAGGTTCTGTTGTCAGTGAAAGCGACTTCATTTGTACAAGGTCAATTTTCATCTTTGATTTAGATAATTCTTTTGGGAAAAATCCAAATTCGATGTTAATTGAAACTAAAACACCCGCTTATTCACTTGTGATAGAAACAGATTGAGGAAATACAATAGCGGACCATTACTATATTCGTTTAAGACGAACCTCCACTACTCTGGGCATTTTCTGTACCAGTGATTCTATTTGAGACTGTCTGTCACTTATGGTGGAATGAAGAGCTTCCTTCCATCTGCAGCGCAAATATGAAAGCTTGATAATAACGTAAAAAGAGATGTGGATAAAACAAGTAACAATGATATTAATGGAACAAAACTGGCAAAATCAACAGACAAATGCACTAACGCGCAAAGAATAGGCTAGAAATAATATGACAATTTGTTGTGAGATGACGTTACTAGAAAGACTCTCACGTGATATGATATGATGTAGAATAACTTGTCGTGAGAAGTCGTGCCATGGAATGACATGATGTGATACAATCAAATAACACGACTTGACTTGTTATGAGATGATGTTACTAGACAGACACTCACCTGGCATGATATAACATAGAATGACTTTTATGAGAAGTCGTGCCGTGGAATGACATGACGTGACAAAGCGTGACATGATATGACGTGGCGACAACTCAACGTGACATTACCTCTTATGCTCTATCATCACCATGGCGACATTCTCTCTGCCGTGATCAATAGCGAGGTCTAGAGCGTTCTTATCTCGCGCGTTACTCATAAAGAGCAGCTCTTCAAAGGACATCAGGTACTGCACTATGTGCGCATGCCCGGCTATAGCGGCTAGATGTATAGCTGTATTCTGTGAGAGTGAATTCAAGGAAAGGCCAATTACGAAACATAACTTTGTGATTTTAGATAAATAGCTTATGTACTTGATAAGCGGAATTGCTTCTGTGACAAATTTCACTATACCTCATTTCGGTCCCAGGAGTTAAGACAATCTGGGTGAAACTTTATCACGAGCTCAACGCATTTTAGTGAGCCTTGTGTAGCAGCCAGGTGTAGTGGCGAGCGTTGGTTGATGTCCCTGTCATACGAAACATAAAACTAAAATTAATTTTTTATTCTAAGGTGTATTTCAATCCTTTTTCAAACATGTTAAATGTTCTGGTCATTCTGATAGTCGCACAAGTCCTTAAGTCCCTTGGCAAGGTTGGGAAGCAGGAGACAGATATGGACCAAAAGAAAACACCTCATCTTACATTTTATGGCAAAACTATATACAACGAGGAAAAAACTTCTTTCTTGGACCCAGTTCCCCACCTTTGTATTGCAGAGTCTGTTACTAGGACAGCAGTAGCAGCATGATGTCCTTCCATGCAGGCCAGATGTAAAGCGGTTCTCTTCTGGTTGTTTTCAGCATTGATGAGGCGTTCGTTTCTGTTTTCTAACAACTTTCCGGTAATGTCAGAAAATCCATGCCTTAAAAAAATTGGAATGGCTAAAGTACTCACAACGAATTTTCAAGACTTCAATAATTTCTCTTATCACTCAACTGCCCAACACAGATATTTGAAAATTATTTACCTTGCAGCCAGGTGCAGTGCTGTATCCAGCGCGTCAGATACGACCTCTGTTACAACCATGTCGTAGGAAATAAGTAAAGAGACATCCTGCATAGAAACAGAGTTCTATGTTATTTCACGTGATCTACTCATTAACCAAATGTGTTACCGCTGCTCTAGGTTTGTGTCTGAAAATTTCCTTATCCATGCACGTTTTCCCTAAACTTACATGACAAAATGAATGACTTCATAGCTCAAGAGAGGGCTTAAAAACTGGTGGAAGCGAATAAAAAAAATATTCCCATCAAGGAAAAACCATTTAATACCTGTAGGCTTCCACTCTGAACTGCATAATGAATTGGAGCAAATCCATGGACATCTTTCTCTTTTATAAGCTGTTTTGAGATAGGCACCTGTCAAAAGAATAGCTCAGCTTAATTACGTGCCAATACAAGCATATTTCTCTTGAGATATGATTCAGACGATGATATTGACCTTCAAGAGAGCCTCCAGTGTCATGTTGTGACCGATGGCGAGGTGTAACGCCGACCGAAGATTAAAATCCTTTACAGTGACCTCAGCAGAAAATTCCAGCAAAACTTTGACAGATTCCAGTCCACCCACAGCCGAAGCCAACAACAAGGGTGTCCTGCATTTAGCATCTCGGGGATTTACTGGAAAATCCTGAAATTCCATGTATGGAAAAACATTGGACACATTTTTAGTACAGTACTCTCTCTTCTCGTTGGTACCAATCGCAAGAGTTTTAAATACATGGAGACGCTGAGACGCCACTGAAAGACAGAAATTTATGGACTTATGGAAAAGAGCATGGCGGTTTATGGACAGGACTGAACGACCCACGGACCAACAGACGGACTGACTCAAGAGACTAACAATTTGCCGACCGAAAAGATAGCAAAGTTCTGAAAAGATACCTTTTCTAGCAGAAACTTTACAACTTTCGCGTGATTATTTCCAGCAGCCCTAAAAGAGTAATCAGAAACTAATTGTTTTCATTTCACCAAACCACAGAATATGTATTTCATATTAGTAGCATACCTATGCCAGTTTCTCTTATCAGTTAAAATCTTGCATTCAATAACCTAAGTATTTGAGCTTGTTTTGTGAAGTAATTTCTTAAGTATGGTTATTCTCACGAACCGAGACACTCACAACTTACAAAGTTTACACAGTGAAAAACTTTTAGAAGTCTTTTCATGGGCAGATACTTATTTACAGCAAGTTTGCCAAATGTCTCTTTGGTTTCCACATATATACCGACGAAGTTTAACAAATATTAATCCTCTCTTCTTATATTGAACACGTTGTGATCACCCGGTGAGGAATCGAACACACTCAGCAAATTAAGTGAAGTCCAGCACCCTTGCCTCTAACTGTATTTAACTGGGTTTACATTTTTATATTTCAAATAATTTCACTATGGGGAATATTTGCCGAACATAGAAAACTGACCTGTGTAGTGGAGACATTCCTTGATTGTCTTTGGGAATACAGCCCAAAGCCTCCTTGTCTTGTTCATAAAAACGTTTCACCACATCAAGGTTCCCTAACGCACATGCGCAATGAAACGGTGTACTGCCATCTTTACTCTGAAATACGTCATTTATAAAATTTAGAGGGGATATGAATTTCATAGTTAGTGCCAGTGCTTAAATTTAACGTGAAATCACTTATGGAATGCAAATGAACGTCTTATTGAGAAATCACTTACCCTTGTCACGGCCATTTTAGCTCCGTATGAAAGACACAAATCTACAGACTAATAATCAGTTTACTCGTCAGTTCGCAAGAATTTTTACACCTCCCAGATAGGATGCTACATGTACTCCATTGTTGATCACTTATGTACTACTTAAGTAATAACTTAGTCCCTAACAACTATCTTATTCGTTTCTCGAGTTGTGGAAATAATGCATACCTGGAAAACCGAGCTTTCTACTGCAAGATGGAGAAGACTGTTTCCGCTGTCATCCACATCGTAGATAAACGAGTCCATTTTCATGTTACGTTCATCAACTGTATAAGACAAACAAAACTCTCGTGTTATTCTGATTTTAGCTTCAGTGGCCATTAATTTGATTAAACAGCCTGCTGAGACCGCACCTTAATTATATGCTGACAGATTCACACAGACTACGATCAAACTTCGCAGTGCTATATCAATTTACCTTCAGAGGAATGACGAGTGCTTTTCGTGACGTTTAGGCGCCGACTGTAAGAATGGCGCTATTCAGAATAATTACTGAAGAGTTTGGTCTAGATTTCAAAAGCGCATTTAAAATAATAGGAGAAAGAACGTGGCATGAACAACTGATGTTCTTACTGAGATCAAAGAGGCAAGCAGCAGCATCCTTGGAGCCTTTCAACACAGCAAGTGTTAGAGCGTTACCATGGTTACAATCCAGCTGGGCTCCATAATCAGCCTGGAAAGATAAAACACACGAGTTATATCTTTATTATTACATTATTATTTATCTTCATTGCATGCTCTTGGGCACCTTTTTCAATCAACCAGATGACCTATAATAACTTGATCTGTTGAGAACATTGGTGAGCACTGGCATAAGGCAAGTTGTTCATTGGGCCTTTGAATTTCTAAGGTTCTTTAAATTCTCGTCTTGAAATATTTTCCTGTGTTCTTATTGGCTATTGACATAAATTTCAGTTTGGTCTTAGGTTCGATGCACGCCATAGGTTGGCTTATTTCTCCTGGTCATCAGTAACCTCAGCCTAGTCTTAATGTAGGTCAACGGTTAGATGTCATCATTGAACTTTTTACTCACAAGTAGTTTGCACAACTTTGCGTGATCTGACTGAGCTGCAAGCTGCAACGGAGAAAGACCACCACTGCCAATTTTATTTACATCAGCTTGGGAACCGGAATTAAGCAACAACTGAGGAGGAACAAAAAACAACTGTTAGTACATTAATGAAACTGCAAAGCTCTGTGCTGGTTGCACAGCAGATACAAGGATAAAAATTGTCAAACAAAGCATGAATTTCTTTTTTCACCATCTTGTTCCCAGGTAAAGAACGTTTGAAGCTTTTGACTGGGTAATAAAATGGATAAAATGTAAGTGACTCTCATAGCTGCGAAAGGACCTTAGGCAAACCTTCACTATGTCTTCGTTGCCAGTTTGTATGGCGGAGTGCAGTGTTGTGTTCCCCATGTTGTCTTCTCTTTTAGCTTCAGCTCCCATCTGGATCAGCAGCTCTACGACAGCGAGGCTACCAGCCAGTACCCCGCACATCAGGGGAGTGTTACCAAGGTGATCTGGCTTATGGATATCTGGGGAGTTAATAAATCGGATAAGCAAATGCTTCACTTATTCACCACCACCTACATAGTACAACAGTCAAGCTGAAATCTTACCAACGCCATTGTTGATCAATCGCTGGACTTCTCTGAGATCTCCAGCGAGAGCTGCTAAGTGTATTGACTTGCCGACTGTAAAATTTCGGTGCTGAAATAAGATCGAAGTTGCTCAAATGAGGCCTCAAGGGTATTCCATGGAGTTTAGTATGTAAAAAAAAAACTTGCAAATCTTCGGTTTTTGGAAACAAAAAGAGCGGTGGATGCTTCAGCCTGTGAAGGTGATTTTTCCGTCATGTCAACATTTCTTTAGGCTTCTTAGGTGTAGATAGGAACTGCATTACTACTGCATTATCGTGTCTACAAGCTAAGGAAAGAGAATTCTTTTTTAAAGTAAAGAAGATTCGTAAACTTACGATCCTGCGATAGGTGTCTCCTAGACTGGATGGTCGGTGGGTTATAGTTTTTGAGACAGGCAGGCGTGCTGCGTCCAGATTCAGGCTTTCCGACATTGAGAAGGTGCTCCCAAAGAATTCGTGATCTAACTCCAATGATCCTTCTTCTGACGACATAAACGTCATACGCCATCTTGGAAATGATGGGCTCTCTAACCCACTTTCATGCCTTTGAACATCTGAATTCCTCGTCAATTCATATTTCTGTTTTGCCTCTTTGGGTTTATCTTCAAATAAAGAGGGAAATTATGAATAGCTAATTTGATGGCTTTTAAATGGTTTGAACCCGGGGGTTGTTTCGACAACCTGAGCGGAAGTCAGGTTGTCGAAAACGTCAGTCACCACTACCGACAACAGTCCTTCTCAGGACTACACTCACCCGGACGATCAAACTACACTATTACATAGATGGCATATGTTCTATTGTTAACAGCTCCTGGTTTACGTGTAGTTAAATGAGATAGAACGCTTCAGAAGTTTATAGAATGCAAGCCAATTTATCTAGGAGATGTATTAGCATATGAAGTAGCACATTTTGCTGCTAATCAACTGAATTTTTACCTCACGAACTAAAAAAGAGCGGTTCGGCGGTCAAATTAAAGGAACATTAACGTCATGTTTTAATCAGCTTAAAATGAGTTTAATCAGCTTAAAATGAGTTTGATCAGCTTGCATGAATGGTGAGCCTGTGTACAAAGACTAAAAACAAAACGATTTGTTATTTCGATCGGCTCGTACAATCTTTCATTAAAAAAGAGAACATTTTATCGTAAAGCAGAACACCAGAAACTAGAATTTGATCATTTGAATTTTGGTAAGGTTTCACTGAATACTTAGGCAATATTCTATTTATCAAGTCTTGTGTTTGATGGTACTTTTGAAACCGATGGCTCTCGTTTTTGATTTTGTAAACGGAACTAATTCACTTGCTAAAAGGGAAATCACTCGCCAGCTTATCGCTCGCTCATGAAATCATATTTTTCATCGGTGTTTATTTTTTTCCACAACTGGACATGAATCTACAGAAGCCAATTTATACATTTATGAAAAAATATAATGAAGTGTAAATTTCTATTTCCCGACTAATTTCGATAAAAATGTTGTGAGGAGGTAGGCCTCCCACTAGCTTTTGTTCCTTTCATTTTTCATATAGTATCCCGACTTAAGGGTATCCTGCAAACCATTGATGAATTAACGTTGTCAAAAGATTGTCATTATTTCCGTACCTTAGGTAATCCCACAGAGAAAAAGTTGTGAAAAATTGTGTCTAAAGCATTCAGGCTTACAGCTAAGCATTAATAGTTAAAACTTGGTGAGGTTAACAAGAGACATTTTGGTTTCTGGTGTGAATAAGCAATAATTGAAAAAAACCTTTTTATGCAACAAACCTTTTGATAAGAGGCCCCGCAATGCCTCAAAGCTGAAGCTCATCCTCTATCAGTTGCTGCTAAATGGAACAACGGAAGTCATACGAGTGATCTAGTCAGGCCTGAGCCATATGTTTTAAATAGATAGAATTTCTAGCTGTCATTTTGACGTATTCCCCTAATTTGATTATCAACGAACGAATCCCTCACGAGGCTGTTAGACATGTTGGCGATTTTAGAAAGCTTTAAGGTAAATTTATTTTTTACATCTATCAGAGAAGTTGTGTTGTTTATATTCACGCATAATTTCTATGTGATATGAAATTACGTCTCTGCATGTTTAACACAAATGTTTTAAAATAAAAAAATAGTGCTTATATGTTCACATAAATGCTTTCTGTCTCTGCATGTAGGCACCTTCCAAAACTAATATTAGGAACGGGGCTGGAAATAAACTTGAAATAAATATACAGCTACAATTCTTTATTTTCACGAGCGGCTGGCAAAGTGAGCCATGATGTATCACCTCCTCTTAAAGCTGTAAACCAACCTTACCAGAGGACGGCTAATAATTCCTTCAGAAATGACTTAGTTTTCAGTAATGTGTGCATTAGCGAAAAGTAACAAGAGTTACATAGATAATTAATTGTTATTTTTCATTATTAGAGCCAGAAATTTTTGTTAAACACACAGATGTTCTGGTTGTTATTGAAGTTTCGTGAGCATCGCCATTTTAATTGGCTCAGTAAATGATAAATGAGCTCTGTTTACCCCAGTTTTCAAGTTTTCGTAAACTTTTGCTGATTCTAGGCAGCGGGAAATCTTCAGACGAAGAAGGAAGCCATGTAAATGGAAGGCTTGTAAATTTAACCTAAATGGAATTGGTTTCTCGTTAAAACAACAACAACGATATCAGTGCTTGTCTGATGTGGCTGTATTAACGCAATGATTGTTTGGTAAGAATGGCAAATAAGTTCAAGCCACACATGGGGACGATGTTGGCGAAGCAAGATAATCTCTTCCGAGAAACGCTGAAAAAATGAGCTGGCATCACACCAGCTGTTTACTTCTAAACAGCCTGCGGGAGGAATGAGTCCTGGTCAGCTAGTGCCAGTCTATCTCAAACTTCCCTTCCGAGCAGCTAGGAGGATGATGCAAGTTCGTTGTCGTAGGAAATAAGAATAATTCTAACCAATGTTATTTTGATACGTCTCCTTCGGTATATGTAGATATCCGGCGTATATTTCGGTCTTGTCATTTACCGTCTCAACGACCAGTGGTCTCACGTTCGAAAACGAAGTAAATAGGTGTTTTGCTGAAAACTGATTTGGAAGCATTTTTGGCGTTGTAACGTACTTCCATAAGAGGGATGGAAGCCTTTAAGAATTGTACAATATTATGGATATTTATTGTGCTGGTCGGTAGTGTCTTAATTAGTGGAGGTAAGAAACGTGAACAATGATTTCTTTGTTGCCTTTAAGAGTAGCTCATGAGCTTGCAGATCTTGCGGATCACGTTTTAAATTGCAATGGTAGACGAGAAAATATAATTGTGAGAAAAAATTAGATATGGTAATTTGCACCTGCCACAAGGTGCCTTGTTCCTTCTTGCAAGTTGTTGGCCCAGTCTCAGTATATTATTTTGAACAATGTCTTTGTCGAGCTTAGTAAAGAAAAAAAAGTAAAAAAATTTACTTCTTGATTTCAGAATTCAAATTCAGCAGAAAATTTCTCTGTCGCCACATTGGTGGTTTCACCAAAATTATTAATTCAAGTGCGGTTATTATGGGTTCTTCTGTAGCCAAAATCTGAATGCTGATTCCTATTTATTTCGTAGAGGGAGCAGTACTCTGAATTTGCACACTAATCTTAAAGAAAATCAGTTGACTTGGGTATTGAATGACATTGTGTGTTTTACAGCCTTAGGTTGGGGCAATAAAGACAAGATAAGATTAACAGATGTCAGTGTCATTACATTACATCCTGGAAAAATGACAAAGTCCCGTCGTACCCACCCTGTTCCCCAGTTAAAGTGTGTTGGTGGCTCAGCAGGTTGTTCAGCTTTTACTCCAAGTGTTGTTCAGTGTTACAACCGAGGGTCTGATGGCTATGATGTTCAGGTAAATTGTGATAGGAATTTAATTTGCAGTCATAATGATTATCTTAAAGAAAAATTTTCCTTATATCATATAAGTTTTGTAAACTGTGATACATTTTTGCAGTGGGAATGCAAGACAGACATGGACAGTCAGTATAAGTTTGGTGAAATTACAGTCAGCTGTGAAGGTTATGATTATCCTGATGACCCATACATTCTAAAAGGTTCCTGCGGGGTATGTACCCTAGTGCTGTATTGTTTTGACAAAGGGCTAACACTTTAAGAGACATTTAAAACTCTTTACAGTGACCAATTAATATTTTATGAACTCAGATGATTAACCAAACTATGTTGTGCATGTGAGGGTATCAGTTACACAAGCCTATTGGCTTCTTTGGACTATCTTGCCATATAATTGTTTTCTTATCATTATACACGTGTTAGTGTGGTGCAAGTTTAAAAAAATATTATCAGTGGTAAGTTATTTGATATAAAACTCCCAATACCAAGTGAAGATCCAATATAAATGGAGACAGAGTGAGAAGGATGTCAATTTTTGTGAACTCATTCCTCAAGTAGTAAAGATGTTGAACATTGATCACAGACATTGGACTTAGGAATTAATTTATTTCATTGTGAAGGTTCAAAACTCAGATTTTCCAATTTGAAAGTTTGATTCCTTGCTAACTTAGTAAGGGAGATTTTGCAAGGTTCCTATGCGAAAATTGTCTGTCTTAATGTTAGGATCAGCTATGGCAGAAGCTTCCTGTGTAGAACAAGAGTAGGAAAGGGGCTAAATTTCCTAGCTTGATTGCTTGAGTCTAAAAAAAGATAAAGATATTAGTTGCTTATATTTTATTTGTACCATTTTCATGACAAATTTATGACATCTTTCTCTTTTGACAACCAAGCTAAAACTCTATTATATGAGGGTTTTCAAAAAAAAGGCAGACCAGGATGGCATTATGCAAAACTGCACTGCAAAACCGTTACGTTACAGAATTCACTTAAAACATTTAGCCAATGTTGTAGCTTAAATGATTTTTGGTTTATATTTCCTATTTCCTCTTACTTTTGCTTGTATTCATATGAAACTATTACTAAAGGTATTAATTTATTTTACAGTTGGAATACACAATTGACATGGTCAGTAGTGGAAGTTATTATCACAGCAATTATCATTCTGGGCACAGGGACAACACTTACCACAACTACAACAGTCACAGTTACCGCTCCAGGTACATTGTTAAAATCTAGTGGAGTCATTTCTTTCTTTTTGGTATTGTACTTTTAATTAAATACAGAACCGTTGTGTTTGTGTTGATTATTTTAAGTACTCAAGTACTGGTGTGTTGTCTGTAAACAACATATGCAACACTAGTTGTTCTTCTATCATGTGGTAAGCTGTAAACAAATTTAAGTAGCATTGTTTTGCTTTCATGCAGTTATCTGTTTAAAAAAAAATGAAAAAAAAGCCACTTGAAAACTATGCACAAATCAATAGAAATCACAAGTTGGAAAAAATAGCTTCTGCAATCGACCAACACAAAACAACGGTGGATGTTTTCCTAGATCTTTCCAAAGCATTCGACACTCTTGACCATCAAATCTTCTTTGCCAAATGGGAGCATTATAGTATCAGTGACATGGCTCTGCAGTGGTTCAAAAGCTACTTTTCTTGCTGCTCACAATTTTTTCCAATTCAATCAAGCTTGCTCTCCAATGCAAACCATCAAGTGTGGTGTCCCTCAAGGTTCGATTTTAGCCCCTCTACTGTTCATTCTATACATGAATGACCTCCCTAATGCCTCTGAATTAACAGACCCTCTGCTTTTCGCTGATGACACCAGTATCTTTTATTGTCACTCAAACCCAAATTGTTTAGAATCCATACTTAATCATGATGAACTCCAAAATATTGATGTTTGGCTAGTCTCTCAGTTAATATAAAGAAAACTAGTACATAATTTTTAAACCCAGACAGAAACTCCAGCTTTTCTCTCTCCTTTGGAGGTAAACCCTTACAACAATCTAACACAACTAAATTCCTAAGGGTCTATATTGATGATCATCTCACCTGGAAACACCATATCAGCTACTATGTAAACAAATTGCTAAATCAATAGGTATTATATTCAGGTCTCACTTTTTCCTATCCTCTACAACCAAACTCACTTTGTATTACACCTTAATTTATCCCTATATCGTCTATTGTAACTGATCCTTATATTGTCTATTGTAACTGATCCTTATATCGTCTATTGTAACTGCGCCTGGTCGTCCACATATGTATCTAACTTTAAATAGAATTTATTACTTGCAAAAGTGAGCTGTTCTCCAAACTAGGAATTTTAGATATTTTCCAAGTCAATACATTTGAAATCACCAAATTCATGTTTTATTGTGGAAATAACTTATTGCCTCCATTGCTTCTCAATCTTTTTGCAACAAAAAGCCAAATTCACAATTATGGTACCAGAACAGCCAGTAATTATCGAACGCATTTGTGCCGTACAAATCTCAAGCAATTTGCAATTCTCTATCAAGGTCCTAAAATTTGGAACTCTCTTCCTGTTTCAATCACTCATTCATCAAACCTTCTTAGTTTTAAGACGAAAATGCAACAGTTTTTACTTAAATAATCACTGAATTGGCCTTAAGCCGCACATTCACAGCACTTTTTCTTTACTTTATTTATTAATGTAAGCGAGGTGGCTCTCCCATAAGCCTGGTGGCTTCCTGGGTCTCCTCGCCTTCTAGCTATAAGTGTTGTAAATAAATTGTTTGTATTTTGTAAATAAGGCAAATAAAGATGATGATGATGATGAGGATGAATTTTCTTTCTAGGCATTCTGGAGGTTGGCTAAGTACAATTATCACCTGGGGAGTCATTGCCTGGATTGTATATTACATCTACCAGCGTTTTACATACAACCAATCACAGCAGTATCCTACATTTATTACTTTTAATGTGTTATGTGTAATTGGCCACATGCTGAGATCTGTATTATAACACCCAACATTTTCACATTCCAGTGGTCCTTCAATTACCCAAAGTTTTCACTATCTAGTAATCACACAAGTTTCTTCTCTCAGTCTTCTATTTAATATGATGAAGTGATGGTATTGTACAGTTTCTTGCTTAAGAACTAAATAGAATATTCTTTAGGACATTTTTAGTACTATCTATTTTCATAAAGTTCTCCTTAACAAGAAATATTTTAGGAATAATTCAACTGGTGGTCATAATCAATTTTCCAGTCCCCCACCTCCTGGATTTCGGCCTGAGTATACACCAGGTAAGAATTTATGCATCCCCTCCCCCCCCCCCCAAAAAAAAAAAAAAAAAAAAGGTAATTGAATGATAACAATAACAAAAATAAAATAAAAAAGAAGAAGAAGAAAGTAAGGAAAAGAAGACTTCTCACAGTGGACTTTACCTTTTTAAGTAATAATGGACAAAGTTAGTGGTTTACCAGCCTTAAATAAATGTGAACTATCAGTTTTTATACATTTGACAAGAGGAGGTTCAGGTACTCCCTCCCCCTCCCCCTCAGCCACACCTTAAAAGACTGTGCTTTTTTCGCTGCTATTAGGAGGCCACACTACACATTCCAACAGCTGGACAGGAAATGCAGCAGGAACTGATGGTTGGCCGGGATTTTGGTCAGGTGATCAGAATGATATCAAAACCTCTTAACCAGGTTTCCTTTATTTATTGATGGACTATTATCGACTATAAACTGAGCTTGTAGGAGACATGGATGTGGCAGAAGTTCAGAAAACGCATTCTTTTGATCGTAAAGAAGTGTTCATCAAGGTGCAGTCTTGAAATGGTGAAGAAAGTGATTTATGAACCAGCTATTCTTGAGTTTCAAAATTTTGTTCAAATCAACAAGAACTGAGACTTTTTCTCGTCCGTGGATCAGGATACATGTATCGCTCCTATTGTTGTTATTAGGTGTTCAAGTTGATTGAGAAGATAAATCATAACATTTTTCCTTATTTGCTGATGCAATGTAGGTGCTGCCACCGGGGGACTTTTGGGATATCTGTTTGGAGGCTCAGGGTAAGAGCTTAAAAAACGCTTAAATGATAAAGAGAGTAATAAGCATGTGCATCTTTTAAACGTAGATAACAACCGGAAAGAGAGTTTTTATAACCTTAGGGGCTTGCGACAAACCTTTTGACCGTTGAAATGCGTTAAAAGATGCCTTTCAGTTGATTGACTTACGTGGAAAGCGCACCAGAAGTAATTGCATTTTCCTTCCATTTGCTAGTTGTCTTGCAAAAACGGCTTTGATGAGGTTCGCTTATGGTAACGCAACTGAGATCGGTAACGACAGCGTACTGTATATCTAACCAAAATACCAACCATAAGAATAACGATAACGATAACGATAACGGTAAAAGTAACAATAACGATAACAGTGACGTTAACGATAAGATAACGATAACGATAACAGTAATGAAAACAGAAACAGTGTTGATAACGGTTGTGATTGGTTGACGACCAAATGAGAACGGTGATGATAGAAATCACCATCTAGAAAAGTATTGTTGTTTGCGATCATATTAACGTTATGAGTGACGATGATATAGACAACTTTTTTTATCATTACTGTACAAACCGTCACAATCTTTTCTATGGTCACCATGATTACTGGTATAATGTGCCATCCTAATTTTTTTTTCTCATAAACAGCCGTCGCAATACTTACTATGATCACTATGATTACTATGGTCCGAGATACCATCAGCGAGGACCTGGGTACGGTTTTGGTGGAGGATCGGGCTGGTTTGGGTCCAACAACAGCTGGTCTTCAGGACGCTCCTCAGGTTGGACCTCAGGCAACAATTACAGAGGAAGCTCCTCTCCAAGCTCTCGGACCTCCTCAGGTGAGCGTGAGCTGAACTAAACCCCTGCTGTGTTTCAGACTATTTATTTTGACTTGCAACTTGCCGCGAAACAGACAATGTAAAGAGTTTCTGTGAATTGTGGTGGCAAACATTTTTTGATGCATTGAGTACTGAGTCGTAATCATAAATATAAATTTTTTTTGGATTCGTCATCGTAACGTGACAGTAAGTCCTGTTCTGTTGTACTGAATGTACCACAGAATTCCCTTTGTTAAGATTTTCAGCTCTGTTCTCTGGGAGAAATCCTCTGTAGGGATTAAAAGATATGATTGGTCAGTGAGCCACCCATAAGAGGTGGACCGACCACTTTTTGGTGTGTCACACTGACAATACCACGACGTAGAATAAATATTGTGTGAAAAATACCGTAATTTATTGGGGTCAATTTCCTTTGCAGGGTTCGGTGGAACCAAACGTCGCTAAAAACTGATTAAAAGAAAACCGTTGATACCTCATGCACACTTATATTAAAGGCTGTTCACTTCCTGACAGTAACAGGAAACCTTTCGAGGAGGGGAAGGGAGATATTGGTCAGCATTGCACATTAGAGCCCAGCTTTCTCTGTCTGAAGGCTTCAGTTGTTTGATTAGTTCAATAGGTAACCTATCGTTGTTCAGCTAATTTTTACGGCCTAATATTAACACTTACATATAATAGTTAGTGATTTAGGGTTATTTTCATAGTCGTTTACAATAGCCATCATCCTCGCAAAGAAAACGTCTTCTTTTTCTACTTAGTTGAGCCTTAAAAACCATTATCAGGTTACTATGAGCAACGGTAAATTATCCGTCGTATTTTGTTTATTTAAACACTAAATTTGGTTTTACTCTAAATTTGAAACAAGTGTCACGTACATAAGCAACGTAAAAAGGCTTCCTCTAAGAAGCCTTCTTCTAGTAAATAAAAGTTTTTCTAAAATTAAAAGAATGACAGAGTCCCTTTTATTGATTTTCCCCTCTATTACTAAACCTAACAATATTCCGTTCCCAATTATTCTGCTTTAAAGAGAGATTGTGCTGTTCTTCCAAAAAAGTAGTCAGCTCAACATCAGTGACTCTTTTGCTACAACCTTCTAGCCGAACTTAGGCTCGATGGCCAACTAATGAAGCTCCTACCAGCAGCCGGAAATCTTCTCTTTTAGCGTGGTAATTAAAAAAATAATAATTTTGTTCCTAAGCTCAGTTATTTTGCGGCTCTTCTTTATTGCTGAGTTTTAAATGCATGAATATTGATACAAGAGCATTTTGCTGATGAGCTTTCTGCTAACTGCCAGGACCATGAATCAAACCGAGTTTTCTAGCTCATTATCAAAATTCTATTGTCTCGATATTTAAAGGAGATTTTCTTGGCCCACAAAATAGTTGTGGCTTTGAAACTCGCACAAAAGAACACAGCTTATTGCCCTCTATTTAACGAACTAATAATCCTTCCGCAAATCGTCTTTATTGGCGAGATATATAGGCATAGATATTAGAACAAAAGAATTTTGTCAATGAGCTTTCGGCAAACTGTCAGGACAATGAGCCAAACCGAGTTATTGAAACTCATCAACAAAATTCTATTGTTTCAATATTCAAGGGAATTTTCTCGGCCAAAAAGAGAGGTGTCGCTTTGAAATTCATACAGAATACACCGCTAATCACCTTCTTTCTAACTATCTCAGCTTATTACCCTCTCTTTAACGAACTAACAATACTTCCGCAAATTGTCTTTATTGCCGAGATATATACGCATGAATATTGAAACAATTTTGTTAATGAGTTTAGGTAAACTATCCGGTAATCTATTTCGTTAAACTATGTTACTGAGCTAAACCAATTTTTTAGCTCATTAACAAAATTCTATTGTTTCAATATTCAGAGGGGATTCTCTTGGTCAAAAAAAGAGGTGTGGCCTCGAAACTCGTACAGAATTTACAGCAGATAACCCTCTTTCTAACGAAGTAATAATTCTTCCGCAAATCCTCTTATTTGCCGAGATATATACCCATGAATATCAAAACAAAAGCATTTTGTTAATAAACCTTTGGCAAACTGTCAGAAGCACAAGCTAAACATAGGTTTTTAGCTCATTTTCAAAGATTCTATTGTTGCAATATTCAGAATATTGAAGCAAAAGAATTTTGTTAATAAGCTTTCTGCAAACTGTCAGGATTACAAACTAAAACAGGGTCTTTAGCTCATTAACACAATTCTATTGTTTTAATATTCAGTATATATATTTAATAGCTTAAAATATATATTGAATAATTAAATTAATAATTAATTATTAAATAATTAATATATTTAATAATTGTTCCTCAGCCTTTCAAACAATTTTATAATTGTTCTGCAAACTCCCTTTATTGCCGAGATACATACGCATGAATATTGAAACAAAAGAATGTTGTTAATGAGCTTTCTGCAAACTGTCAGGAAAACAAGTTAAAGAAAGGTTTTTAGCTCATTCAAAAAACTCGATTGTTTCTATATTCAGAGGGGATTTTCTCTGCCAACGAAAAAGGTGTGGCTTGGAAACTCACACAAAACACACAACCTAATGCCATCTCTCTTAAAAAATGATAATTCTTTTGCAAACCTTCTTTATTGTTGAGATATTAATCATGAATAGTTAAACAAAAGAATTTTGTTAATGAGCTTTCTGCAAACTGTCAGGATTACAAACTAAAACGGGGTCTTTAGCTCATTAACAAAATTCTATTGTTTTAATATTCAGAGGGGATTTTCTTGGTCCCAAAAAAGGGTGTGGCTTGGAAACTCACACAAAATACACAGCCAAATGCCATCTTTTTTACAAACTTATAATTCTTTCACAAATCGTCTTCATTGCCGAGATATATACGCATGAATATTGGAACAAAAGAATTTTGTGAATGAGCTTTTGGTAAAGTGTCAGGACGACGAGCTAAACCGAGACTTTTAGCTCATTAAGAAAGTTCTATTGTTCCAACATTCAGAGGGGATTTCTCGGCTCAAACAGATGTGGCTTTTAAACTCATACAGAATACACAGCTAATCACTATGTTTCTAACCGATTAATAATTGTTCCACAAATCCTCTTTATTGCCAAGATATTTAATCATGAATACTGAAACAAAAGATTTTTGTTAATGAGCTTTCTGGAAACTGTCAGGATTACAAACTCAAATGGGGTCTTTTGCTCATTTACCAAATTCTATTGTTTTAATATTCAGAGGGGGTTTTCTCGGCCCAAGAAAGAGGTGTGGCTTGGAAACTCACACAAAATACACAGCCAAATGCCATCTCTCCAAAAAACTAATAATTCTTTCGCAAATCTTTTTTATTGTCGAGATATATACGCAAGAATATTGAAACAAAAGAATTTTGATAATGAGCTTTTGGCAAACAGTTAGGACCACGAGCTAAACCGAGATGTTTAGCTCATTAACAAAATTCGATTGTTTCAATATTCAGAGGGGATTTTCTCCGCTCAAAAAAGAGGTGTGGCTTCGAAACTCATACAGAATACACAGCTAATCATCCTCTTTCAAACAATTTTATAATTGTTCTGCAAATTCTCTTTATTGCCGAGATATACGCGCATGAATATTGAAACAAAAGAATGTTGTTAATGAGTTTTCTGCAAACTGTTAGAACAACAAGCTAGAGCGAGGTTTTTGGCTCATAAACAAAATTCTATGTTCAGAGGGGATTTTCTTGGGCCCAAGAAAAAGGTGCGGCTTCGAAACTCACAAAAAACACAGTCATGTGCCATCTCTCTAAAAAACTAATAATTCTTTCGCAAACCTTAATTGCCGATATATATACGCATGAATTTGAAACAAAGGAATTTTGTTAATGAGCTTTCTGCAAACTGTCAGGACAACAAGCTTAAGTGAGGTATTTTGCTCATTAACAAATTTCTATTGTTTAATATTCAAAGGGGATTTTCTTGGCCCAAGGAAAAGGTGTGGGTTGGAATTTGCATAAAACACACAGCCAATGACCATCTCTCTCTAACAAACTAGTAATTCTTAAGCAAATCCTCTTTATTGCCGAGATATATACGCATGAATATTGAAACAAAACAATTTTGTCAATGAACTTTCGGTAAATGTCAGGGCAATAAGTTAATGTGAGGTTTTAAGCTCATTAACAAAATTCTATCATTTCAATATTCAGAGGGGATTTACTTGGCCTGAGGAAGAGGTGTGGCTTTGAAACTTATACAAAACACACAGATAAACGCCATCTTTCTGACAAACTAGTAATTCTCAAAAAAATCCTCTTTATTGCCGAGAGATTATTGAAACAATAGCTTATTGACCCATTTCAACTTTTCCAATACCCAGAGGGAATTTTTTCCAGTCCATAAAAGAGATGTTGCTTTGAAACCTGCATACTGTAAGAGTAAGATTTTGTTGATGAGCATTTTGAGTCCAGGACCTAACCCTTGTTTTCGAACTTATTGACACTATTCTGCCATTTCAATATTCTGAGTGGCCTATTGAAGGTGTTCATGCAGGAAATCAGTCTTCAGGGCATTTCTTTAAAGTTAACAAGTCTTGCACAGGTGCACAATGAAAACTTTAATCCTGCATTAATTCTCTAAAGTCCATTTGGATCTTCAACATCTGTAAAAAAACTTGGTGCTTTTTGTTGTAAAACCTGAAATGAGACAAACAAGGAACACAAGTTTTAGGAGCGTGAAGCATTTCTCTGTTTCTTTATTGTTTGGAATGTTTCATGGCAGAGCCTATTTCCTCAACCATATATCATGTCTAAGCTGAGTGTTTGGTTGTCAAGCCCTCAAGTAGGAAAGAAGATTGAGATCATTTTGTTGTGACTCAAACCATCGTTCTTTTCCAGGTGAATTTCCCTCACAAGGATGGTGAGGATCTCTTAACCTGATAAGCAGCTCAGTTGTTTTCATTTTTCTTGCTCCTCTAACTTTGTCATACTCAAGCGCCACCAAAATATTCCCACAGAGAGTAGAGTAACTTTTTCCTTACCCTTTCAAATTTTCTTGTGGCTTTACAACTCTTCCTGCAGCATTCATGCTTTTCATAGCTTCCTTTAGACAAAAGCAAAATAATAAATAAGATGACCTGATGAATGGGATATGTACCAAACCCTCTCTGGGTTTCAAGGTACAATTAAATCCTTCCTACTTGATTTTCCTTTTGATTGACTGATGTGAAACCAAAACAAAAGTAATCAAAACAGGAATCAGAGCGAAGGAAAACCTACAAGAAACCAAGAAGAACTCATAGTAAAGCAGAAAACCCCCTGAAGAGTGAGAAAATTCAAGGGACTTAGCTACATTTGTTTTCAGTTACTGCATATATCTTCTGTAAAGAGAGTAGTTTGTTTTATGAACTGTAGACAGTCTAAGTGTGTCATAAAGTATTTTGAAATGTTATTTCATGTCAGTATAGTGTAAATGAATTATACATCAATGTAACTCGATGTCGTTCTGGCACAAAGCTCATACCAAAATTTTTCCATCTATAACACTGGTTAAAAAAAAATTAGTTTTGATTTTGGTTGGGCAAGAGAGCTTTGTCCTCTTTCAAACATCATTGTCCAAAATATGACATACCACCGTCAGGTGAATAGTGAGGAATGCTCAGGCACCCACCTGGATTGAAGAAAAATCCCCTGATGCACATGCTCCAAGAATTGCTGCACCAACAAGCACTGATTCACTCTCACGTGGTAAAATACAAGGAAAACCTACAAGTCAAATAACAAAATGACTCTATTTTTAGTTATAACTCTATTAATGACTAAATTGATGCAAAAAGATAACAATTAGTTTTTCCCTAATATCACCTAGCTCAGATCACAACCAGAAGCATTACCTCTTGACTCTATTGAAGTGTAGTAGATCAGAAAATATACATTCAAGAATGAACATACCTGTCACATCAGCATGTGTTTGGATGAACAATTCATTCTTACTGAGGCCACCACAGAGGAACAGAGTGTCAATAGAATGTCCTGCTTTGTTCAAGCATTCTACAATATGGCGAGTTCCATGCTGGTGGGAACAAACAACAGGAAAGCAGCAGTTTACTACATTGCATTGTGATAAACAAGTACCATACAATTTCTGCAGAAATAGAGAAAGAAAAAAGGGTGAATTTTTCTATCAATAACTCTTTCTTTCCAAAAGGTCAGTAGGACAACATGTTGTTGAAAACCTCCCAGGGAAGATAACTTCCAGAGGAACGAAATGTTTACTGTTGTTGAAGTTTTTGTTGCCTTAACTGTTTCAGTGTCTGTTTGAAATTAAATACTACCACAATGGAGAACAGGTCTATTAAAGGAAAAGAAAATGACAATGACAACTACTATGACAAACAATACTGAATCATTCTCCGTACAGTTCATTGGAAATTGTGCTAATGTTGTTCATACTTACTGCAAGGGCCTGAAGTGCAGCAAGATACAAAACAGCCAGGTTGTCTAGATCAGTAGTGAGAGTTAAACCACAAATCTACTTGAAAGAACAGATGTACTTAGTAAATACTGACATGACAGGGCTGTATCTAAAACTATCAAAATGTATTTAAAAATAATGACACCAGATGAAAGGATAGTAAGTAACATTTACAAACATTCAGGTCCAGAGTCAGAAAGGAAAGAAGCAAGAGAGGAATCAGAACAAATTTTTTAAGGTAATAAAGTATTATTGAATTCTAATAACTCAAATATTCTAAGAACTACCAAGGTGTTAAGAGTAAAAGTTTTAAAAATGATGACCAGAGGGAAACAAAACTATATTTGATTTTGACGACAGGTTCAACCTAATGACACAATATTCACACAAAAGCAGATGATAAGTGAGAGGGACCAGGAATGGCTAAAACTCAGGCAATATAAGAAAGTCTTTATCTGTACCATTCCTGTCATTTTGGGATCTCCTATGGGTGATCGGTTTCCATGGAAATCTGGAAGCAGGTGAAAGTTGCGTGACAATAATGCCAAGTTATCAAGCTGACGCTTCTCTGCCAAGGTGGTCACATGTCTGTTAAGTTCCTCATACAGGGAACAATTGCTGAGAGAGTGAAAAGAAAAGAATATGAATGGAAGGTTATTGAATTTCTACGTGAATTTTTTTTCATTATTACTAAGAAGAAATGCTGTCTCAATCTTTAAAGTGACCAGCTCAGAGCAAAGATAATTTGTTCCAAAATACAGAAATAATAACAGGCTTACATGCTTCTATAGTTATGTTGACACTTTGTGTAGCAATGCAGGAGTTATAAGTTATAAGACTGGATAACTCCAAGTAAAAAATAAAACATAAAACAAACCTCTTTTCAGCTATTTCTTTCAGCTCTGTGTAAGCCACATGTGTCTCGATAAGATGATCAATCTACCACAATTAAGACTCATATCAGTACAGCTAGACTAATTTCAGCCAGCCTTGCAAACACAATACAAACAAGTTTACCCTTAGTTGTCTCTCTGTGTTGTTTTCAAAAAATGTTTACAGAATGGGTATAAAATGATATACTGCAGCTCTAACCAGTTTCCCAGTCACACTTTGGCCTCCTTCATTCAACCACAGGCCTGGTACCATAGCAGAGAAGTATGGGCCCCAGACCCCTGGCACAAACACTGGCTTTTCATTAATCTACAACACAAAAGTATTAAGTCAATAAAAATTGATAAAATACAATTCAAACTTAAATTAAACTGGTATTCAATGACTAAGTATACTGACTGCTGACTACAGTAGCTGCAGACAGACTGGCTGACTACCAAGTGACTGGCTCACTGACTGATGAAATGAGTATTTATTTAAAAAAACTAATGGACTAGCTGACTGACATGAGAATGACTAATTACTGGCTGACTGACTGACAACTGTCTGACTTACCAACTGATTGATACAAGGAAGAATAAACTAACTTAGACTGACTGAATGATTGACTGACTGACTGACCCACCACCACATAAACTGACTTATGACAGACTGGCTGACTTGTGGATGAGAGACCAAATGACAGCTCAACTAACTGATTGTGCAAGATGACAATTTATCAACTTACAGCCATGTGACATGATGATGTTCCACAAATGACAGCCAGACGTGAAGTCAATGGTTTATCATCCGTAAGAAGTGAACCTAGATCAGCTCCAATGACACCTTGAGAAGAAATATTGAAATTCAAATTGGCAGTAAGTACATTGCTAGAGAAACAATAACACTTATCATCAAAAGCAAACTCTTACCCAAGCCCCCAGCATGTGCATCAATGAGTGAAGTACCCACAGGCATTCCTTCCCATAATCCTAGTTCTGCTGCAGCATTTTTCGTCAAACCTTTACCAACAGGTTCCCCGGGGCTACCAACTTTTACCCCTCAAAAAAAGTAGGAAAAAAAAAATAACTGGTCAGACTCACAGGATACTAGAGAGAAAGCAAATTTAATAGTTGTCATAACTTTTCAAATATTTTATTGTTAAATTCCAATGCAGGACAAAACAAAAGAAATAGTTTTCATAAAATTAATTCAAAGACAAAAACTAAAAATAAAAAAAACATATCAATGCTGTAGCTCTACCCAGTTTGGAATATTTAGTGTTTACAAGATCTTCGAGTCCAACTGCTTCCAAAAATGAGTCAATCCATCCACTTGTTGAACCTGCCATGAAAAATTAAGTTGATTGAGACATATTTTTCATCAATAATGTTGCCATCAGCATTAGTATAATGTCACCTATTAGAGTCTGGCCACAAATCAACTTTTTTAAGCATCCTGAGCACAAACTTTTTTCCCTAAAGGAGTAATTCTTTAACATTCTGTAGGGTTCTGTAGCCCCATAATTACAAAAAATAGTAGTAACCCATCAAGCCGAAAAAATTTGAATGTACAACCATACTACTGTACGACCGCACAAGGTGGTACTTTTAACGTGCGTGGTCAATTGTACTGCAGGCAAACCAACACCACAGCTTTGTCCAGTAGTCCAGTGGTCAGTGTACTGGGCTCTGAGTTGGACGACCTGGGTTCTAGTCCTGGCTGGGGCAAGGCGTTGTGCCCTTGAGACATGCAGGGAAAAAAATGCGAGCTCCACTTTTAGGCCTGGCTAAATCTATATATTATCAGTTCTGTAATGGGCATCTGAAAGAATTCACTCCATGAGTCAGCCAGTCTGTCATAAGTCAGTATCTGAGCATCTGTACACCTACCCCTCCCAACCCAACATTCAACTGATAACAAGTAAGGATAAATTTTGGCTTAGGGGAGGGGTAGATGGGCAGTTGCTTGGATACTGACATTGATCCAGAATGTTGAAGGTCACTCCACTTTTCTTTGAGGTTGTGAGTCAAGTCTAAGTGGATCAATTCTCTTCATTAATTTGAATTTTAAATTTAATGATTGAAATAAAATTTCTGAATGACAAAAATGTAACTAACCTTCCAGTATTTGAGATCCATGTCCCATGTAATTAAATTTACACACAAGAGAGCACATGGACCTAACAAAATATGTTTGTTGTTTTTGAAAAGAGTGATTTTTCATTACCAGCAGGCAAAGAACACAGTCATCATAATTACTTTGGTGAGTTACCCAAACACTGACTGTCAAGTAATTATTTGTTAGATAATCCATTACTTATAACTTTCTGATTTTTTTAAACAAAAAACTGCAGTGTCATATCTGTTAACTGTTTAACTCCCAGAAGTGATTAACATGTAACTTCCCCCTACAATATCTATATACTGTCCAGCAAACAGGTAATGAGAATACTCAAATATATCAGGTAGAAGTTGCCATCTTGATCTAACACCAAATTATCACTACTAATTTACAAGGAAATGTGTTGCAGCTAAAGGGGAGAATTTACAATCAGATCTTGGGAGTTAAAGGGTTAACAGAAAAATATATTGTGTATAGCACAAACATCTAATGGAACCATAACAATGATCTACATATATACATACATATGTATATAAAACCCCTTCTCAAAAACATTGCAACATTTAAAATATGTATTAAATATAGATATCTTTTGTTCTCTTATCAAAAAATGTCTCTTTTTGATGAGAAAATAAAAGGTAGAAACTACATATATTTAATATACATTTGCAAATTTGAAACATTTTCAAAAACGGGTATATATACACACATATATATATAATATATGATATATATAATTTATAATATAATGTATAATTTATAATAAAACCATATAGTTTAATATAACAATATAATTTATATATAATTATAATATATATATATTTATTATTTACTCTGATATTCAAGTATGAATGATTACTGCCACTTTTCTTTCAACCCGAGACCAAGAAAAATTGTAAGAGATTTTAACTAATATCTCTAACACATGAAAAGTGCCATTGTTTTCCAGCTTTCTTGACCATTTTTGTCTAACTTTATGTTAACCATTACAAATAAGGATCTATGTATCACTTACCTTGTTTCATCACCAGTTGCCCTGTAAGTGAGAAACTCAGGTAATTCTAAAAAGAGAGCACATTTATCCCAACAGTCTGTTGGTAAATTTTCCTTTAGCCACAGCATTTTTGGAATCTCCATTTCTGGTGAGGTAGCTCCACCGACATACTTTAACACTTTATGTTTTGTATCATTGATTCTTTTAGCCTGTTCCATGGCACGGTGATCCAGCCACATTATAATATTTCTGTGAGGTTCTTTGGAAGGACTGCAAGTGACAGGATCTCCTGAAGAATCTAAAGTCACCAGGGAACATGTTGCATCAAAACCTATCCCTTTCACCATTCTCATGTCAGTAAGACTGGCACCAACCTCCTGCAAAAAGGTATACAATGATGGTACACAAATAGTAAACTTCAGTATACCCCATTCAATTTGCCTCTGACTATTCTCCACCAGTTAGAGCTAACTTTTTAATCACTTTGCCATGTTGCCTCCAATCGCAAAAGTCAGGTAAATGTTTGATTAGAATCACGACAATCATAAAATGATTACCTGTCCGTCGATCTGCCTGCCCCCCTGTCTGTCTGCCTGTCCTCCTGTCTGTCTACCTGCCTGCTGTGAGTAAATGATCACAAAAGCAAAGCCTACGAGAAATTTGATCCTGATTCAAATACCCCTTAGTGGGTTGATTAGTTCGATCGATCGATCGATAGATAGATAGATAGACAGACAGACAGACAGACAGACAGACAGACAGACAGACAGATAGATAGATAGATAGATAGATAGATAGATAGATAGATAGATAGATAGATAGATAGATAGATAGATAGATAGACTACATAGGACAGGGCTGCAGGAGGGCACATCCTGTCCTTTACTAGCCTCCACTGTCCTCCACTAGCCTTATCCTGCGATGATAAAAAGATACCTCTCCCCTCCCCTCCAGCAGGGATTATCGCGGCGTGTTTGTGAACAAACTTCCAAAGGATCCCAAACGCAAAAAAAAAATTTGGAAAATACCTTAACAACTAAGCATACATTTCTCCATACATCCTCTGATGACTGCTCGTAGTAATCAGTTAGAGGCTGCCAGATTTGCAATGGCTTCGTCGCAGATGAAACGATTCTTCCATCGTGGGTAATCAGAGCGGCACGGACGCTAGCTGTTCCAACGTCCACACCTATATAATAGGATTCCATCATTTTTTGTTACGTATAAAGCTTATGATAGGGGGTACAGTACACCCTGACAGCTTTTCAGCCATCATCAAAAGATCGCCATATTGGACGAGTAGGGTCTGGTAAAAAGACAACCTTTCCGTCTGACATTTTCTCCCTCACCCGTCCCCCCAGCCTGACTTTGGCTAGTTCAGAGAAATTCCCAGCGGGGAGGGAAGACAAACTTCAGCTGTAAATCCTATCACAATTTCGTTTTATATTGAAACTCTTGAAATTCTCTCTTCTTTTTTCAGCCCTCTCTGTGATTTAGTCACTTTAGCAACGAGCTCAAGTCAGGGTCTGGGAGCGAAATATTCTAATAATCTCAAGACAGCCAGTTAAAAATTGTTATCAAACTAGTCATTAGCTGAACGAACAGTTTTTGAGAAAGTGGTAGATTATATAGAGACTTACCCGCGCTTTCTCCCAAAAAGGATTCCTCAACTAAGCGTGGACTCTCGCGTGTGACTCGTACGAGCTCTTTACTATTGACACGCGCGTTCTTAAGACTGGGGCACGTGATGATCTACCTTTTCCCACTCATTTTGTTCATCTTTTGCTGTTGCTGTGGTTTGTGTTGGCCAAACGGGATCTGTTTCAGGGTGTGTTGAGAATAGGGCAAGAAAGGATTAATTGTATGCTCTGCTGGAACTGAGGGTTATCTGGCCAGCATTGCTGTTTTCATCTTTGACGGGAAAAGTGTGGCTTCTTTTATTAAGAGGTAAACAATCTTAATAAAGATCATAAGTAATTTAGTTCATCAATGATCTGTACCGTTATGATATTTCCATGTCTTTCAACCGGAAGATTTGTCAATTTTAATTACTGTTACAGTTTTTTAAAGTGCTCCCAAGTGCTTACTAGTAAGTTTGGAAAACACAAAAAACTTAGTTATCACTTTTTATCTTACAACATAGACAAAAAAGAGACAAATCTAGCAGAAGGACGTTTTTAGTTCTTCCTGTAAAGTACTAGTCGTATTTACACATAATTTAATAGATTGGGTAAATACTAAAAGAGAGAGATTGTTGCGTGAGGGCCAAGAGTTTTTCCCTTTTACGATTAAGACAATAGAGTTGTGCCTCGATATTTTCACTGACTTTTTCTCTTGACCAACAGCACAAATGTGATAAGACGTTCCTATATCGGCTGAGTTAATTCAACTTCCCGTAATCAGAGTACTCCACCACTGGCGCCATTTATGTTGACCTTGACGGTGTGGATGGTAATTGGTATAAAAAATTGCTCTACCCTTTCCATCCTAACATAAGCATTCATATTCTCTACACCTTCCTCTTCTCATGTCCCTTTGATACTGACGTGGAGAATTTTTTGGCAATTAAGAGCTTCAAAATTGGAGATAATTTCCTTTATTCTTGTGGCCTTTACGTCTGATTAAAGGGTGATATTGAAATGGGAAATTAATTAAATTAGAAACCAGTCACACTTAGGGTTTCAGGGTTAAGGTATCTTATTGAACGCAGTTGGACTATGATTTTACGAACGTTCTAGGTAGAAACTTTCTATGATCGTTTTTTTTAAATAGAGTGTCAAAAAATCTGACCGTGAGAGCTAACATAGACAACATGATGACATCGTATTTACTGCAGATGGCTAAATTGTAGAAATACCATTTTTAGGACTCCAACCGCAAGGAAGCTTCGAATTTGACATCTGAAGTAATTTTAATTTACGAACACTGCTTGAATTTACCCCACAGAGCGTTAATTGAATTAAGGTCGCCATGTCATGATAATGACTGTTCTGTGCAAATCGACATAATATGTATAGAAACAATCGTATGCTTGAAGTATGTTTTCAAAATAAATTTGCTTTTTTTACCGAAAATCCTGAATAATAACATAACAGTCTATCGTTCGAATGAAAGTATAAAATGCCGACAATATCGGTAAAAACATTTGATGAGGTTAAACTGAAATATTGAGGATTTTAGCGTGCGAGTTAAAAATGATATAGTTTTTTCGAATAAAGTTCCTATTACGTGTAACACGTTTTATATGGAGATGAAATTGATTTGAGATTTAAAAACATTTTTTTTCTTCAACATCGTTTCTGTATTTCCTTTTTACAATGTGTAAACACTCTTTATTTGTAAGCAATTTCAAGTGACTGTAATATTGACAGCGTGACTAGTAAAACTATATTTGTCACGCGGTAAATACCTATCAGATATCACTCACCGACACTTTTATAACAAATCTCAGTGACTTATTTTCGGTCAGTCGAATGAATTGTCGTAGAGGATGGTGGAAATGTTTATCTGTACCTCTAACTGGTGAGAATACCACAGTAATTTTAGGCATACACTCGCTAATAGCACAATAATAGTGTTCTTGCGTTACGTTAGCTAATCTGATTAATTCCGTCAGGTAAGTCAAAAGGTTATCGTTAATGATATCAATGACGCTGCAGAGAGCATAGAAAATCATGCAATCATTGCAATCTTTTAGCGGAAACGCGCCCAGAACCTGTTAGTTAACGTCGAAGCAAGGTTGATTTGTCTGTTGAAAGGTAAGCTTTCGTACAGTCTCAGTAGTTTGTTTATGTACAACTTGAAGTTGGTAACGAAATGTATATTATGTTACAACTATGTTGCCACTCCAATGGGTTTCTGATCGATTTTGCGTACAATAAGTGGAACGTAGTTTACACACTTTTGGGTTCGATAGTTGACTGGTTTAGCAGAGATTAAGTTTTTAGGACCATTCTGAATTTCTTTCGTTATATGTTCTTCGTATGTTCTCTTGTATGAATTGGAAAGTCGAGGTTTTCTTTCTTGCGATTGTAAGCCTTCTGAACACATTTAAAGGCCCGTTTAAACGGTTTCAACATTTGCTTCAACTTGCATTCAACACTCTGTTGAACCAAATGTTCGGTGCGTTTGAACAGGTCGTCCAGTATTGCTGAAAACGTAAAAAATGTTGAAAGCTTGTTGAAAGCGTGTTGAATCAAGTTTGAATCGGTTTAAACTTTCATTCAACATCGATTCAACTTTTCCTTTGTTCTCGAAAATGTTGAATGGCCCGTTTAAACGGTTTCAACATTTACCCAACGTCCGTTCAACTTTTGTTGAACGAATGTTTGTCAAATGTTGAAACCGTTTAAACGGGCCTTAACGAATGATCATGTCTCTAGTCACCTATACCTACGACAGGTTCTTAGCAATGAGTAGTGATGTCTTGTTTAAGTTCAGACCCGTTCCGAACAGAAAAGTCTTATTTTCAACAGTGTGTCGCTACCTCTATTGATTATAAAAATTTTTCCGTTCACGTAGCGTTAGGAACGACGGAATTCCACTGCATGTGTGCGAGGATCGGGTTTCCGGAAGGCGTCGCTTTTTCCGCAGCCGTTGAATGCACGCACGTTCACCACATAAAAAAGTTTTTACTTTGAGTACTAAAATTAGATTTAGATTACGATGAAATTGAGGGATTTTCTCCTGAACAACCAAATTGTCTTACGGTAAATTTTTCCGGAAGGTACTCCATTGCCCCATAGGAAAGGTTTCAAGGTATGATTTTGACAAGTATCTGTGAGACTTGTTCCGAATGAGACTAAGAGACAGTTAAATTTCATCAGATCAAGGTCCTCTTTCTGTACTTTGTTCCAGCATCCTGCCTTAAAAATTGTTTACAATGTTATTTTTTTTTTTGGCATCGAGAGAAATCTAAATGGTATGCTTAAAATGTTTACAGGAGTTTCATGTAGCCTGTTGTCATGGCAGTGAGTTACACTCGGAACATGTCTAATTCCAGTCTCACCAGCATAGAGGCTCGTGATTTGGATGAGCGTAAAAGATGGAAGAAGAAGACAATCAAAGCAAGAATCCTAATTGGAGTTTTAACTGTTATCTGCAGTATACTCATCGTGATATTAATTGTAACCTATGAGAGTGGTCATAAAAATACAGAATGCACAGAAAAGCAGAATGGAAAAGCTGTCAATAACAACATTATTAAGTTTGTCCACATTTCGGATATACATTATGATCCTTTTTATGACAAGAATACACCCCAAAGATCTTTTTGCCGACCAGAACTTTCAAATAGTACATCAAATTACACAGCACAATATGGAAGGATTGGCTGTGATTCACCAATTGATCTTGTGGAAAATTCCTTGGATGCCATGCAGAATGTAAGCAAGATTGAGAATGTTAGCTTCATTTTGTTAACAGGTGGGTAACAATGTTAAAAAGAAAAAGATAAAGATAAAAGATAAGAAATAAAGATTTGATTGAGTGTTAATTTTATACATGTCACCAAGAGAATGAGACTATCATTGATATCCCCCAAATATTCCAATCAAAAAATGCGTTTTCTTTACTTTTTTGTTTCTGTGAGATTATGCCAGGATATCTCTATTAAACATAAAAATTATCAAGATGTTAGAGAAAACTTGTTCCAATTATTTTTTGCAGTTTTCTCTTTGGGATGAGAGAATTCTTTTGGCAATTTCCCAGTCTCCCTTTAATCACCTATATTTCTCCCCTCTGTGTGCATAATGGTGCACCCTGTAATGCAATGAAACTTTGAAGTATATCTAGTCTTAGCTATTTAAGTCATCAGTTAAAAATAGTGGATTAATCAAACAAGTCTGGCTCCTTATCTTGTTTATTCAGGTGACTTGTCAGGTCATGGCATGTGGACATCTTATGCTGGTCCACATAAAGTTTTGGATAACATCGCTGAAGTTAGTAACAAAGCACATTCAAGGTTTCCAAATATTCCCATCTTCCCAGTGGTTGGGAATAATGATCTGCCAGGACATTATGTTTTACCAAACTCCAGTGACTGGTATAAAGAGCTTTTGAATTCTTGGGCTCCATTGATTTTGTGCTCCTCATGCCCCAATGACATGACAAAGCCAACTACAAGGACTGTTTTAGAAGAGAGTTTTTTAAAGGGAGGATACTACAATGCCAGCATTGCAGGTGATTTTTTACCTTTGTTTTGTCAAGTGTTATTCACCACTCACCTCTGACCTTTAGCCCCCTAACCTCATGATCCCCCTCTCCCCTCCCCCCCCCCGACCACTTCAACCTTATTATAGACAAGCTGATAATGTCTGGGGTAGGAGATACTTTCTGTAATGGACTAAGGGGAGGTGCTCTGTCCTTGGTCAGATTCCATGGAGTGGTGTTAGTAAAACTAGTTTAATCATAAAGTGTCCATGAAGTGTCTATTTGTTGATCCATAACATTACTTTAAGGGTAAAAGTCTCTTAGATCCTAGCCGAGAACGAAAAAAAAAGAAAAACAGACATAAGGGTGGAGCCATGAACCCTGGAACAAGGCATAACAATTTGAAAAAAAAATTGTCCTAAGTATTCCCAACCCTTCCTCTGAAGGTAGTACTTAAAGAAGTGGACACCTAGGAATTTGACCTCCCTTCAATTTCAAATATGTTATCAAAATCTTAGTAGAACTAGCTGTTCTCAATCTTATATATAGAGTAGGTGCTAAATGAGATATAATTTTTAGCCCTCATTTGCTTCTTTTAAGGTGGCAAGATTGTGTTATTAGTCTTAAACAGCCTTTACTGGTCTGTAGAAGTGAATCACAATCCAGAAATCCTTCAAAAGGCTGTCCAGCAGTTAACATGGCTGGAAACCCAGTTAGAAATTGCAGCAATGAGAGGAAAAAAGGTGATACTGGTATCTCACATTCCTGCAGGGTATGTTGAGTATTGTACTAGAGCTTTAACTTGTGTTTTTGAGATTGTAAGGTATTGTTTTATGGTATTCAAATATTTAAAGTGGTAGGGAAATTATACAAAGAAAGTATTTCCTCTGTTTTGTGGGAGCCTTTTTTTTTTTAACTTCATTGCTCGGTTTCTTCCCCTCCCCCTCGGGAGAGAGGTGAGAAGCAAAGGGGGAGACCCAATTCTAGATCTGCTACTTACAGGTAATCAAATCCTAAAAGTATTCAGTAAAGTCGCCAATCTCAGCTTTTCTTTTAGCAATCCCTGTGGGGGTTCCTGTGGTTTTCCCGGCACATACGATGCAATAATCATTGAAATTCGCTTTCAAAGGTTGCGCCGCGCTGTGAAAGGCTACGACGCGTTTCCTTTCATAACGTCAAGCTCTGTTATGCCTCCCTGTGTAACATTTATGTTGTCTTAACTATAAGATTCTTGTCAAATATGTTTGTGTCTATTTTTGTTAGAATTGATACTTACGACGGAAAATCCTACTGGTTCAGTAACTACACAAATACATATGTGAGCCTTGTGGCCAAAAAGTACAGTTACTTAGTGACTGGTAAGTGTTTTATTTCAAGTTTTTTATTTCTTCTCAAAACCAGCCCCATTCTATATTTTTACTTGATAACGAATGATCATACCCCTATCGCTATCCCTCTTTTTTATTTTCTCTTGTCCCTCTTTTGTTTGTGTACCCTGGCAAACTGTTATTTCGAGGCAATTTCTCTTCTCGAAGCAGCTCTTTGAAGCTGACGTAAGGGTTAATCCAATGGAATTGAGATGTGATTATTTGCCCTGCCGAACGCGGTGGTTCAATTGTCAGCGCAGTGACCCCCAGGTCGAGAGGGCAGGGTCATGGCGCTTTTTCGATGTCCTTAGATGGGGCAATTTACTCTCATTGTCCTCCCTTTACACAGTTATAGAAATTAATGCCCTTACGATTTGATATTTTTAGCCTTCCTGAGGCTATAAACATGATTACCTATTCTTTTTTTAGCCCAGTTCTTTGCTCATACACACAAAGACGATTTCCGTCTTCAGCTGTCTATGACAGAAACCGGTGACACTCAGCAAGAAGCACCGAAGTCGTTTGTGCTTCTTGCACCCGCCATATCTCCTGTCTACCATAACAACCCAGCATTTAGAGTAGTGTCGCTAGAAACAGACCAACTTGTCCTGCTGGATTACACACAGTACTACATGGACTTAGTCATGGCTACAGGTGAGGAATACCAATGCAGCCTTTTTCCTTCGGGGGGGGGGGGAGTAGAGGGTTTGCATTTAAGAGCCACAGTAGTATTGTAATCGCTCAAAATTTTCGAATAGAAACAAAAATAGGAACTTCTATGTAGGAAAAATATCTCACTTTTTTAAATACGGAGATTTTAAAGAAGTACCAAGCTGCCTACGCTATACAACAAACGTCTACAGGTATTGCAGTGCTTATGTAGAAAGTCAAGAACGGTCAAGAACTAGTGAGCATTTCTGCCCTTGTGGATCGTAAAAATTGTACACTCGCTTTGGAACGGTGATTTTGGAGTACCACGTTTTAATAATACACACTATAGCTACCATACCATCCGATTTGTTGTGCTGTTCTTAAGGTCAAAACTTACTAAAGATCAAAGAAATTCACCTCCTTTAGCTGATTTTTTTAAAGAAAATTAGAAAAATAAACCTATCAAACTATTTTATCAACGAAGTACTACTGCTGTAAGCTTTGTAGAGAATTGATAAATTTCCCTAATTAATCGACTCGTCTAATCAGTCTCACACTGAGATAGTAACTCTCACCCTCCTTTTTTTTTTACTGTTATTCTTCCTTAGAGAAGAGTGGGAAGACGCCCGCCAGCTGCACGTGTCATTGCGCGAGACGTGAAAAATGGATAAATTTAAGCATGCGAGAGTCCTGTGCGTGCTAACCAAACGTGTACTTCGCGCCCTTTAATTTTTTCGTCTCCCAAGCTATAATGCATGCAACAGTTCTACAAAGATGTGATCTATATACTTCATCAACTGTCAGATTTGTAGAGTAGCTTTTGAAGGATGTGCAGTTACATGTAACTTTTTAACTGGTTTTATTTCAGAATTCTCAAATCCGATTTGGCAACTGGACTACACTTTTAGTCAGAAGTACCCATCAGAAAATAAGTTTCTCGACGCCAACAGAATCTATGAACTGAATGAAGAACTTATAAACCAAACTAGTAACAAGTTCTGGAAGGGATACGTGTTCTCGCGCGAGACAAACTACCAGCCGGTGCCGTATTCAAGATTTCAACTTTTCTGTGGAATGCGGCTTGTTTACAAAGAGGATTTCAACAGATGTATTGAACAGTATAATGTCCCCGGTGGCTAGGGAAATTTAATGATGTTTAAAATGTTAGGGCATTTTTAAGATAATTTATAATTTCATTGCCTTTTCTTTACTTCCCTCTGAAATTGGTAAAGAAAACCTGCGCCATCCTCTGAACAAATCAGATGCAAAATTAATCGCAAGTTGCCCAATCGCGTTTTCCCGCGCTCCGGAAATTGGCTTGATTTTACTTCGAGTTCTCATTGGCTCACTCTCATTTTCGCGCGCTCTGTGAAGTTTGCTTCTTCTTTTTTTTTTTTTTACTCGCTACGCGCTCTTTGTGGCATTCCCCCTTGCCCTGATTGGCCTTTGTGATTATTTTGTCCTTGTTTTAGATGCTCTCTGATGTTGATCAATCCCAGCTTCTTTTTATATTTTCACTCGAGAGAGAGATAGATTATTAGTACTTGTTTTTGGAAATGTTTCTTACTAATATGAGTAAAAAAGACCGCCAGGGAAAGAAGTGACTGTAGTGCTTTTTTTGACTGGAGCTGATCTCAATTCGCAAAGAGAGCACACACTGTTTTTCTTCCTGAACAAAGTTGAGATTTTTTAGTCGTAAATTCCGGGAAACTTCGAAAGACGGATGTCTCTAGTTTACGACTCAGTGTTTGAATTTTAAAAAAAGATACCGTTACGAAATGAAATTAAACTAACTTTGCAAATAAAATGTACATATTCAAATACTAACTTTCTAAGTAGAATTGTGAGATGAAACTTTCCCTTTTAAATTGTCCAGTGAAGGATGTTTTTAATAAATGAGTTAAACTTACCGCAAACAAGCAGGTGTTTTGTAATCTCCGTTCTCTTTGCATTTTTCAATCTGTTTATCACTGTTGCTCTTATCATTCAAACTCCTTCGGTGCACGAGGCAAATGATTGCGTGCACACTCCTAATATCGTACTGATCAGGAAACTGACTTCGTAAACACCTTCAACCCCTGCCCACTTAGGAGTGTCCAAAAAGCAATTTCTCTTTACGAAATCGATATATTGTCGAGCAGAAAAGTAATGAAAAGAAAGAAATAATATCAACTGAGGTATACGGTTGGGTTCAACACCAAATTCTCTAAACTAACATTAAGGATGTATGCCAAGCAGAAGTGAGAATTAATCTTCAGATCTCGGGAGTGAGGAGAAACTGTTTGGGAACTGTCAAAAGAAACAGAAATTAGCGTGTAATTAATGTAAACTAGACTTCTTAGTGAGGTCCTCAATGTCTAGTTACATATTTTCAAACATTCTGGCACCATCGAAGGAAAGGTTGAAGTAACGCCAAATCTAGTAAGCACAGGTTAGAAAAAAAAGTTCTCGAGTGCTATCAACTGCAACTTAAATCAGGCAATTGCAGAATAACATGGAAAAGTTTGATTGATATGTGACATTACATTTCAAACAAATCTCTATATGAAAATCGCCGCCCACTTGAAAACACAATCTGATTCTCCCGACTTGGAATCAAATTTCCCCCCAAAAAATATTACGCACTAACTACGTGTGTTGGTTAAACGTTTTATTCGTTCAACGATAAGCTGTATTAATAGCTTTTCCGATTTTTTAATCTGCCGGTTTTCTTTTTCTATATTAATTAAAAATAAAACTAGTTTAGGTAAAATGTGCTACGCCAAAAAAAAAAAAAAATCGGAAAAGCTCGGGGAAAGCACCTATTTACCTTTTTCATAACTTAAATTCAGTGGGGTCTTTTTTTTTAATTAAACTGCGGTGTTTATTAAATGGTATTTAAAACTCTGTGTTGGATCAAATTCCAACCGGCGCAAAAGTTTCCCTGAAATCAGGATTTATTTCAATTCAGACAGCCAATATTGTGTGCTTTTCGGCGACTTTCAGAAAATACAGCGTCAGATTTATATTGGCCACGGATACAAACTTTTCATATTAAAACGAGTTATTATCGGCAGTCATCAATGTGGCCTCTTGAATTCGATGAGTCTCCATTGGTTGACAATGAAGACAGGATTCAACCAACGATACTGAAATGGAGATCACAGTGAGCCGAATTCTGTAAAGTGCGCACGAAAAATCAGGAACACTCTTAACAAGCGCGTAAATAAGAGCGAGAAAAGAAAACACTACTGTCATTTGCCGAAACCAGAAGGCATTATCAAGCATTGCAAGTGTACTTTTTTCCTGATCGAAAAGCTGAGGTAAGTTTTATATTTGACTTGGTTTTCACTGCAGAGATCGAATAGCGATTCCAGTCAAAGACAGACGAGACTTGATTTTATAGTGTGAAAAAGGTTTCGCGGCGATATATTTTCTAATCATGGGAAGGGCCGGACAGGAAAAAATTTAGCTCGAGGTCATAACGTACAGACCGAGCACAGAAAAGTCAAGTAATCTTTCCGTTTTTCCCAATAAAAGCGTTAAAAGGCCTGCATGTGTCATATTATAAAATTTGTTACATAATGCAATCAACTATCATCATTGTTACATTTTCTGTCAGTTGATAAACTCAATATGTGGTTCTGGGTGTTTGGATGGTTCCTTGTCCTGACATCAGCGATTGGCAATGGACTCGTAATTTATCTCGTCATCACGAAACCTCGCCTCCATACCCCTGGTAATAATTTCATCGTATCGCTGGCCGTTGCCGATCTCTGCGCATCTCTAGCGTTCTTTCCACCCCAGTTTTGCGCTAAATTCATCTACACTATTGACCTCAGCCATGCAGGTCTCTTTTTCAAAGTCAGCTTCGCCTTCCTGTACTGTTCCAACACAAATCTTTTTGCTATGGCACTCGATCGCTTTCTTGCTATTGCAACGCCTTTTCGGCACATCTATTTAATCACGGAGAAAACTACCTGGTCCGTGATCGTTGCGGCTTGGATTTCCCCGTTTTTGCTCTTCTTCTTTCCTGCCATCTTCACTCACAACAACAATCCAAAGTACACCATGCTCGTGGAAATCTCCCGAATTATTATCTTCCAAATCCTGCCCTTTGTTTTCTTTGTCGCTGCGACGTTCCATCTACTTCGCGTCGCCCAGAAGGTCAACAGCCAGATTGGTATAATGACCACTCAGGTCCTGTACAACCATGCCATGGGTGCAGTCAACAACAGGCCACCTGCCCTGTCCAATGTAAACTTCAGGGGTTCGACTGCTTTGATTATCATGGTGATGACCGCCTATAATGTCACATACATCGGCTGGAATTATCACTGTCTATGCCATCTCATCGGTGTTTGTCAGTCTACCAAGACGCTGAATCACATAGTTTCTATTGCACTGATCGCCAACACTGCTGTCAATCCAGTCCTCTACTCTTTTCTTAAGAAGGACATTCAGAGGGAATTTTCTAGGTTGTTCTCAGGGAAGGTGCTGAATCCCACTGAAATCGTTGGAAAGGGGCACGAGTCTCCTAGACCAACCACAATCACAGGAAGGTAATCAACCAGGGCAATCCACGATTGTTTTCGACACTCAATCAAAAATTGCTCTGTTATTTATCTCTTCGATCCTTTTTAGCTTTTAACCCTGGCCCTGACCCTTATACCCAAGCAAAATACTGCGTCAAGGGTTAAATCCAATAAAAGTTGTTTTTTCTTTGCAGCACTAAATAAAATAAAAATCAGAGTTGATGAATAAGGATTATGGTTATATTTATTCCCACTAGAGAGGAAATCAATTTTCAATAGGCTGAACCAAGTTCATGTCCATAGGGCAACTTCATCAGTGTGGGGCAGTGTTCGCCGGTGTTGAGCGGTGTTCGCTAGTGTAGAGCAATATTCGCCAGTGCTGGGCAGGTTTCCCCAGTATGGAACAGTGTCTCGTCATATCTCTTAAAAATATTTTTGTAATGGCTCTCCCAAGACTTGCTCAATTTCCGAGATGAGGTGCTGACATTGTTGTTCCACCTCAAAGCATTCATCTGTAAAATTACAAAAAAGTAAGGTTGGACCTTTACAAAATACTTCTAGCAAATGTAAAACAAAAGGGAGGCTACCAAATAGCCCATGTGGCTTACAGGCACTCGATGAAAGCAAAGGCACCGGAACAGTGAAAACAAACAGCGCAGCTTCGCTGGCTACGCAAGCTAACAATCTAGTGCGTAACTTGTAACGATGGGTTACACAATGATCTGTCACGTCCATTAAGTTTTGTTCTCTCACCTTCCATAAGCTCTGCTAAGAATGGAATTGACTCTGGTAAAAGCACCATAAACTCCTCTCCGAGTCTTGTGTGGAATCCCTCTAGAACTTTGAGGGCTGCAAAGCGAACCTGAGGTAAAAAAATGGCGAATAATTAGGTACCATAAAAACTGGGTAATTAAGTACTATCAACTGAGTTGATGACTTAAATTGGCAAATTATCTTATTCAAACTGACTGACTGCCAGACTATAGGAATAAAAAACTGACTGACTGACTGCCAGACTGTATGAATAAAAAACTGACTCACTGACTGCCAGACTGTATGAATAAAAAACTGACTGACTGACTGACTGACTGACCACCCAGACTATATGAATAAAAAACTGACTGACTCGCTAACTGGTAGACTGACTAATTGTCCGACTAAAAAAAAAAAAAATCTTTGTTGAATTGATCGACTGACCTCACGGGCAGTTTGACGGACAGACCAATCGACCCAATGACTGACTCAAAGATTGACTAACACTTAAACCCAACACCCATTGACTGACCTTCGGATTGACCGACTTACTGGTACATCATTGTCAAGAAATCCACACTTACTGTTGCAGAGCTGTGTCGAGTCTTCAGTAATACTTGATAGTTCAGCGGTTTCCACTGCGCATCACTCCCGGAGGCTACGGCAAACTGCGCGAGGCATTGGGCTAAGTGGTTCGTAAGCCTCTCTCTGAAGGTATCTTCTCCTCCCAACAGGTTTTCAATCTGTTTAAAAAAAACAGTGTACAAAAAAAAGTGTACAAAAATTAACTACAAGAGATTACATACGAAACATTCAAAATCACCGTCTCCTGCATAAGCTATCTTAAGAATTACAACAATTTGTTTGTCGTAACGTAACGCTGTCAAGTCACGCAAACATTACCTGGTCTACAAGAGGCTGCATCAAACACTGGAAACGATCGCTGTCCAAGAATCCGTGTGTGTCATACATGAAGCATGTGTGCAAACAATCCAACATGTAGTTCAACAAGAGGCAAGTTTTATGCATGTTTCTGTTTGGAGACTCGTCCGGGAAAATGTTCTCTTCTAGAGTTCGAATATAAACAAAAAAGGATACATTTTGATTCCTAAGAAACTAAGAAAGCAGCCATTACAGCTAATTTTCGAAAATATCTGTTTAATGTGATGAGAGTTATTTAACTACAAAGCAGGACTAGGGAATTCCCATTATAGAAGTAAAAACCAAAGTTATCGCAGCTAGCAAACAAAAACGTTAACATCACAACGAGTCAAAAAGGATTAAACTTAGGACAAGCTAACAGCTTTGAGCGCGGGAAAACGCGCGTGGCCAAGTCGCAGTTAGTTTTTGTTTAGCATCTGATTTGTTGAGAGGTTAGCGCAGGTTCTCTCAACGTACCAAAGTTCAATCAATGAAATGCCGGATTATTTCCGATACTAAATTCAAATTTGCCCTTCAAAAGGATGCTTACCAGTTTTGGAGATGTTTGCGGCATCCAGCAAAGAAGCACAGTTCTTCATAATGTAACCCGCAAACAGCACAAACAATCCTTTCAGTTTATTAGCCACGCTGAAGATAAACAAACGTGGACAGTTAAATTTAGATACTCTCTTTTACTTTAAAGTTCATTCTATTACGAAGAGAGCATGCAGGGCCGAAGTTTTGGAAGCAAACACAGAGAAAGACTAAGGGGTAATGGGTGTAGCTTTCTAAAGAAACTGTGGTGCTGCGTCAGTGGGGGAATATATAAAGATAATTTTCACTTATCAACTGAGTTGATAATGCAAATTGGTCACCGTAAAGATTCTCGGAAGCTGACATTTCAAGCATTTGCCGTTCGCCTGAAGAGATTCATCACATATTTGTCCAATTCACCCCTTGACAAACCAAAACATTCATCTCTACAATAGTATTGCAACGCCTTTTCCTCACCTGTCGCAAAGACGATAGAAAATAATCAACCGCTCCTTACTGGACGAAGGCCTGGTCGCCCAATCTATCAACTGTAAGAAACGTGCGTTCGTGTAAGACCTAAAACTGACATCTCAAGAAACATCAAGCTATATTTGAATTCCACCAATCGCAATATTTATTGGAATATAACTTATTTCACGATTTCAACAAGAATAATAGAAGAAAGGAAATTTTCAACTAACGGACTCTGTTTGACACCACATTTGATTTGACACCACATCCAAAAACAGACAAACAAAGAAATGTTTGGCTGTCAGTTAAGTCATTTTGTTTAAAGATCTCGAGGGTGAGGACTATAGATCAGTCGCTGACGTACCCTTAAAAACGTCGGTCTAAAAGAAGCCTCGGACATCTTGATCACGAGACACAAAAATGCCTCGATCACACTACGCTCTGTTTTGTCCACGAGATCATCGTCGTCCTGGAACGAACCAATTTAAGAGAAACACATTTACACGAGAAGAAAATTCTAAAAATTCTAAAAGTGGGACGACCGACCCGAGATAACAGCGACATAATTGTGCAGAGAGAATGTGGGTGGGGGGTGGGGAGACGAAGCACAAAAAATACTTATTTATTTATTTGATCGCTTTCACCATGATCACACGGCTAAAATGCTAAAATGCTAAGAAAAAGAAAGACATTTGAAGAGGTCACAAGAGCGAGAGACGAAGGTGCGGGACACACAACAGAGCGAGGCTCCAAATTAAGTGTGCCCTTAAAAAAAAAATTAACAAATACTACCTAGGTAAATATTAAAAACATCGTAAGAAGTATAAAAATCTTATTTCCAAAAAAAGATAACAACGAATCGCTACCGAGCCTACCTCCTGGTTGTGGTGAGTTCTGAAATCCAACGCTTCTAAGAACAGCGTAAAGAGATTGGAATGGTAGGTTTTAATATCCTCCTTTTTCATGGCTTTCACACATTCTGCCAGGACATCCATAAGCACAAAAACACGTTCCTAAAAAGATGACAACAAAACAGGTTATCACGAACGATTGCCGACAATGTTCGCTTTGGCACCAGAAACAAAGTGGGATTTTAAACCAATCAGAGAAGGGCACGAGCACCCGAGAACTACAAAATTAAGGAGAATATTAAGGTGGCTTTCGATGTAAATTAGATCACAGTTTGATAAGAGGCTGTAATGTTCCTGAGGTAACTGATTCCAACGGGAAAACATTAAAATTGACGATCATGATTGGAGATCTGAATGATAACATAAAGATAAACTACAAAAAACTTAGTCAAAAAATTATCAACCTTGTGTTTGTTGACAATACTGTTGTAGCAATCAGACACTGCCGATATCAGCACTCGGGGTGCAATATTACAAGCCAGTTCTTTCCTAAAAAGGAAGAAAAGAAAGTAAGAGAGGAGGAAGGCTTAGCAACACATTTCAACGAAATCTCTGTCAGTCAAATGCACTACACTGGGTCAGTGAAAACGTAGGGTGGAAATTTGTCAAGTCTATTCATCACAAAAGATACCTGAGCAAGACTATACGATCCTTTAACTGTACATCCACAGTCGACTGCTTTGTAACCTCTTCCTTTTCTTGCTGGACCTCTGTAACCTCTCCTCCAGTAAGAGATGGTTGCGTCACCTTCAAAAAAGTTAAACTACCCAGTTTGACATGAACGACATGAAAATCACTCCAGTCTATACAGCGTCAAGGTTGGAAGCTTGAGGAATATCACCTTGGGATTATCACCCGTTATTCCTCAGTTTCAGGTGGGCCATTGGCGGTCACGTGACGCGTTTGAACCAATCGCACGCGGGCAAAAATAATTGATATATCTTACAGAAGAGAGTACCAGCGGGAACAAACTTACCATAATCAGAATATCCACTAAATGAGGACTAAGAAAATGTGGAAGTGCTTCTGTGGCTTTGTACAAAGCTGTTATACCACACAGAGTCAACAGGCTGTTCCTGGAAGAGAGAAATAGAAAGGGAAATAATTAAAACATTTGGCTTAACTTGTCAATTAAATCCTCTCGGTGCCAGGAGAACCAGCATAAAAATCAGTGTGTAGCAGACAGCTACTTGACAATATTCATACATCACATATGGCTTAAAGAAAGATGTTACTGGTCTTGTTACGATCGTGGACCAAATGTAAAATCTGCCATTTCGACAAACAGCGCGAAGTCATCATCAAAGCTAAGATTTCATCGGACGCATGCTATTTTTTTTATCTACCTCAGTTTCAAATGAATTAAACATCTTTACAGATATCTTATTAATAGTGAAGTCTTTACCTCTCTTTTTGATTTCTTTTGAGCAGTTTCAGTACAGAAGGCATCAGCTTTGGCAAGAAGGGAATGCAGTGCGTTTTAAGTCCACCGAGCACTTCTGCTGCACAGAGCAATGCGCTTGAAGCAACCTTGAGGTCAAAGAAATAAGGAAATCTTTAATTTTCAATAACTAAAGAAAAGCTGACCACAGGGCCGGGGCCAATCAGAACGAAAGAAAATATTATTTGGAGCCAATGAGAAATAAAGTAAACCAAGCGAAGTGTCTAGACATTGGATCAAGATTTGAACCCTGGACGGGATATTAGCGAGATGATTTATTCTAATAGCCCCTCCCTACACCACTGAGTGTATGTCAGTGCTGGAAAACTGTAGGGAAACTCGACAAACTGCTAGGGAGGGGAAGGACGGTGAACAGCCTTCCATACATTTGGCATCCCATTGGAAAGGGGGTTATGATATTCTCTCAAGTCTTTGGTGGGCATAGAAAAACGCCGCGTTTTGATTCTCAAACACGACCCACTGCAACTGAGACTGTATTACCGACAAATGCTGAAATGCGTCACCAAGGAGAACGAGAATGTAGACATGGGTAACTTACCTGAGGGTTGGAATCTTTGCAAGAAAACACATCAATTGCCACAGTCATCACCTACATCAGGACGAAATGTAATATCTCAAAAGTGTTAACTTAAGGGGGGGGCAGGGGTTCAATTCATTCACAAATGTAAAAGAAAACAAGTTCCAGTACCTCTTTAAATTCGTCAGGGTGTTCCTTGGCCAGCAATCGAGTGAGAAGCTTCAAGCTGTACAAAGCTGTCTGCCTGTTAATGACGGACACCTCACTCTCCCCAGTACCTCCCGATATGGCGAGGAGTTCGGTTACTAAGTTCAGTAACGCCTTAATCTTCAAATACGAAAATAATACCAAGAATTATAATTAGAACATACATTCTTGTTTACGTTTTACTAACATGTCAAGTCGATGCTCTCTTAACAGACAATTAAAACAACAATATTACTCTCACACAACCCCACAGAGGGGAACACGGTTTAAACTCTGGATATCGTGGGTAAAAAGGCATTGGTACACTAACACAAGTCCGCGCCCGAGGACCCTGCATATACATAAGCACAACTACCTACACGAAGACCCAGCCTACGGATTCAGAATATTGGGACTACACTGTAAGTTTTACATTCTTATTGTACGTGTACCTGCTCGTCAGAATGAACTCCAACGTTATTGCTTAGTTTGCAGTTCAGTAGCTCCATAGCTTTACGCTTCACTGTTCCATTGCTGCTATGGAGAAGTTTTTCAATGACATCGAAAAATACCGAGGCAGGTAAAAGGAGATTTACCTTGAGGAAAGAGAACAGGATATTTAATCATATTCTGAGTCATGGTTCTTTTAAAGGAGAGCAGACAGTTTTTCGTATTTCATTACCTTGTCTATAATTTCATAAGTTTTATGCAGCAAAGCTTTCCAAAACTTTCCAGTCACATCAGTAGCTGCCTGATCACCATGTTGCGCCGTTTTAGTCATGAAGTTTAATGTATCCTGTAACAGTCTGCAGAAACAAAAAATAAAATAAGAAAAATAAATATACTACGAAATTTAGTCACTTTTAGAGTTGTTTCAACAGAGTGTGGCAAGTTTCCCCACTGACTATAGTGAAGATGTCACAAAAGGAATTTCTTTTTTTAATCGACACTGACTCTAAAACTCATTTTATAAAAGGAAAGAGCTATCTGTTTAGAGAATATAATGTCCACAGTGAAACAAGGACACATAAACAAAGTTTACCTTAGAAAGAGAGAATCCAACATTTCTTCCTCAACATGGACCTGTACTCCGTCAAATGAAAGGTAAACAAAGGAAATAAAACACTGTTTTTGCTGACAGAAACAAAAGTGAGAAATTTTACCGCAGTTGTAATTTGCAATTGTCATCGAAAATGTTTTTGGATTTGTGCGCTTTAAAACAGTTTAACCTAAATGATAGATCGTTTGAATTCGGGAGTAACAGTTGACAGTATTGTCTAATGGTCAAGGTGGGTGTGGAAAAGAACTGTTGTCAGTGGTTATTTACCTTGTTTACAAACTCGTCACTGTCGAGCAAGGAAGAAATAACACTGATTGATGTGTATTTGAATTGCCTGAGGTGTTTCGCTGAGTGAGTGTCCACATCAAACAGAGGCGTAACAGCGAGGAATATACGGGCACTTTTTCTAGCCATCCTGGGCTTTAGACGAACTGTGGAGGAAATATCGAGAAGAAAAGAAATTTTTAAAGGAAAATCTTTTGGTGACTAATTATCACATAGACGAGTTCACTGATTACTTATAGGAAAAGCGTCTTTACACACACAACGAAAGGAAGAACGATCGAAAGAACGAACAAACTAAGGAAAGAACGAACAAACTAACGAACGTACGAACAAACTAACGAACAAACTACGAACGAAATGACGAACAGACGAAGGTCCAAAGTGATGAATGGACAACAAAGAAACTCAGACAAGGAATAATAAACAAACGAACCAATGTACGTTCAGGAGCCATCAAGTGTCAGAAAGGACTCAACTCGTGTGATTTTTTTTCTCAAGAGGAATACTCCTTCAAACACGGGGAATACACATTTCATCATTCACTAAGATGGCACCTGATTTAAACACTTTCATGTCCTGGTACAAACGAACATAACTAAGTTAACATCATAATCATTTGGTAGTATACCTTCAGGTTTTTCCAACGGCAACTGATCAATGAACTGCAGGAGTTTCAGCATGGCCTCTACCTACCAACAAACAATAATGTTCTGGCATCACGTCAAGACTAATGAACACTTTTTTGTTTCTACTTTCAACACTGAATAAACAGCTAAAAAAAATCACAAAAAAGAAAAGAAAAACGATACAATTTTTCCGCTTCTCAATTTTTTCCACCAAATACTGACAAAACACCTTAATTACGACCAGAACCTCCCAGATACGTTGTCATTTCCAGATTTTGTTATACCTCGCGTCAATTCTTTAACAGACAAGGTTTCACGCTTCTTCACGCTGCTCATATTACAAGATATATCTTTTTGTATGATACCTTAGTCCTGATTCACACTCGTATAACTAATTTCAACACCGCATGTCTTAAAACTTACTGTACCTGAACATTAACGTGGAAGCAATGGCAGAGACTGAGACAAAAGTCTGCTCCGAGAGGCTTTTTGGCAACAGAGGTCTGAAACACAAGAAATAAATCATGTCAGAGATACCTACTTTTACGTATATTTTAAACTATTCTTTACTTTTCCCCTTTGTCTACAGAAATAATATTTAGAGCAATAGCATTAATGTCAGTATCTGGGCAACGGCGCACCTACCCCTCCCCTAACTCAACATTACCCTAACTTGTTCTCGGTTGACTGTTGTTGGGTTAGGGGAGGGGTAGGTGCGCAGTCATCCAGATACCGATTGATCCTAGTGATACAAAAACAAGTAAAGGTATGTACATGTTAGGAACAACTCTCGCCTTGAACCGAAGCACAGCGGGACTACGTTTGAGTAAACTTCATTTGTGTAGTGTGTGTGATGTTGTGATTTTCCATTAAGACGAAGGACGGGGGGGAAAGAATGGGAGTCGAAAGAGACTATTTTCGCAATCTAACAAGTACCTGTTTATCATCAGACGTGTTTGGAGCGTGCACAACATGCTTCTCCAGTAAGAGAATGATCACTGTGTGAAGGAACTGTGTTGAACCAACAGTGCCGATGAGATGAGCAAACAAGGGAAGCTGGCGGTGCTCTGGAATGTGAGGCGAGGCATCCACAAACACTCTGATAAGCATCGCCACAATGTCATCTAGAGACGCCGAGTCCTTTTTGGTCAGCTGTGGTAACTGCTGCTTCTCACCCGCCTAAATGGATTGAGACGTGGATGAAGAAATCCTAAATGGGAGTGTTGAAACTAATCCAGGACTGGAATAGGTTTGCTATGCCTCGTTTTGTGATCGGTGTAGAAAACTTGCAGCATCCTTGACCCACACGCATTTCACCCTCTGACCCACGCGCGTTTCTCCCTCTAACCCACGCGTTTTTCACCCTCTGACCCACGCGCGTTTCTCCCTCTAACCCACGCGCTTTTCACCCTCTGACCCTCGTGGATTTTACCGCACTTCACTAGATTTCCTTATTTTAGATTTGGATCCCAAAATATTCTCTGTGACATTCACCTTTGTCTTACTTAGCCGTTTTAATTCCGTTTTAGGACACTCGATTGAAAAGCTTTTACGAGTTATACGTTTCTTACTCATATTTCACTTCATGTGCACAACTGAAAGTAAATGCAGTTCAAACAAACCACACATACCTGAATCAACGCAGGAATCACTGTGTCCAGTGTTTTAGTGATGACTTCAAAACTGTAACTATCATCCTGGCGAACGACACTCGCGCCCATGAAAGTGAATATCGACATCACATTGTGCAAAACTTTTTCCTGAAAAAAAAAGCCCCAAAGATCATTCCAATATCACATTGTTGCTGGACGCGGGAGGCTGAGAGGGGAAGGGGTGGGGGGAAGGAGAGTTTTTCAGCTAGCATACAAATTTACATAATCACATGAAGTCTGCATAGAAGAAAGGCTTGAATAGATACCCCGCTGCAACTCCTCCTGGTTTCTGTAAGATGAAGCGCATAGGCGTGATTCAACTCTGCCGGGCTAGAAAGTTATTTTGCTTCTGGGTTACCCTTCCCTTCCCCGTTAGCATTTTTTTAAGGTCGTTCACCGACACTCATTTCTATTCTTTTGTGAATAGAGGAACTGTAAGAAAATGGTGCCTACAAAATGGCTTGGCCTGAATTGGAAACCACGAATTTTAAAAATCCAGAAACCGGAGTGCCAACCATCAGGCCACCGAGTTTATGAAACACTTTCAATAAATTTACCGGAAAAAGCTTGGCTGAGGTTGCAAGCAGGAGTAAAGCCTGGGTATGAGTGCGCGGATTCTCTGATGACCTTATGCACTGGACTATCAACTCCACGTCAAACTGGTCTTCGGGAACAAGATCTGCCACAAAACAAAAGACAGTGAACTAACATCTCAGCTAGAAAATCCCTGGTAAACTTAAATTTCGGAATTAAAATATTCAGAACTCAGAGAATGGACTCCGTGTAACAGTTTTGTACAAAGGGCAGTGGTAAATTTCCTCACAAAAATTTTCAACGACCCTCAACGGAAATTGTGTTTGATGTTACTCGCTGCGATTTAGATTGTGATCCGACCCATTAGATACTCAAATAATTTGGTTTCTTCAGCTGAGTTGTTAATGTGAATACCAACCGGCCACCGCGAAGAAAGATTCTAAAGTTGATGTTTCATCCTGAAGATGGGCTACCCCACGAAAACGTCAGCTTTAGAAACTTTCTACTGTAGGGGGGTGGGGGGGAGGCGGTTAATTCACAATTTTAACTTAGTTGATGAAACCAAAATCAATTATCTTGTAATTCCCCCACCGATGCAGCACCACAATGTCTTGAGAGACATTCCCCCCCCCCTCTTATTCATTAACCGTAAACACCTTTCAAATTTCCAAGCCAATGACTCCCAACAAAGTAAAATGACGGTGTTTCCTTACTTTCTTCTTAGGCAACTTCCAAATACACCTTGACATTACGTTATCGGGTTTAGTCCTAAAAAGTCTAAAATGACACCAAATCCTTGCTTAATACTCCTGGGGTGAACGACAAGTTCCCCTCATTTTATGAGTTCCTCACCCCTCCCCCCCTTCCAAACCGCTAGTGATGGCTTCTGTTACCTGCAATAGACGCGATGCTGTTTGGAGATAGTTTTTGACAGATGTTGTTGATGAGAGAAAATACCAGCTGCATAATGTACTCTGAAGCTGTTTGACTGTGATCGAGTTCTACACACCTGAAGGGGAGACAAACAAACAAAAGAAACAAACAAAAAAAATTAAACAAAGTCTTGATGCCAACCTGAACATATATTAACTGTGTGATGGACAAAAAAACCTATTGTTAACATTAATCGACAGACACATTAGACGTGAAACCTCCATGCAAAAGTTCAAAACAGCTGGTATTCAAGCTACACGAAGAGCAGAAGTTTTAGAAGTTTCCATCATTAAATAAGTCCAACGAAATGTGTGTGGTAGAGCAAGCTTTCACTTTCCGTTCACCATACAAAGGAGAGTCGTTTTCAAATTACATAACTTTACAAGGTTTTTTTCCCTTCTTTTTTCTCATCACAGGTCTGTACATGTACCTGGTCAGGGTCCCAAACAAGGTTGGTAGAAGTCGATGTGGTTCTTCAATGTTAATCTTACTCTGTAACAATTCAAGAACAACTGTCACTCTTTGTAGCTGCACTGCTCCTTCGTTCTCGTCATCTTGCTCACCCTTTCGCGCCCTGTCAAAAGAACATTTACCGTCTCCGTGAAAGAAAAAAACTCATGCAACCGGCACAAGAAATTGTACAAACAGCACTAATGAATACTAATCAAAATAAATCAAACGCTCGGGAAACTAACTTCTTCACTTTCTTCTTCTTTGGTTCTTTATCAGTATTGGAATTCAGCTTACATAGCTCTTCAGTAATCAGATCTGCTGTCAGAGTAAGCTGCGAAGAAAGCAAAATCGGGTTAGTCACGACTTTACAAGGACAACTACGTGCACATGAATAAACGACAACCGCAGATTTTTATTTTATAACGCTTGCCATGAATCAGAATGCTCCTTTATTGAACGCCCGAGCTGCTAAGCGACCACGAAATCAGAAGTGGCTGAGGTTCGAGTCTTGGCGGGGCATCAGATTTATAATTACGGGACGGTATCTCTCACTTTTGCAGAGAGCTTTAACAGTTTTTTCAACAGTGTACCTTCAACAGAGAATTCTTGGCAGCATTTCCTATAACAACATCCTTTGCTTCAAGCATCGTGTCCACAAAAATCTTCATCAGATGCTGCTTTACTCCTTCTGCTGGGATTGCTTGGAAAAATCTATTTGTAATCTGAAAGAAAGGTGCAAAATTGAGAGGAAATGTTTGAAATAAGACAAAGGCGTCCGGGAGCCAACATACACGTTTTAATTCAATTTATCTAAATCTGACTGGGGTGTCCAAAATCAGACAAATCTCCGAAAATCGAATGAAACCGTCCCAAATCAAACGGAACTGTTCGAAAACAGGCGAAGATGTCCGATACCAGGAGGAACCTTCCGATACCAGACGGAAGCTTCTGAAATGGGATGTGAAATGAAATGTGGAAAGTGTTTGAAACCAGACGGGAAACGTTAAAAATCGGACGAAACTATTCAAAATTGCACGGAAGTGTCCGAAATCGCCTGTTTCTCAGCTGTTTAGAGGGAAAAAAAAAATCACAGTTCCTGCTATCAAGGCTTCTGATGGATTAGATGCGACAAAACACTTCTTATATACTGCTTCCAAACAGGTCGCAAAGACTCATTTTATGGCACTTACCTGGCCAATCATAGTCAACATTGGTGCTGGATGTCCAGGGCAGACCGCAGATCTCAGGTAGAGCACCCTCAACATCTCTTTCCAACATTTGGATTCCTCCTGCAGCAGTGCAGCAGCGTCCGGGGTGTACTTTTGTAAAATCAGTTGTAGCAGAATGCTCTCATCTTCATGTAAGAGGGCTTTGCTATCCTCGCACTTGTCTAATAGTTTTTCCACGAGCGGCAACAGGGTCTGAAGCATCTCCTGTGTAAAAACGACACTCCCCCGTTATAAAGTGCTGCCCACACTCTTGGTTTCTCCGCTCTGATCTTCCGCCTCTGAGCGCAAGAAAACCTAGCGTTGAATTCGGCCAATTACTAGGTTCATAAGCAACTAGCGACCTGGATACTGCTAAGATCTACAAATTCAAAAGAGTCTAACAACACCAATTCTCAAGTAACATCTTTCTCCAAAGACAACCGTGTTAAAAATCTACCGTTTATTCTACTTCTCATAAAAAATCGAGATGCTCTGTGTTTGCCTGTAGCCATCGGTTTCTTCATACCTGAGTAGTAACACTGCGTAACGATGACAGTATGGTACGTCTAACAAAGGAAGACGTTTCACTGGATGCTACATGTTGTAACAAGAAGTCCAGCGTGTTCTTAATGATCTTATTGTGCGATGACTTGGAGTGAGGCTTTCCGCGGGATACCGCTGGTGCAAAGAACTCACCAAGAACCCTGTCAATGAATAGTTCAAATAGTAAATGATTAGTCCTGCACAACGAGCAATAATTTTTCCCTTTTTTGGCGTTTTCAGGCGAGGGATGGCACGCGCTATGTGCGTGCAAAGGCAGGTCACACGCGTGACTCGCCCTTGAGGCTCACGTTATGCTCGCTCTCGCCTCAAGCTATACTCGCTCTCGCCTCGCACTATACTCGCTCGCGCCTCGCGCTATTCTCGCTTTCCACGCCATTTATTCGCTCTTTCCTAATACTTTCCTCCGCTCGCCTCAAGACAAGAAGTGACCCGTTCCAAAGGTAATAAAAAAATTTGGCAAATTTGAAATTTTTCTATAAGTGAAAAAATTTAAATAATATTATATTCTCACCTATGTAACTGCTCGGAATCTGCAGAAAGTTCTTCAGCACTGTCCTTCAAGACATCAAGAAGTGCCGTCACTGGACAGGCTTGGACAGAAGATAGTTTGGACTTGATAATCTTTATACAAGCAACAGCCGACTTTCTTACAGCAGAGACTGGGCTGCACAGCGGCACCATAAGAGAAGGTACAACTGCAAAAGCAAGAATCGAGTTACACCTGTATACAAATGTACATCGATGACAAATGTATCACTCACAACCTGATAATTGGCAACTCAAATTTTTGTTTGGTTACCTGCAGCAAAAACACTATTGTACCTGAACATGTTGTCTTGGCCAGTTCCTTCACCGCTTTCCCGCTAATGGAGCCAAAGCATGCAGTAGCGATGTGAAGACACTGAACTTGCAGAAGAGCTAATCCACTCTCCCCTCCCTGGTGGAGATTTTTACACCATAAATGTCCTAGAAACTTTAGTAGGACTAGTTTTTCTGGTAGATGGCACTGGAAAACAATGTAACGGAAAATGACATTTAATTGAACAATGGATATTGAAACTAAAACTTGTAACACATAAATGATAAATGTGTAAACAATTAACTCAACAATTTAAAATGCTTAATACAGTAGATTTGATGACTATAAGTAAATTAGAAAATAAAAAATAAAATGAATTTAACTCTGGTAGCTACTTCAAAATGGATAAATCTCTAACATATATTATGTACACCTGAGTACGTAATTGACCTCTCTCTACATTGTCTTTTACCTGGAAGAGATCTTGAAGTAATTCTTTGAATAAATCTTGATGTGCTGTTGAAGTGCCACTTCCAAATGCTACAGCCTCAAACAGCATTGTCAGAAGCTAAGGAAAAGGAAAGGTAAGGACTTGTAAATTGCACTTTTAATTTGGAACGGTATCCTTATGCTTTATGTTCCATACCTTAGTATAAATGCCTTCTGGGTTATTACCATCTGCCTCTGGCCACCACTGTCCTACAAGTGACAAACAATGCACATGTATAATATGTCTTTAGATTTCTGTACATTATGTGACAACCAGACATGTACAGAAAATTGGGGAAAGGGAGGAGGAACAAGTAATCGAATCCCAGCTGCTCACTGACTATCAACACTGTCCATAGTTTAACAATTAAACTACTGTCTGCATTGTCCAACAACACTTAACTTACATAATTTACTCCATAATTCAAAAAACATTTCTCACCACTTAAAGCACAAGGCACAGTAGGGATGTTCTTTATCAACATCTTACACAGCCACAGTGTAATGGCACCTTTGGCATGATTCAGCCGCTTATTGCTGTGTTTACCAAGAAATTTCACCAAACATTTTAGTTGAGAAAATGGAACCACATGCCCTGGATTTGTGTCTTTGTTTCCTGACTCTTCATCCTAAAAATGTATATATAAAAGAAACACCTTCCTAAGAAAACAATTGGTACTGTGCTCACATATAAACAACATAAAATCACTATTTCTGCACTCCAGACAAGATCTTCTGCATTTTATGTGAATGACTGAAAAGATCAGAGTAAAAGCTACATCCATCAGGTTTTCAGAAGAGAGCACAGGTTTGCAAAAGTAATACAGGTTGGCTTCCTGTTTTCCAAGTTTAGAGAAAGAATAATATGGTTGCTTTTCCATCAATTAAATCCCAGGAAAGCAAGGAAGTTTTCTCTCTTTAGCACACTTCTTTATTCTTTCAAAATCCAAGAGAAAATTGAGAATAATAAAATGAAGGAGAGTGGGGTAGAGGTCACTTAATTCAAAGACAGAGCACTGAAAAACTTCTCAGATTATTGCTTTATACATTAAATGTCAGTCCAGTCCACAGTACCTTGAGTGGCTCATAGTTTCCTGGCAATCTTGTCACTTTCCAAATATCGGGTAAGATATATTCTGTGATGATTTGGCAAAACTTCATTTTACACTCCTCTGTTGCTGTAGCAATGACCCTACTGAGCAGACAATTCAGGAGTGGGTAGAAAAGACTTTCATCTGAAAGACTTTTGGCATACCCTATCATACTCTGAACCTGATTGAGAGAGAATCAAGAAGAAATGTAACAACGTTAAAATTAACCTTTAAAGGTGAATTCTTTACAATTACTGACTTCAAACATCTACAGTTACATACATGTATGCCCAGAGGTACAGTGTAAGTTCTGATTCCAATTCTTATGAATAACTGTGCCAGTGATATTTACGGGTCCAAAACAATAATTCTTGATATCAAGAATTACACGTCTATGGAGGGGAGAAGAGTTGTTTTACCCACCATCTCCACACATTGTTCTTCATCTAACTTAACCAGGTTATCTCCAAGCCAACTGATCAGTAAGCTGCTGGCCATGGCAAGCTTATCAAGGTCAACAATCTTCGTACAACTTTTCCACTCTGAAAAAGTTTGAGAGGATAAAATACATTCACACTTGAATACCAAAATGTATCTCAGCTGATCACAATACAACTTACTGATACCTACAGTACCGCTTGCGTATACGTTAACTGCGCAGACAAATTTCATGCGCTCCAACATAGGGTAGTCAGACACGTATATATGATTTTTTTGCGCGCACGGCCAAAAAAAATGCGCAATTCATGTGCCTTTGTTATTCAGTGCTATAAGTTTCTTTTGTATTTCATTGTTGTATGAAACAAAGGACTTCAAGGCTTGAAAAAGTGGCGAGAAGACAACAGAAAATTTACATAATGAAAAAAGCTATCATGTTACACTTGCGCAAGTCACGTTGATTGCGAATTTTTCTCATAACAAGCTGTAGCAGTAGATTTGCTTAATTTAAGTTGTTGATGAATCAGCTTGGGAAGGAAAATGTCACTTACTTAATGTATCGAAACACGAGTTTCATTACACAAGTAATACAAATACATGTACAATCCCTTTTTGATAGGCAATCTCTCAGTTTTGTAAGCACTGAGAGATCACTTTGTTAGTTACTGTTGTTACTGAATGTTTGCATGTATATGTAAAGGATGCATATGTGTCTACCTTTCTTTTGAACAAAATCTTCCATTCCAGTCAAAAGAGGATGCAGTGAAGCCAGCTCTGATTGGCTGACAATTAATGACAACTGAACTGCCATTTTGTGAGACTGACGATGAAGCAGTAGACGAGGCAATAAACCAAACATAACTTCTGCTACAAGTGATGGTACAGCACAGGTTACCCAGTCACCAACTAACAATAGAGTGGCTTCCTCTCGGACCTTGTCCCTACAGGACCAAAACAAGAATTATTACTGCATGTAAATCTAGCTTGATAGACTTATAAAAAATTAATGTTTCCTTTAATTTGCACATCATAATGTCCATAAAATTGTGTTACACTCACCACTCCTCTGATTTCTTGTCCAGAAGTTTAAACATTTCTTTCAAAAACTGATTGATGGGAAGATTATCTACAAGCCCCTAATTGCAAAAAAATACCCATTATATGTTATTAGTATAATCACATATTTTCAAAGTGCAAAGTGAAAAAATTCAACTAAATTAAATATTCTTTCTCTTGAGAATTCATGGAATTTCACCTGTCCCAACTTAAGCACACAAGCCACCACAGATGGATCATCATCTTGAAGTCGTGAAAGTAATGAATCGCTAATGAACTGTTTGTCTTCAGACAAGCCCTGTACAAAAAAATATATATGATCAACACCAACATTCACCAGAGTTATAATTGTATATAGAAACTACAGTCACACAAATTGCTAAAAAGGTAATAAACCATGCTTCCAACATTCTATCACAAGCATAAAAAATAATCAACAAGTGTAACCCTCCAAAAGAAAAGAAGCAAGGGGAGAAGCTACAAACAGGTTCAGGCTAATGTAACCCTTTAACTCACATGACTGACCAAGATAAAATTTCTCCCTACAATATCCATACAATACCAAGCAGGCAAGTGATGAGAATAACAAAAAAATATCAATTAGGAGATTACTAGTTGATCCAACACCAATTTCTTCAAACAAGAATCAAAAGAGTTGTCTTCCAGACAGTAAGGAGAATTACTAAAGAGTTCTTGGAGGTGAAAGGATCAAGGGCTGATCACAAATATAACAGCTGGACGATAACTGAAGAACAGTACCCCTTTATCTGCTAATAGTTCTCCTAGACGTTTGATTGCCATTTCTCGCACTTGGGCTTGAGGATGATGAAGACTCAAAACTAGTGTTGTGTTTGAATCAGGAATAACCTGCAGAGGGAAAAGTTAACATCCAGTTGAATATAAGTGTTATATTAATGTTCTGTCTTACACATACATATATTCCATCAGATATTCCATACATGATGGTCATCATTCTAAAAGGGGTACACAGACAGTGTGACAGTGTTTTTTTTTAGATATTTCTTTGATCATCTTAATTACAGCTGGAGAGCCAAAAAAATTTCCATTTCATTTCTGTCATTCTAAAATTCACAAGAAACTATGTTGTCATTTATGACAAAGGGTCTCTGTGTACATTAGGTTTTAAGAAATGCTTGCTTTTAAAATATATCACCATCTCCATCCACCAGACTGTGATTCCCCATGTACACTCCATCATCAGAGTCATTCGATGGAGGGGGGAGGGGAAACAGGGAAGTTATGTGCACCTATGGGGGGGGGGGGGGGAAGCAGGGAAGTTACATGTGTTTGTAGAGGGGTAGGGAAGTTACATGTACCTGTGATTTTACTCCTGTGAGTGCTAAGGACACCAGATCCATTGTCCAGAGGGAACCTTCCTCTGAAACAATGCCAGCATCCCCCTCAGTCATGTCCTCTGTGTTCTTGAGTGCCTGAAGATGTGCCTCGACAGCTCTCTCTAGTTCAGTAGGATATCTTGTAAAATAAACATAATTATACATTAAAAACAAAATCAACTTTAGTAACAGGAAAGAAAAGATCACCTGCAGAAACTTCTAAAGGAACTACATTTGCCCTGTTTCGCCAAGAATACGAGACTTAATATTGATTCATATCCATTGGTAAATATGGGTTATTCAATTATGAGAAGTGACATTATGAGAACTTAATTAAAGCAAACTCTAAAATACCAGCACTTTTTGAGCAAATGTGACAAACACCAGTTCTGCCAGCTTTTCAGAACAGATATTTGGTCTCATTAATCAGCATCTGATGGATATAGCCTACTACAGTTTCACTTAAAGAAGAACTACAAGAAACAAGCAGGGTACACAACACAGAGTATGCCCTTAGTGCTTAAAGATATAAATGAATTTATTCGAAAACATAAAAGCCCTACACATATACAAATGTGCAGGCATCAAACCTAACCTTTTTTCCAAGGCCTGCACCAAATCTTTCACTTTTTCATTCAAGTTTCCAATTCTACCCTCGTCTGCACCCAATGCTTTCCTGGCATCACAGTACTCCTCAAGAAGTGTTCTACAGGTAAGAATCAAGGAGAGTGATTAATTTACAATATTTAACAAAAAAAAACCAAGTAATTTGAGAAATGTGATTGTCTTTAGGAAGAGAGTCCATAAGAAGACTGCTCTCATAGACTGTGCCCGACATTTCCACCAACTGAACAGAAGTCATTAACAAGTCAAGCATGTGGAAGTTTCTTTCAGTCATATGTTAGGTCTGTTTAGAGAAAACTGATTAGACTGAGTTTTACGAAGATTTTATTGGCTTGAAGCCTGCTAAATGTTGAGATCACATTCTTCCAGTGTCAGAAAGGTACTCAACTCATGTGATTTTTATTCTCAAGAGGAAAATTCCTTCAAACACGGGGAATACACATTTCATCACTCACTGGTCTGAAGTATCTTGAAATATATATGAAAAAAGTGCTATAATTGATGCCACATGTTAATGACCAGATGCATGGTCTCACAACCTGTTCCATAGCTTACCAGAGGTTTTCATTCAAGCTGTGTTTTATTTGAATTATTTGTTTTTAACCCTCTGACAGTGCATCTATAATATCTGTACTACACACTGTTCAAAAAAGCATTAAAAATATCTGTATTTCTTACAATGAACAACTTATGGTGAATTCTGACCTGCCAATCACTGTGACCAGTGCTGGTTCAAAATCAACCTCTCTAAGTAATTCCCAGACAATCTCTAACAGGGCTCTTGTGTCACTCTCCTCTGATAACTCCTGTTTTATTCCATTGGATACAAGTTGTGGGACAAATGCTTCAAGTAATGGATTAATGCTATGAGTCACAGACAGATTGTGAAGAATATCTACCAGTCTTGGAAGCTTCAGAAGTGCTTTAAAAGACCTGTAACAAAATACATAGCAATACACAATTATAAATGAAAAATGGAAGATTTTAAGGATAAGAAGTGACATATCTGCACATTAAGCAAAAGTAAGTCATTTTTATCATATGCTATATACATGTATCATAGACTAACCTCTTTGATAATTTCTTTAACCCCTGTGATTGACAAATGTAGGTAAGACAAGACAAACCTTCAGTGGCAAATCCGGGTTTAATGCTCTGAAATTTATTAAAAAACGAAGGGATTAATAATACTTGAGTTTGGGAGAGCTTATGAACCAATGACAAGTTATAGTGGTCAACCAATGATGAGAAAAAGCTAGAGAAAGACAAGGTAAAGAGAGACGCCACAGAAACATGGAGAGCTACAGACAGTACCTTCAAAAGAATGGACTATCAAAATAAACTTGATTACTCCCTGTAACAAGACTTGAGGAACAGTTTCAATTTGAGGACTGCCCTGATTGATAATTGATTGGTTGTAAACATTTATGCAAACTCAAAAAATGACTAAAGCTTCACCACATTGATAAGTTGCTAGTTTTATTTCAAGACTCAATTTTAGTCCCTGGTGCTTTCATGAGAGGGAATCTTGAATTAAGTCATGAGGGTCAACCTTCAAGGGACTTTCAACTCACCATTTACTGTTGTATTTTATTCAAGGAAGCTGCCCAAAATGACAGTAATTTATAATACCTTACATATGCTGTCAGAAAGGGATTTCACCAATTCCTTCTCCATACTGCATCTAAAACACAACTGAGCTGTAATAATGTATGACGATGCTATCAGCTCTGAGAGCCCAGACTTAATACAAGCCAGTAAATGAGGCAATAATAGAGTCATAAATTTCTCTGTCACACTTGGCATCATATCCAAGACTCCAACAACAGTTGAGGTATAAAATGTAAACAAAACTCTTGAGCTTGACGGAGGGATTTCCAACTTTATACCTTCCATTACCATGTCACAAATGAGAGAGAAGAAGGCTGTATCAGTGATGCAGTGTTGTAAGAAAGCTGTCTTAGAAAGGGGAACTCCAGCTTTTTTAATCGGACTGAGCCAGTTCCATTTTGAGGAAGGATCTTTTATGGAAAGTAGCTGCAACACACGCGTGAACAAGTTTGTTTCGTGGTAAGGCAAAATACAAGTGACCAAACTATCAACATTGTGCACGTGGATTTGGAATCTTCGGATAAGCCATTCCAAAACCTTATGAGCTGGCTTTAGCAAGAAGTATGGCGATAAATATTGCAGAAACTTTGAAATATGCTTATCGAGCTTTTCGTTCACATCTTTTGTCTGTAATGATCTCTCCAAAGACATCGAATTGTCGCCAAAAAGCGACTTTTCAAACATCTTAAAGGCAGGCTCGATAACTTTCAATTCTTCCAAGCCATTTAAACCGATAGAGAACACAGTTTCGTTGTCTATGTCAGCTGCCTCTTTCGAATCAAATAGCAGAGATGATTTTTTGCTGGCTTTAGCAGTGGCTGTTGAAGGCAAACTGCCCGGTATTTGCAGTTGCTGTAGTTGTTTTGCCAGGGACGTCATTTTAGTTTTCCACGTGCCAGAGATTAAAAGCGTGGAAAAGACTACAACTGTAAAGAGGCCTGGCTACAAGGCTTGACGATTTTATGTGAGGGTGGAGAGGGAAGGTGGAAGGTGTCACTCTATAAACATTGTCAAATCTGATTGGTTGATATCTGTGAACTCTGTCCAATCACGTTAATCTATCCAAAAGCGCGCGTTAAGAGCGTCCGCCCGCGTGAAGAAAAAAAAATCTGAACATAAACAAAAGATGAGTTTAAATTACCACGTAGAGCTGAAAATGATATCTTATAACACGCAAAAAATGATGAAATAGAAGGAGATCGCCTCAAGATACAACTAAAAATGCCACGCTACCTGGGAATCGACTTCCTTGCGGATGTAAATACAGCATTTGTTCTAATCTTCATACAAACAACCACCCTTATCTGAATCTGTCGGTAAACCTACAGATATTTAAATATCAATTTCTATTGTATGGTTCTGTTGTTTTCTTTTGCAGGCATTACGACAGCGCAAAAACATGCTTTCCCAGATGCTTCTCACAATACCGAGCCATTTGGAGTATGTAGATACGTACACCCATAATGGAACAGCTACTGATAGGACACGACTTATTCCTCGACTGAAGGGTAAAGAAGAGATGTTTAATAATTCTTATGAAGCTATTTTAAGCGCTTCTTGGGTTTGTTTCAATCTATTTAAAATTTTGCCTGATTTTCCATTAATTATAAGCTATTCATACACAGAAATGATTCCCTTCAAGTTGTCAAGTAGACAACCCATTGACTACCTGGCACAGATCACAGAAATCTCAGGCAACATCCAGCGGCCTGTGGCCTACAGCTCAGAGAAGACTGGGAAAGACATTGTCCCAAGCTCCAACCCAGACTCCCCTTTGGTATCCTTTGATATGTGGTCTGATCTTGAAGAGGAAATCGTGGATCAGGTCATCAGCTCATTAGCACCAGACAAAGAACAGTTTACACCAATCGATGAAAAGTCTGACGGTAAATTTGAATTGTTTGATCGTTGCGAGCGACAACATTAAAGCCTTAAAACTGAACATAAGGGCAAAAGTGTACGAGAATTCTAGTGAAAGTACAGATCAATAAAGAACAAGATAAAGTGGCAAATGGGTTGTAAACTGGTGATCTGCGCGTAATAAGTCAAGTTACAAAAATTCCTTTGTCCCATACCAATATCTATCATTATCTCATAGATGACTCTATGAAACTAGAAGAAGTGGAATTCACAGACAACCTCTATTCCATTCGCCAGAAGATTCCTGACATTAACGTCCTAGCTTCAAGGTTGAAAACCAAACTTGTTCAAGACCCTCTTTTGTTGGACAGCCATGGTAATCCCTTAGAAGAGAAGAGCCTTTTGAGGTTAGTAGTTTGATTTTCCAACAGCAACGTCTTTTAGCTAATAATGTTTTATACAATATGTATGACGCGCGTTTAGCTAGCCCCCGAAAGTCTCCTATTTCATTTGGTAACGTCTGCATGAGGTCACTAGACGCTGTTGGTGCAATTTCTAGTTTGGCTGAGAAATCATCACACACTATTTTTTATGAATTTTAACTACCCAAATATCCCTTTTTTTCCTGTAAACTCACAGATCGGAAATTCAGGCGTCTTTCAGGGGAAAAAATGCCGAAGGACTAGGAAAGGAGGACAAGGAAATGTTTTTAAAGATACATTGCGGTGACAATGTGAATGAGGTATGGAAAGCTTGTAAAAGTGGAGCAGACAAAAGACACTAAACATTCCAGAGAAATCCTAAGCAAATGTTTAACTCAGGGAATGAAGTGAGAGGTTCTGTCAAGATGATTCAGTAGCTGTGGTGTTGTTGCGCTGTTAACATACCGCCTGAATGTCTTTTCACATAGAATGAGGATGAAATCGAAGACGTTTTCAGTCCAGAAATCACATCAAAAGATGCATTCTGCGCTAAAGAGACACTCAGATTGCTTGATCTACATGAAAAGAACGAGCTTGTAGGTAAGTTTGGTCCTTTTTTCCATTGCTTTATTGTTAAAAAATTTGGGAAATTGAATCATACTTCTGGCCGGGTTCCCACTTGTTTGCCACTCAGTTCCTCTTGTACCGTTAAAAATGACCTTCGGCTCGTGATTAGACGGTTACAGCTCTATTGTATGCACTGGTTTGTCCACGGGGAGAACATGTGTGTGGCATGCAAGCAAGCCTCTGACGTTTGTTCATGATACTTGCATTTTAGGGGAGAAACCTGAGCTGCTGTTACAGCAACCCACTCACACAGGTGTTGAAACTCTCACAGGTTCTGAGGAGAGCAGTGAATTAAAGACAAATGATTTTGTGAAATTAAATGAAGGTAATTTCCAGTCAGTAAGTAGGAGAGTTTACTAATATACAGATGAATACGTTGACTTGTTTTGCTTGTTTTTCTGATAAAGCATTAGCATCATATTTTCAGAAGTCTTGTTTCATCAAACTTACATTAACCAATGCACCCATTAGTGAAGCACATTTTCTCCAATAAATCATTCTCTCTCGAATCATTTTTGAGTGAAGTGTTGTGGCAAAATACCGGCAGTATGCGTCGGAGTTACTGAATCAACCAGCAAGAGAAATAAAAAGATACAATATTGTCAGTACTCCTTTTCGTATCAATTCCAAAGCTTATAGAGTTAGGGTGAAAACAATTATTCCATCATGGGTTTATCTAGTATTATATCTTCTTTGTGCAATGATATTAAAAACTTTCAATATTTAGGAGATCAAACCAACGCTTGCGATGTCTTGGAGGATCAGCAGTTACTGGAATCTCCATCTCATCTTCCAACTGTCGCAAGGAATCACAGCAGCAAGAAGTTTATTAGTAGTTTGCAACCTTTTAAATTATCTACTGAGATAACTAGGTACGCTCCAAGAGATAAGATTTTTCTTTGAATCTGTAGCGAATTCTCGCATTAATAACTTCATGTCTTCCCTTAGATCGTTCCTAGCATCAATATGCATTTTCTTAACGGAATGCCAGAATCTTATCATCTCGTCTTAACCGGAAAAGAAATCATCTGTATCGGTGGGGAGCGATGGCGAGAAAAATAATCTGAGACGTCGGTTTCGACATAGAATCTCAGACTGCAGGAGAACTACTCACAAAACTCTCAAAACTAGTCAGTTTGTAATTAATATATTACTTAATTAACTGTATGAATAATTTTCCTGAATCTTTGATGTCAATTTCTTCAGCCCACCGCTGTCACCCAACAAGGTCAAGCAGTGTGTACAAAACATATGGGAAAATGAAAAGTTTCTCTTCAGCGAACACTTAGCAATGGTGCTTCCTGGTGCGTATGCTCAGAAAATCTATCGGGTTAGTCAACTGAATAATTCTGCAAGAGTGGTTTAGTTCGTGTCAGTTTACGCATCATGGTTTAGGAAAACATTTTGTAGCCGACCTGTAACGTGAAGTGATCCACTTAAGATCGCGATTTTCTTTATGTGTGTGGCCTTTTGTCCTATTTTCAGTCACCTAAAGAATATGGATTACCTTACGGTTGCTCTAAGGATCAACAAAATATTTTAATAAGCCAAAATAAACCTTGTATTAATAAACTTCCGTTTCTTTTCTTTTTTTTCTGAATAACTTTGCACCCAAAAAAGACCTTAATTTGTCCTTGCTGGTCACACTCACAGAACCAAAACAAGTGCTGTTTTCAAGTCAATACCAAAAATGAACTTTGTAATAGAGGATATTGAGCATTATTCTCTGTTCATTAAATGGAAATGAGTTTTAACAAAACGTAAAACACTAAAACACTTCGTGTTTTTTTAAGTACCAACTACTTCATCCAGGAGAAGAAAGGATCATTCGACGACTTTGATACAGGAGGCAATGAAGAAGTTGACCCTTTCACAAGATTTATTGGATGGAAAGGTGGAGCTAGGCATACCGTGGAACCCGCTCGCTGTGTCGACGAGGCAAATGGAGAATTGCCAAATATATCTACAGTCTGTTTCGTCGTGGAGTGATGAAAAGCAATCACAAAGTGAAATATCTCCTCACCGAAAGGGAACTGCAAGGGAAACCTTTAGTAAAAATAACATTTACGGTGAGATAAAATCTTTGCAAAGTCATGATTAAACTGCGGGGAAACAATAGGCAAAGTTTTCTGCTTGTTACTTCTTTTCTTCATCATTTATTTGCCTTTTTTCCTTTGTCCAGATGAGGTACAAGATGGAAGCTTGTCGCGAGACTTACAGCCGTTTTCAGGGGGAAAGCCGAAGGAACAACAATCGGGTAAATACTTACACAACAATAACATTGAACAACACAGCTATACTTTGATCGAAATGTCATTTAAATCTGATGTCAAAGCTGATTCTCAAACAGTATTTAAGAGAAGTCAACAAGCGTCATAATACCTATGGGAACGTCAAAACTTAGATCTATACATCTTTTTTCTTTTTTTGTGTGTGTTAAGGTGAGGATGGAGGAAAAACGCAGACATTGGCTTCAAAACGCGATATCCATGACACTTTGTCTACACTTTCGACTTCATCAGATACCACAACGAGATTCAATTCACGCTCGTCAAACACCAGCAAGTTTGTGACAGAGGTTAGAGATACCTCCGGAGAGACAGACGAACGGGAACCATATTTCACGAAACGCACAATAATTCCGGCATTAAGACAATTTTCTGGTGGCATTGATGATTTCTTTTTACTCAGGGAAGGTCATAAGAATGCCTCAAAGTCACCCAGTTCTGGCCAATGTGCACCAACAAGTAAGAATGGACTACCTCGCTCTTTAATCTATCCTTTTGGGCTTATTAACTGTTTTTACCTTTGATGAGAAAATCAAAACAGTTGCTTAACTTTGGGAAATTGCATTCAACATCCTTAAAAAAAAGAAAGAAAACATTAAGTTAGGGAATCAAAGTTAAAAGAGAAGTACATCATGTTTTTTAATAGTGTGCGATATCTATGCCGAGGAGTGTCATTGGACATGTAACACATCACCAAATTGTTATAATTTTCAAAAGTACACAAAAAACTTGAAACTCCTTATTTGGATACAAAACATTTGAGTCCGATAAAATTTCACAAAGTTGTTTTTCTACTTCTTTTCACGCCCGCCTTCATGAACTCGTTCAAATTACTGCTCTTTTCATCAGTCTCTTGAATATCTATCTAAATTATCATTTGATCGGGACCCTTGCTAAGAGAAGACTCTTTTTAGTGGAAATCCAGTACCATTTTCGTTTTCTCTCTTTCAGAAAAAGTCGTAAAAGCGGCGAAAGTGCGTCCTTCGGTGTTCACAACAGAGCAGACAGGATTCAACTCTAGTGAAACGCAAGATCCAACGGGCTATGAGTGTCACAGCCAGCTACATAGTAACTATCCCGTACGGCAGCGTGACATACCTGTTGAACTGTCAGACGATTTCCAAGAAATTTTAGACGAGTTGATCGGGCATGTAAAGCCTCTTTTATCTAAGCTTCAGAGAGCTGGGGTTGTGCCACAAACTAAGACGCTTTCGAACTTAAATCCAGAGTATACAAGATTCGTTTTGAAGCAAACTCAAATGTCCCTTAATGAAGGAGAGCACAAAAGTGATATTTATGGCATGTCTATATGCCTGCATGCGCTTGTCTCTTCTGTTGATGTTCTTATGCATAGTGGTTTGGAAGCTGCAGTAGGTGAGATTGACAATTTCTGCGACATTTTCACAGCTTGTACAACTAGTTTCTTGTGATTTAGACTAAAAATTCTAATTCAAACTCAGATTTGAATGAGGCTATTTGACAGTTCTGCCTGTTAAACTAATTGAACTACAAGCAGGGATTTGAGGGGTTAATGTTTATCAAAACAGTGATATATTTTCCTTTCTTTATTCCAGCCTTCTTCAGCTCAATAAATGAAAAGTACAGCAGTTTAATAGGGGGAGCTCTGGAATCAACGCGGAGATACCTCTTCGAAACACGTTTCGCGTTTGAACAGCAGAAAATAATTCACCCAAAGCTTTCAAAGCTGCTAACCATCGTAGCAAAGTGGAGTAAAGATCAAGAAGCCTGCAGCGCAAACGCTGCTATCATCGTTTACACTTTCCACGAAAAGTTAACCAAAGAAATTACAGAGACATTGTCAGGTTTACACGGAGTTCAGACCAGGTTATTTAACAAGGACACAGAAATCAATGCTTTGCAGGAAGAAAATGGACAACTGGTAATCTATGTTGTGAATGGCTTAGCAGCAAGCGAGGATTTTCCGTGGGCAAGTTTTGACTTTGTGCTGGACTACAACCCGAGTGGAACAGTAACAAGGGAGGAACTTTCTCGCAGCACAAGACTTAAATCTCATGTAATCTTGAAAACGATTTCAAAAGTTTCAATGGGAAATCATTTAAGTGAGGCCGAAGGTTAGAACCTGAATTTCACTTTTAAAGGAGTTGTTGATGTTGTGATACAATCAAAGTTAGGTCCAGACCAATTGATTTTCATTTTGTTTCTCTTATTTTAATGTAGTTTTGCAGGAAATATTGCTACAAAATACGCAGCATACAAATGATGCAAATATACAATATCATCATATTTTCCACTGAGGCATGTTCGATATCAACCTTGAAAAAGAGGAATTTATAGGCTTACTAGCAATGTACGTATATACATGTAAGCTATCGAGGAAGAGTTTCATGACAAGTTTTGTTGGTTAATATCGGATCCTCAAGGCTGCTTTGGAGTTGATCCTGGTTTCTGTAGCATGAAGCAGCCAGGATTATTGCTATCGTCAAAAGTAACTCCCAGCTATGTATTAACTTTTCTTGTGAGCTGGCTGATCCCTTGTGTCCCCCCGTGGGTATTGAGTGTCCGTGTGAGTGTGAAGTGTCTTACCGAAGGATACAACATGTTGGCTGGAACTCGGGTTTGGACTTCTCCACCAAGACCCCAACGCCCTAACAATTAGTTTGCTGAGAAGCTCCTTGCGGTGAAAGTTGTCAATTCTGCTACCATCTCCTTAAGACATTCTCTTCTCCGCTTTTCCTTTATTAATTAACTTTCCTTATTTATGCAAAGTCTCATATCTAACTCAAGCTGTAAACTATGTGTATGCATCAAAGGATAACGACATTTATTATGTGCTGAATGCCAGTCTCATAACCAGTGTAAAGGACCTCACGTGGTTATCTATCATTTCTCTCTCAGACATTAGTGACGCCAGCTTGTTAAGCGACCAAGATCAGTACATTTTCATCGGCAGTGAAAAATTTACACATAATAAAGATCTCCTGCATCTCCTCGAAACTTGCCACAATGTCATGATCTATGAAAGACGAAGAAGTAAGACAAACTCTGAAGATTCTCTGAACAAAGTGCTTCTACAGCCAGACGTGATGATTGACGAGAGAACCTGCATTCATCTCCAGCATTTGTCCTCTCTAACAGATGAGAACGAATATAAAGGATTGAGAGATGTGGTGCTGTCACTGTCCCTTAAATGCCACAAGTGTCATATTATCATGTATTCTAACAAACAGCCAGAGTACGTATCCAAGACAAAAATAATATTTTGGTGATGACCCTGCAAGATGTATCTGGTAGATTTTGGTCAGGGTTAGTCAGTGCTAACTTATTACAAACTCTTGTTTTTATTCAGCCATGCCTTTACAGGAGAAGTTCTTCGCCACTTATCCCTTCTGTTTGCCAGCTGTGCTCATTTTCAAAAGAATGAGTTTGAAGTGGAGATCCTGTACTCCTTTACTATGAAAGAAACTGCTCGTCTCATCAGACAGATAGGTGACAAAGCTAGGGCACAGTCTCCAGTGTGGAACAAGATGGAATGGCCAAAAAGGAAATGGTTAACAAACGAAGCAAGTGCGGTGAGATAAATTGGCTTCATTCACTTCGTGTCTAGAAAACATCGCAAAATATTTTTTGTGACATAGAGAGATCTGTTTATGTCCTCAAGACTAATTAGGTGTTGTTTTGTTTGAAGCATGAGGAGTTCCTGGTGTCACTTCCGTGTATGAATTCATTCAGGTAATCAAAGTGAGAGAACTTGTCTAACGGTAATGATCTACATAAAAATCAATTCAACAAAAGATTTTTTTATAGATATTAAAAAAGAAACATTACCGTCACAACACTTAACACTTTGAATTTTATGTCTGTCAGTTCACTTTAACTACAACACCCGACAAGGTGCACAGTACACTGATTAGCGTTAAAGGTTTCCTTTATAACTCATTTATTATTTACTCAGCGCACAAGTGATGCTAACCGCTGCCCCACTAGCTGAGCTGTTGAAAATGTCACCTGAGGAATTGAAAGAAACCTGTCCTTGGATTCCGCCGAAAACTCTCTCAGTATGCGGAATTAAGTTTGTATATGAGTGTTAGTAAAGTTGTACATACTACCGCACTAATAGTATTGAATGAGGAACTTTGATTGATTCATTATCATCGTGTCATAACTTATGCGATGATGTCACTAAGAGCATGAGAAACTTGAATGATCTTCATTACCACGCCTGAGATTTTGATCCTCAAATCAGTAAGATAATGTTGAAGCGAGCTAGAGAAGAACGCGTAAACTCATTCATCCTGGTGTATCAAATTATTCGTTTATCAGTTTGGACCTCCCCATGTGAAATTTTCTCAGGTCCTTTTGGTGACATCCTTTATCGTGTTTGTTTTCAAAGACTTCAACTAATGTGATGTGATAAAAAACGTATATTATAGGGTCGGCTGCTTAGTAATGTAACCTTTGCACTGTTTATAGCTACTCCAATGACAATGTTATGTACCACTTAAAATTATCTACTTGGCTTTCTTCTAGGAATTTTACAAGTCCGTGAACTGGTGTTCTGAGTTAGACCCTGATATGCCAGTCTTTTCAATAGCGCAGCCGTCACTTCAAACTTCCTCACAAAGCTGCTGTGCTGTAGAACCGTCGCCACATCAAATGCCCTTGGCTGCCTCAGAGTCCAATTCTTCCCCTGATAGCATGGTTGCTACAAGAAATGCCTTGGTGGAATCCACTGACTACAGGCTTAATGATCCACCGTCACTTTGGGTAAATATTCAACAAACGCGAGAAACCACGAGAGACCCTGTGACTGATAGGGTTTATCATACTTACCCTCAAGATAAACCAGTAACTGATGACTGGTCTGCTGGCGCCTTTGGAGATCGCTTGAATTCTTTTCTCGCCGTTTCTCAAAGAGACGAGGTTGAACATCACTGCCCTCCATACCCAGATATTCCTGATACACATGATAACGAATGGAGACCCTTGATAGCGAGAAATACATCTTCAAAGTCGTGGAAGGACAACGTTGAATCAGATTTGAGGCGATGCATCACAGAGAAAAAGGTAACCATCATGCCAAAAGGGAGACAAATATTCCTCATGTGTATTATTCCGTGCTTAGTTTTCAACCAGCTTATTTGTTTTGCGACAAGAAGCAAAGAATGAGAGACATGACGAATAGAGGGATATATAGCTAGGACAGAGGATGAAAGGAGAGTTCTATTAATGATGGAGGGAGGAGGAAGGCAAGTAAAGGTGATGGCCTGCCTTCCAATCAATGGGTGTCCTTGAACTTAACCACTCAATTTCCCCGGCCCTTTCACCCTTTGTTACATGTTGTGTGCCATCTCATCTGTTATCTCTCCTTTGTCTTAAGGTACCGTACATCAGGTATGATCACCAAGTAACGTCCAACTATCCAGTTAAGAGTCATTATTTTTCTGAATTTCCCGGTTCCTGTCGATCAAGACCCGAAGAAATAAGCCATTTAAGGGATGAAAATGAAGACTACTTGACGCATGACGAAGACATCGACGTGACTGGTCGCTCAGCGATGTCTTTAAACTTTCCAATAGCAAGAGGATCTACGACACACTCTTCGAGAGAACAGAATGATCACTTTGACTCGTCTTTGGACAGAAACGTCTGCGGTCGAAGGTACCAGAACCCCAGAGATTACCGTACTCATCAGATACCGCAAGCACGTGTACTGGATAAAGATCATTCAAGCAAACGCGTGAGGTAAGAGCAGCTATGGTAAACATAACGTTTATCTTGTTTTCTGTGTGTTTCTGGCCTAAGTTTTACTTCAGACTGTGTCAACATAGTCATAGGCTAAACATCTTCGGAGCAATAACGATTATATTATGACGCGCCTTCTGTTTCAAAACATTCTTTAAAAAAGAAGAAGTAAAGAGATTACTGTAAGTACTGGTCTAGGCTTGTGCCCTCGTATGACCGCCAAAAAGCTTTGCCGCAAAGACCTGGAGACGAGATTGAAACGTATTCAATTGAATGTTCGCAGGCAAGCTGTGCGAGTATTAGACCTTGGAAACGAGGCTACCCGTGCTGTTCCAACTAAAGTGGGAATAGCTCAACCACAAAGGAGAGTTTATGGCTCATCTGATTATCCTCAAGTGTCTGTACGGAGTACATCAAGTCAAGCGCTAAGAGAAAATACTGTCGCTAGTAAACACAAACGAGTTAGTCTTGGTATTGAAAGATCTACTAACTCTGCGTCAAAAGGTGCACAACAGGTAAGTATTTCCTGTCACCTCTATGGTGATATACACAGAGCTTGTTTTAAAGGTCACTTTCCACTGAGTTGCTTAAAAAACAAAGCCGTTTTTTTTTCCCTGAGTGAATAAATATACCAACAAGTTCTCTGTTATCGTGCATTTACAGCAGAAACGACACAAAACCGTTGAAAATGTTATATACTACAATAGCTAGGAGAAAGGAGGGAGTCTGTATAATTTGTCACTAAAATCTCGTAACCACACAGAGCACTACTTATTCAAAAGTTTACTTGTCGGGTAAACCCTGTGTAAACTTCTTTACCTCTGATCGTGACAAAGAGAGCGAAATAACATGTTTGCAAAGAAAAGTAATCAACAGATAAACATTTCATTTTCATGACAGCTACGAGGAGGGGAGCACGCGGTAACAGCAAAACGGCCGTCCCTAGACGGTGAGTTACTATCTTTTATACAACTTCACAACACGAGGGTAGCATTGGGACGCAAGCTAAAAGAGTACCAAAAAACGTGACGAGAGCTTATACGTGATAAGCAGTAACGGGGGCGCGATCTTTCCCCTATTCACTCCACCAGCGCTTTTCTAATCTTCATGGAAGGGGAATCACTCCAGGAACAAGGGAATCTATATGTGGTATTACCAGGGGCATTAAAAGATTTAGTTCAAAATGATATGAAGAATAACTTGTGTTTATTGAATCTATTAGATCCTGATAAATGGTCTGTCTTCCCTTCGTACCTGTCCTCAAAACGGCGTAAGCTGACCTACGAAAAGATCCCTGGTGTAGAAAGCGGTCAAACTAAGCTTGTGTTCAAGTACGACAAGTAGTTTGGATCATTCTTCAAAAAACGTTTAGTGTGCTATTAGTCCACATTTTGTTCATAAATCCCTCAAGACCTATGGCTTTGAAACAAACCTGAGCGAAAAAAGAGATCTTGCTGTAACTTGACAGCATTAAACAAAGCAGTCACTAGAGATAATGTCGTTGATGACAGGGAGCCTTTTTGTCAATATTGGAAACATTGCACACGAGTTTAATACCCACTTATTGCATCATTAAAGTTATATTTGTAACTGGGTCCTTGAGTGTCTTGAAGCGTTGGTAAAAAGAAATTTTCAACGTCCTAACTTTAGATCCTATAAGCATCATGAGCTTTCGGCTGTATCATCAGTCGGCAAAGAATTATCCGTAGGTGGAGGGTGAGACAACACTCTGTCAATCAAACCAAACTCTTTAGCTTCCTCAGGTGACATAAACTTGTCCCGTTCCAGCGCTTTTTCTGATGTACAAAAATTGGAAACGAATAAGCCATCAATAAATGCGTGAACAAGTGATTAATTCAGTGTTTGGCATTGTGGGTGTCCGAGATAGACCAGGATTGGTTTTATTTTGCTTCCTTACGTTCTCAATTTGATTGGTCAAAAAACTTGTGATCCTCCCGACTTATCATATGCAAAACTTAAATCCATCGCGATTTTGTCACTCTCACTCCTTGTCTATGTTGTGATCAATGCAACAAATGTAGCAATTTGAAGCAAATAGCTTATAACATGTTTTCAACATCTTACCTATTTCATCAAGAGGCTGACCCGTGTGTTTAACATAGATCTTATTTAGGAGTGTCTTGAGCTTAAGAATTTCCTCTGCTTGAATGGCTATATCTGTGGCTTGGCCCTAAAAAAATAATGAAAAATTTACAATGGACATCTTTGCATAGTCATGCAGTCAGAGCACCCTTAACTTTGCCTAGTACTTATCTCAAGTTCACACACATCTTTCAGTTACATGCAAAATAATTACCTCTACCTTGTTTAAGGCCACAAAAACTAAGTCAAATTGAAGTTCAAAGGATGTTGATGTTTCTAAAACATTTGAGTGACTACTTTCAAGGGTATATCAACAAAAAGTGACCACAACAACAACATACCCGTGCTCCTCCATGTGGTTGATGCACCATAACCCGAGCATGTGGTAAAGCATGTCTCAAACCTGGGCTTCCTGCAGTTAAAAGCAGAGAACCCATGCTGCAAGCTTGCCCCATACACCATGTGGAGATAGGAGGTTGAATATACTGGAGAAGGAAATATCGGTACATTATGAGACTTTCTTACTTTCACTGATGAAGAGCACTTAAGATGAGGTTCCCTTCAGTAATCCTTTCAATACTTCAGAATTACTGCACCCTTGCAGATGCCCATTTCATTCTTCTGTATAGAAACTCTAGTAATGCCATAAAACTCCATGAACATCTTTGATAAGCAGTAACTTTCAGAAAACCTGCTCTCCCCCCCCCCCCCCCCAAATTAAAAAAAAAAAGGAGTTTACACCTCTACCAAAACTCTGGGCTATGATTTTGTACAGAATAAACAAACAAATGTGATACAATTGCTTAAAAATTGTAACAAGCATACCTGCATTGTGTCATAGATGGCTAATCCTGCTGTAACTGACCCACCTGACAAGAACACAAAATAATTAAGTTTCACATGTAAACCTGACCTAAAATATCCAGAACACAATATTTCACACAGGTGGGTAAGTGGTTAGTGCTCTAGACTCTGGATTAAAAGGTCCAGGTTTGTATTGAAATGCTACGCAAGACACTTTATTCTCACAGCACCTTTCTCCACCCAGGAGTATAAATGTGAGACTGCAAACTTTCAGAGGAAGCTGACAAAGTTAGAGAGGCTAACCTCTCACTTACTCTAAATTCCTTTAGAAGGCTGAGGTCAGGATAACTTCTTTTTAACTTAGAAGGTGACTTTTTTTGCTAAACCCTAAATATCAAATTAAATGTATTAACACCATGGCTTTGAACACAATATATGACGACTTTCCTAGTCATCCTGATTTTCCCACAAATAGTTTTTTCCCAACATAACAACAGTAATTAGCAACAGTATATTTAAAAGTGCCTTTAATTTTAATTAAATCACCTGGACTGTTGATGTACATATGAACAGGAGTTCTATCATTCTCAGACTGTAGAAATAATAGCTGAGCCACAACAAGACTTGACAACTCATCTGATATCTAAAAAACAACAACAGAAAAAAAAAAACATTTGAAAAAGGTTCTGAATCAGTGATTAAAAATACATCAGGTTTGTTGGCAAGGCAGAGAAACTAGAGAACACAGGGGTCCCAACAAAAAACCCTCAGAGAAGAGAGGAAAACCAAAAAAAACATTCAAACACATGAAATGCTACATACAGGAACTAAAGTGGGGTGACAGCATTGAGAGATGAGTGCTGCAGCAACTGCATCATCTCCACTGCCCCTTGATAACCAGCCAGCATCAGTTTCTTGTAGGATGTTATGTCCAAATTCCTTAATATGGCATCACAAAGGATTGTTGTCCGAATGCAAAAAACTTTATCATTATTTCTTTGCACATTGCACACTGTTATACTGGACTGGCCCACAAAAATGTGAGCTAATCACATGTGATTTTATGCATTTAGTTAGTTTCTTATAATAATGACAAATTTTACTACAAGGCTGTCTCTCTTAGAGGCAAACAAAGTGAATCCTGCATTCTGACTGGTTGACAATCTATTCCTTCACAAAAGGCTTCAGGTCAAAAATTGTTCAAATGATAAGTCCTTGTTCAGTCAAACTAGACACACAATTTTATAGTTTTTTTTTCTCATTCTCCTATCTGATTCTTGTGCTACTTAATTAAGAACAATGAATTCTACTTTGAATAAGCTGCGTTTTCAACTCTCTTTTCCTTCAAAAACTACCACAACTTAGAGTAATCACTTGCATATCTGGTTACATTTTAAAATTTAAACATCGTCACTTACAGGACCCATAACACACACTATTCGCTCTTTCAGAAGACGGGAAAATATGTCATAGGCTCTTTCACCTCTTCCCTGAAAAACATCAAGATAAATCTTTCATCAATCAGAAAACAGGAAGAGAAGGTTCTGAGCACGTATCAAAGTTGAAATACTTTAAGAAATATAAATGCTCCGGCTCTGTAGTTACATACCGTTTGTTCGATCACCATAGGAATCAAGAACTGTCTCCTGCAAGACGTATGTATCCCTCGCGATATCCTAGAAATTACCTAAACAGGAAAATATACGGTGTATCAAATAAAAGGGTAACTTGTGACGAAAAAGTTTCAATGGTACTCTTACGTAAAGTCCTTGTCGAGCAGCCATGTTGAATTTGGATTGTAGCCGCAGGTCATAGTCACTGCAGACACTGAGTATGATGTCATCCCCAGTATATCTCAATTTTAGTTGAAAAACTGACCAGGTCCAGGCTGTCGGTGCATTTCATCACCAGCTACAATGTTTACAGGAGATATAGATATCCACACTGTCTACTTTAATACAGTTATTGCTACTGCCTGCTGTGGATAAAGCTACCTACCTCTTGTTTCTACTGATGACACAGTAAATAGTTACATATCTGCTGAAGATAGTGCAGAAAGTTGTATCTCGTATATAATGTAGATAGTTTTTTTTTTCCTGCTTTTCTCAGTGTAGGGAGTGGAGTGAAGAAGACATAAAGCATTTGGTTGTGGTCGAACATAAATAAAGTGTAACTGACGTATCTAACGAAGTGATTTAGTTTGAAGCGTTTACCAAATGCTCAGTCAGTGGACATGAGAGGGGAAGCGGATAGGAGACAAACGACGGTTGTGGTTGTCAGGGAAACGCCTAAAAGAGTGACAACCCTCCTGCCTCTAATTATATTTTTTTTTACTGACCTTCATTTGAAAAGCGCGAAATGAGCCTGTGCTCCCTCCCCAAAGGGTGAAGGGAAGACTGCATCCGAGAAAATAGCTGAAATTGAGTGTAAAAAATCACTCGCTGTATGTTATACCTCTCACTTGAAGGTTTTTGGAAATCTATAGGTAGCTCTCTCGAAATAAATGTCAGTCAAATATTAAGTGTTACCCGATTTTTCAGTCAAAAGATGCGCAGATTTAAAATCTGAAAATATTGAAAACGAATAGAATGATTGAAGACATTTTCAGAATCTATTCCTTTTTTTAATCATTTTCAAGCTCTCTTTAAGCTCAAGTGATCTGTTTTCAGAATAACTGAGCGGTGAATTTTCATGAAAAGCTACAGAATAGAGTGAATTCGCAGAACCTGTTCGTTATATGCAAATATGTCACTAAATGCTAAATTCAAATAGATCTACACTGCCGGATTTTCCCCGTGTAAATTCCTAGTCAACAGATATTACAAAGCGTAATGATTGCTTACGGTTAGAAAAACTTTTGCTTATTTTCTGTACGTAACTTTCCATTTAATTTGCTTCTTTTTAGCAAATAATGAGGCTTCTTAAAGTGCTCAATGCTGCGCGTCTTAGATCCTTTATCCTCCAAAAATAAATCAGAGGATTTAAAGAGCTATTGGCAAAAACGATTGTTACTAAAACTGAATACTCTACAACATCGATGGACTTGTGTCCTCTGCGAGTGAGTTTTTTTAGTTCCACACATAAATAAGGAAGGTAGCATAACACGAACAGTTTTAAAATCATTAGAGACGTAAAAGTCTTTGCTTTGTATTTAAGCAAATCAAAAGCATTTTGTTCTTGGTTAATGGGTTGTCTAGTTTGTATCTGCCGTTGATGTCGACGAATAATTTTCCAAATTGTCTTATAGCTGTAACAAATCACTAAAGTACAACACAGTGCTCCTGCGACAGACAGTACGGCAAGGATTGAATACCTTCCCACAGCGAACCAGATGATTAACGAAATCAAAATCTGGAATACCCAAAGCTGAATTACAACAGAAGCCACTCTTTTTGAAGTCACTAGTTCATGGTAACGTAAAGGCCAATGAATAGCGACAGCTCTCTCTATGCTCAAGTAAGTTAACGTTCCCAAAGATAATGCTGTGAAGAGATACGCCAGAAACATTTGAATTTTAAAAACTACACAAAAGGTGGCGACAAGACGAGTATTCATTAGATAAACTAGCATAGGTTGGAGTAACAGACCCACGCAGAGATCGGCCATAGCTAAAGATGCAACCAGTATATTTGACACGGAATGTAGAGAAAACGTCTTCCACAACGAAAAGAGGATAAAAACATTGGCAGCAACAGCAACCGGCGACAGTAGTCCGTTTATAATACTGATTCCGATAACAAAATTACGGTAGTTGTGCTCATAAAGTATGGTAGAGTTTGTTTGTACAGTTGCTCCGAGTATCACACACAAGCTGGAAGCGTTGGTCATTTTCTTTTTGACGATTTCAGTCTTCAGAAACTTCACAACCTCTCATCTTCTCGGCTCTCAAATAAATATACATCTGTGGTGGTTGTTAGTCTTAAGAATTAAAACGTTTTCAACGTCAATTTCGTTTTTAGTGCGGGAACCTCACTCAAAACATTACTTGATTGGAGTTAAGAATTGAAAATCATGGTTTCGGGGCGACGAAATGACTTTTGAAGATTGTAATTCTATTTATTGACAGACATTGTCTCTTAAATAAACAGGATTTCCGTAACAAATACTTTGTTAGCGTTTTGTTGCTGAAACTGTTTTGTCGGTTCATTTTTAATGGGGAAGCGCTGTTTTCTCGAAATAAATGCCAATCAAGTATAAAGTGTTAGCCGATTTTTCAGTCAAAAGATGCGCGAATTTAAAATCTGAAAATATTGAAAACGAAAAGAATGATCGAAGAAATTTTCAGAATCTATTCCTTATTCGAATCAGTTTTAAGCTCTCCTTACGCTCATGATAAAGTCATCTGTTTTCGGTTTTTTTTTATTTTATTTAAAGCTACAGAATACATATATGTAATTGACACGGTAATGCAATGAAATTCCCGTAAGCCAAATCAATTTTTTTGCTTGATGAAAATTGGAATTATTATTATCTTAAAGCTGCAGTGAGTGGTCGTAGTTTAAGAACACAACCTTGTCTCAGAAATAGTTACTTGAGAATAAAAGATAAAATAATGCTGATGCATGTTTACTCGGGACGAAATAAATATTGAATTATTTAAGAAAACAGAAAAATAACTTTGCCCTCTCAGAACAAAAGGTGTTTCAAATTATATGCATAAAATATGACTTTTATCCCCAAGTGAAAGAACCAATCCGTGGGTATGTGTAATGATATTGTTCTAATTGCCTTGAATGACGTTTACTTAAATATTGTCCTTGCAAGAAAATACCATTTCCGTGCTAGAAACTACTTGTGCTGCCAAGTGGAAGTCTCTTTTCGGAAATGGCTCTTTCAGCTTCTTTTTACATTGTCACGGTTATTAAAAATCTTCCGAGACTTCTAAGGTCAGGACGAGAAAAGACATGTTTCATTTTATTCAACTCTACGTGAGGTTTGGGGGGTTGGGGGCGGAAGGGTTTGAGGAAAAAAAATGGATTTGATGACGTCATAAAACTCCTTGTCTACGCAAGAGGAGAGTAATGTTCCTTTAAACCTATTTCGAAAATTTATGATTACGTGTGTGTTTTCTATAGTGTCGACGGAAGTCGCAAACGTGTACATTTTGCGTCTTTGTAGTATGCAGGAGCCTGTTGATATCGGCAGGCTCACGCTACGCCAGGTTCCCCAGGAATTTGTTTGGTGTACTTACTCACAGCAAATATCAGAGGTCTGACCCTTTTTTTCTTTTAATTATTTCATTTTATTTCTACACACAATAGGCACTGTACAGCAATTTCACCGCATGCACTTTTCCCAGTTAAAAATTCTTTCCCAAACATAACCCTGTAAAGAAAATAAAGTGACATGAATAAATAAGAGAAGCGTTTCCCACGGACTTTGATTCGTACATTAACTCTCAGAGGAATTCATTAAACCACAATAAGAGAGCAAAACAATTATTTGCATTTTAATCGCGATCAAAACAAAAGTTTTCGTGACATAAACAATTGACATTTGTCAATCATGGACCGTACAAATCTGTTCAACACTCCAATTACGTGTCACCTCTGATCATCATTAGAGACCAAAGTCGCTTAAATCAGACGAGAAAAGCATTTAAAACCGCCCTTTGTGATACTTTATTCCAAAGAATATGCTTCAATCGGTAGCGGAATTTGTCTTGCAATATTCACCGCAGTCGAGTCCACAGACGTTCTCATCTCTCGTATTGGTGACTGCTGCAATCTTCTGCATTGTGAGCGTCTTACTAAGCCTTGTTCGGCAAAGGAAACTTGCTGTTAAGTCAGTCGATGGAGTACCGGGACCGGATGGTCACTGGCTGAAGGGACATCTTGATTACGTAAGTTTTAAACAAGCTGAGTCAGGTTGTGGGCCGGAATGATATCTTGTGGTGATGTCACGAACCCGTTCAATTACTCACTGTAGTGTATGATGAACTTCATTCGATTCCTTTTTAAATTAAAATATTATCCAAATCTCTTAGGATTTATTTCTTTGGCCCTTTTATCAAACAAGGCTATAGCGAACGAAAGCTCAAGTACGTGAAAATTTACGGTTTGAACTCTTACAGCAAAACTAAACAAACTGAAGATACAATGGATTCAGCGTTAACAAGCCGAGGCTCATTTACAAATTGATAATTTTAAACTGTTACGTTATGAGCTAACGTTGCGTGACGAGCGAAGACGGTTGTAAGACCTATCACGCAACAGGCTCCCTTTTACGTGACGAGGTAAGCGAACCACAAGGGATGAACTTATCTTAACATGTGACAAATTGATTTATGCATGCCTGCTTCTTTAGGGGTATGGTAATCAAGCTGATTGATTTCATGACACTTGCCTGTCAATTTCATCTGTAGGCACGGTTTGACGGAGCTGGACTTCAATTCCACGAGAAATGCACTGAAGAATTCAAAACTTGTTATCGCCTGTGGTTTGGCCCACTCAAGCCATTAGTAGTCCTTTGTCACCCGGAAACAGTCAAAGTCATTCAGTCCAGTAATGCACCCAAAGAAAAGCTTGTGTACAACCTTGTCAGACCATTCATTGGTGAGTTGCAACTTTATCATCATCGTCATCACTTTTATTGTCATCATCATCATCATTATCGAGTAAATGCAAACTACACTACCTAGATAGATGGAGATCTCTAATCAGGTGATGGACATCTCTAATCAGGTGATGGACCTAATTATACCGCGGGGCTAACCTTGGGGCTAGTCTAATCTTTCTAATCAAACTGCTGACTGAAGCAACAAGTGTGAAGATAAAACTGTAAAATGTCGTGTATGCTTGTAGGAGATGGCTTGGTAACTTCATATGGAGACAAGTGGTTTCGAATGAGAAGACTCCTCACTCCGGCTTTCCACTTTGAGATTCTCAAGCCATACGTTCGAGTTTTCCAGGAATCTACCGATGTCCTTCTGGTAAGGAACTTAAGCATTCACACGTGATTTTAAGGAGAAATGTTTACTTTATAACCAGCGGAAAAGTCCCCCCTCCCCCCGGCGGAAAAATGCTTCTTTCCAACCTAAAGTTTCGTTAAGAAAGGTTAACATTGTGTTCGACATTTTCGATGCGGGAGGGAGGTTGGATCAGGGGAATTAGAATACGAACAGTCCCTCCTTTTCGGCGAAGTCCGTCGCGCGATTAAAAGAAAGAAAACAGAAATAAAATCGAAAAAAAAAAATAATAATAATGATGACAACTGATACTAGCCCGCTGCGCCTCACTCCAAGAGTTCCACGCGGCGTGCTACCATAAATTTCATTTGTTTTCGTTGCTTCTTTCACTCGCGTGACGGACCTCGCCGAAAAGGAGCTAGTGGTTGTTCTCAATCTAAGGGAGAGGCGAACTCCAATACAATTTAGTAAGAAAAAAGTTAAAGGTACCAATACCTGTGCTACTTATTGTGGTCAAATGGAAACTTCAAAAATGGCTTTTTCAGAAGCCTTTTACAGCAAATCATGATATTCTTCTTTCAGGAAAAATGGTCTTCTCAGCAGGGTGGGGAAGTGGAGTTGTTTCATCATGTTAGTCTGATGACATTAGACTCCGTTCTCAAATGTGCACTCAGCTACAGAACCAACTGCCAGACTCAAAAGTAAGAATTGAAGCTATGAGATATAGCAGACACATTTAGATAGCTAACCTGTATGTCAAAAAAAATTGTTTTCAAAGAATTAGATTAAGACCGCGTGATTTCTATAGGGTTGTGTTTGACGAGGGCGAAACCCGCGTCAGCTATTACGCATAGAGATCGAGAGCGACTAGTCTGATTGAGTTCGTATAAATCTAATAATTGTGGTCGTTCAAAACTTGACAACTGATCAGACTGCGATGTTTGTCATTGGACGGTAGAGGATTCTCTCCAAATTTTCCTAGTCTACTCTACCAGTGCTGTACATCACTGTGAAAACCTTTGCTCAAGATATACCGGAGAGTAGTCCAGGGATGTAAACAGCATTTTCCGGTAAAAGGGGAGGGGAGGGGGGGGGGCTTTTTCTCATCGGCATCTTAATACATTTGAAGTTATTTTAGGTTCTTTTATTATTATACGTGATCACTTTCTCTTAACAAGGAAGAAGTAACATAAAGCTTAGGACTCCCTCTTGCTTACACCCTTTACTCTAAGTAATATACCAGGTGATGTGTCATTTGTTTGTTTCCTTTTTCGCATTTCAGAAAACAGGACCCTTACATTGTGGTTGTTTATGAAGCCTCGGGTCAGATTTTGGACAGACTGATGTAAGAAACATATTTAACTGGCACTGCATTGCATTGCATTGCATTACATTTCATTGCATTGCATTGCTCTAGTTCCTTTCTTTAGTCTTCTTCCTCTTCCTCCCTCACCTCAGTCTCCCTCACCCTCAGTCTCTCCTTCCTGTTCTTTATGCCTCTTTCCTCTTGTCTTTTATCCCTGTTCTTCTCTCATCCTCATCCTCTCACTCCTCAGTGTTACACAAATCTATTTTTTCATGCCTATTCTACTTGTACACCGTTTTGTAGGAATCCCCTCATTCATAATGACACCATCTATAAGCTGACGCCTGACGGAAGAAGGTTCTTTAAGAACTGTGCGTTTGTTCATGCAAAAGCAGATGGAATAATAAAAGCCAGGCGTAAAGCTCTACAGGATGACGTGAGTTTTGATAAGTTTATTGATTGTATTTGAAAACTTGGGCCATATCAATGAACTTTTATTTGTTCTTACTTCAGGAGGAGAAGGAGAAACTCAGGAAAAAGAAGCATTTGGATTTCCTTGATATTCTACTGGAGGCAAAGGTAATTAAGAAGACTCAGCGCTGTTTGTTCAAAGCAGTACCTTTTAATTGATAAAAATAGATCGACGTCAGTATCTGAGCAACTGCGCCCTTGTGCCTCCCCTTCCCACAACATTAACAGTTGTTGGGTAAGGGGAGGGGTAGGTACGCAATTGCTCCGATTCTAACTTCGATCCATGAAAATCTACCCCACGCACCCTCTGTGTTCATTTTTTCGCACTACGACTCTTATCGAGCTTGGTGTAAATGGCTTTTTTCTCTCTATGATTCAGGACGAAAATGGAAGCAGCTTAACAGACGAAGAAATAGTCGGAGAAGTCGTGACATTCATGTTTGCAGGGCACGACACCACGGCAAGCGGTGTGTACAATAAGATCTCATTTCAAACGAAGACCTTAGTAAAAAACCTCCGGCAGCCTAGTACCTTTTGCCCTTGAAAGACAAAAGGTACTTATCCGGTCTACTTTATTTACCATTTTAGTTATTTCGTGGACTTTGTACAATTTGGCGAGATTCCCTGAGCACCAAAAGAAATGCCTGGAGGAGATTGAAGAAGTGTTTGGAAACAGTCATGAGATAGAGTGGTGAGGAACAGTTAATTTTCCTTCTGTAAAAGATATTTGGAGCTTATCATCTCTATACCCTATTTCAGGCCACTTGACGGCCCTGTGAGGGATGCCTTCTCTTTAAAGTTTTCGAATATCGACGTGTGTGTGGGAAATTGATGGTTTGGCTTAATTATCTTGTCATTTAGCCTCTACTATGGCATCATTATACTAATGGCGTAATGTGTGTTTTCACAGGAAGCAGCTCGGCAAACTGAAATATCTCCTCATGTGTATCAAGGAGAGTTGTCGGTTATTCGCCCCAGTCCCCATGATCAGTCGAACATTGGACAGGACCTATGAAATTGATGGCCATTTGGTTCCGGAAGGTACTGTGTGTATTGATCACAAACGTTCCTGACTTGTCAGAGGCATGCATTTGTCAATAGCCCTCATTCCAAGTTGTCAATCACTAACAGGGGGAAGGAGGCGGTTTTTTCAGGTTTGGGAAGAGCATGGGGTCCTGTATTTGCCTATTATTGATATTTGTGAATATGTCAAGTTGTTATTTTTTGGAAAGTTTTTTAAAATCTATTTGTCCAACAAAAAGTTTCTAAAATGATGCAAACGGCGTCGTCAACATCGAGTGGTGTTGGGACCAGGCAGAAACGTATGATTCCTTTCCCCCCTTCCCTCTTCCCCCCCCCCCCTCCAATGTTGTTCGCGTTATTTACCACATCCTTCAAGTTCCTAACTGTTCTTTATCCCAAAAGAAGGCAAAATGATAAAATAAATACTTCGTGTGTGCTCTGAAAAAACATCTCATTTTCGTCAGGTACTTGGGTGATGACCAACGTCTACGCTTTACATCTTAACCCACACGTGTGGAGAGACCCTAAGGTTTGTGTTTTTGAATTAGCTCCCTATTGACAGATTATCATCAAAAAGTGATTGCTGGTAGATGTTCTTCATTAATTTGCGCCGGATTATAAGTGACGCCAACAGAAATTAGAATTTTTCTTTCGGTATTTGGTGGAGAATTTTAACTTTAACATACACTTATCAAATATTCTTGTCACTTTTACTATAAATGTTAAATTCCTTTGGTTTCCGATTTAAAACAGAAGTTCGACCCACTGCGCTTCACGACTGAAAACGCTAAAGAAATGTCACCATATGCCTTCATACCGTTTTCGGCTGGTCCAAGGTAAATATCGGGACTGGTATGTGACTGATGTTGGTGTAATTTACTGGTATTGCACGGTTGGTGTGACGCTCCTGATTATGTTTTATGTAAAGTTTAGTGTCTAAGTTTTAATTCCGGAGTGCATTCTTCGGTTCCAGAAACGAGCTGAAACACGGGTTCACAAACTGGGGAACCCATAATTGTGCCATTACCTTCCAGTCCTGAAAAACGTTTAATCAATGCACTGCAAGTTTTCCCACGCTTGCGTGTAACATGCGTTCTTGACTGTGCGTTACAAATTTTCCCGCGCTAAGCATTGCGTAGTACAATCTCCCGCGCTTAAACTGCGTTGCATGTTTCCCGCACTTGACAATGCGTTACAAGTTATCTATATTCGACACTCAACCACGCACAGTATTTTGCCGAGCTTTACTCTGAAATGCAACAGTTTTCTCCTCAAACTTTTTATGTCACCCAGCCATATTTTTATGTCAGTGAAAATTATTCTCGTGTTAAACAGGAACTGCATTGGACAAAGCTTTGCCTTGACGGAAGTCAAACTGTCTGTAGCTATGATCATACGCAAGTTAGTGAAGTTTATATTTTTAGGAATAAACACTTAATTATTCTTAGTTTGCTTACTCGTCATTTCATGCTTTTGTCATTTGGCAAATATATTCAAGTATTTAAAGTATTTATATACTTTTTTTTCTTCTTTTTTTATTTCAATTTGTATGTATTGATACAATTTGCTTTTTTTTTATATTATTTTTACAGGTTCAAGTTATCTGTCAATCCTGACAATTACGTGCCAATCGAAGACATGATTCCTGAGCTAATTTTGCGAGCTAAGAATGGGATAAAAGTCAATATTGCCCCTCGAGCTTAAAGAAAACACACACACACACGCACCACACTATAGCATTCGCTATAACTTACGATCATTAGATTTACTTGCAAGATTTCAACGAAAGGGTTCTTCATACAACTACTACATTTGCTGTCAAGTGTTCTATATAAACATGTTTCGCAAAACCGTTGCAAATAGTCAAATGAGTGCCGTAAATACTGATTACGGATATAGTAAGTAGATGTACAACGAGGTTTCACGCATTTTAAACCAAAATAAAATATCTCCATGGTCGAAAAAAAGGGTGACTAATTAATTGATTAATTTAAGATTGCGCGGTGGACTGGAAAGTTTTCTGAAGTTTTAAGATTTCATATGAAAGAGCTAAAAACAATTGCCTCATAAAAGCAGCTGAAAACGGTTTTCCTGATTATCCTGGAAAGGATATGGAATGCGGTCTCTTTGTTGGTGCCCTGACAATTGGCCACTTTTTCCTATAAAATGTTCTGTCTATTAATACTCTTCATCATTAGCTGAACTATTCAAGATAAAAGAGACTCCCTAGTACATGATCAGCGAACTGTTACGGGTGCAAAGAATGGAAGGTGCAGACGACATTGTCTTTCACAGTTATTCCAGATATATACCGTAAATTGTAGCCACAACAAACAGGGAGCCATTTTGAAACGAGGCCGTTGCGCATCTATCAAATCTTTCATCCAACAGACAGCGGCTGGTGATGCTCATTCCCTGACTTTGCTTCGATCCCAAATAAACCAAGCAAACAAACTTGAACCTGTTACAACCAAGCTCCGCTTTAACTTTATCTTTCAGTTCCTCACTCGCCTTCAGCGCTAACTGTCGACATCTTTCTCGTTCGTATTTCATTCCATCGAATGTTCCATGCAAAATGTCCTCGGCCAGCTTACGGACTCTTTCGGAATTAAACGATGTGTCAGGCTTCATTTTAAATGAGTTTTCTAAACCCGGCGCGCTCAGTTTGAAGTTTTCTCCCTCCAATGAAAACAGAATAGAAGATTCTTGACTTGCTAAAGTCGACTGACGTTGATTGTTCCCTGTTTTCTTCAACACTCCTCGGGGTAGACCTGTCGAATATCCTTCCAAAGAAGCGCTATTAACAGAGCTTGTCATTACTTTAATTGATTAGACAGTCTCGACTCCTGTACTTGTACAGCTTAAGACTTCAAACTTCTCAAAGAATTAACTGTATTTGTTTTCTGGCGACATGGAGTGAGAAATTTCTGTTCGCATTTCTACAAAATCGTATACGAAAAGTTTACGTGACTAAACAGTTTTCTTTTACCATAACCGTTCAGTCTTTGTTCCGGTCTGTTTATCTTTTAATTGTCAGTGATTCACTTTAGGAGAAAAAACCTTAATACGATTGTCCGATCGTTTAACATCTATAATCGATTGGAATGAAGATTCTCCATACTAAACACCTCACATTTTCTTTTAGGAAACTTAGGAGTCTTGAAAATTTGAACCTTATCGTTCGCTGATGATTTATCATAGATTTTTTCAAGCTTAGTTCCTCTCAAACCATTAATGTTACCAGAAGAAATCATAATTTGATCGATATCGCGGTGTGTTTTCATTTATCCACTATTCAGGATTCATATCTTCTTCAGAAAAAGCGTCATTAAGGAAGATTAGCCCCGACTTCCTAAATGCCTTTCTAAACAAAGCCATTAAGCTTTACTTCCGTTGAGACTAAAGAATTTGTTAACCTTTTTTTAAGTATATAAACCATAGACAAACTTAAGGCCTAATGTAAAGTCTGGTATCATTGTAATCCTTTTGTATCTTAATACCACCAAAACAAAACCACTCTAGAGAAAGTTTGCAGTAACTATAGTTACCAATCAGAATTAATTCAACCGCGTCAAGGTAAAAGTTGTTGTAGACAATTGATCAGTGAAAAAAGGGGGAAAGCGCATGCGTGTTGTTCAAAGTACCCACAATATGGTTAACCAAAGTTACTGGTAATGATTTTCGTTTCTGAGTGAGATCCAAGGTTTTACAGGCAGTTAATCATTGCAGTAAAAAGAGGTGGCAAAGTTCATTTTGATTACAGAAGCAGTCACGACGCAAGTTCCCACTCTACTAGGAAAGCAATGATAAATCTCGAGCATGATTGTTAAGAAGAGTTTCGTCTCAAATAGATGCGTTCATCATCCTACAAACGCGTACTGACGGTTTCCGCTTAACTGTAGCGCAGATCACATTTCACTAAAAAGAAGATTGTCTTCTTACGTTCAGAGCGAAATAGCAGAATCTGATAGAATCACAAGCGACTTCCATGTACATTTTCACTGAAAAGGGTCGTTGAAAGAACTTCAAATAATGTAATCTGGGTTGTCTTTTAATTCCGCGCTCGACGAAACTGTTTCCTTTATTCAGTGTTGGAAATAAATGTGACAGGAGCGACCAGGAGGGAGAGTGAAAACTGATTTTTTTTCCTCTGAGGGTGAAAAGATTACACCTTTCCCTTTTCTAACCCTATACCTGCTTTCTCTGATCCTGTCCCTCAGAACACAGTTTAAAAACAGTCTCCATTTTGTATAAGGGGTAAAAAGTGTCACTTATCACGTGATCGATGTCTTGTGTGTTCGTGTCAGCGGGTTTCCCTTTCAAGGACTTGATGCAATCTCCACAAAATTTCTTTATCCTCCTACATATCTTCAACAACACGAGGGTTATTTCTCAATGACTATTCACAATTTCGTTGTACAAAGAAATGTTACTGTTTAATACAAGCAAAACATACTTTGTAGTTTTACAAGTTTAACTAACAGTTAAAATAGTCATAACTCTGATCTTCACTATCATACTTAGTAGGCATTCTTTTAATGTTTTGGCAGTATCATTTCTGGCTTATAACTCAATCCCACTAAGAAGATATCAGTTGGGATTAGGTGATGATCTATACTGTTGGAAAGGATTGTGTGACAATCAGGTGGGGAAATTGCGTGACAATTGCTGGAATGGAGAGCTTTGCAGGCCAAAGGAGATACTTTATAGAAGGTTCCACCTGAACAGGTGGTAGTCCAGTTATTAACAGAACCACTGCCAACCCCTCTTTCCCCGTTTGATTAAAACAGGTTTCCCTAATATTTTTCTCAGTACTTTGGGAGGAGAAAGGCAAAGAAAGAAGTATGCTCTGAAATCAGTAAAATACTATGACACGATCTTAGTTAGTACTTTCCCTGTTTAATGCTCAATCAATGTCCTTCTACATAGAACGATGTTCAGAAAGGAGGACAGGATACCAGCATACTTTTCCTTGTGCCTCTCATTAGCAACTACATCCCTTGAACAAATTTACTAACATCTAAGTGACTATTTTAAAACAGAAATGGAATCAGAGCTTTTCGATTTGCAGGATAATCAGGAAATTGCTCCTTATACCATCTGTGGTTATGCCTAGATCGTGGTACTAATGTTGCACTAGAAAACAAAAACCACACAGTACCTGCCACTGACCATGTTCCCAAAGCCCAGCCAAACCATTCAAGCATTTCTCCAAAATAGTTTGGACAAGAAATCTTGTGAAACAAACATCCATTAGGTATGGAATACCCAGAACTGCTGTTTGCTCTAAGCTTGCGAAGTGATAAGTCTGCATAGCGGTTAATGATATATCCTGTGACAAACATTATAACACCAACGATAAACCGTGGGTCTTTATAGTAGTCAGAGTCATAAGAAGCAGCACCTATCCAATCAGCATTAAGAAAACTGTAGAGAAGGTTAGGGAAAAGCCCCCCTAATGGTATACCCAAAGGGGTCTTTGGACTGCTGTATTTCATGATCCATGGGTGAATAATTCCTCGGTGTACATAATGACAAAGCCATAAACAGTAAAATGTTATATTGGTGTATTCTGTGTGAGTCCCATAAAGAAAAAATACAAGTGAAAACAGAAGTACACCAGGAATGGCATCTGATATTGTGTGTGCAAGTCTTTGATGAACCATTGGCCCAAATGATTGGTTAGATTTCTGGTGTCTTCCGTAAGGTGCTGGTTTTGTAGCTTGAACTATAAAAGTGATTACTGCCAAAAGAAAACCAAATGCACAGAGACCATAGTGAACCCAAAAGTGTGTTTTGTCGTCTTCAAAGGTCGTCCATGGTAATGCATTCAGCATTGTTCATATAAAACACTTCAAAGGCCTACATTGAATTAATTTATAAAAGATCGTTAGCATGCCTTCTTTATCAAAGTCATACATTTTCCCCCAAAGTTTCCCGGTATTTTTTCCTTCAATTTACAGAAAACATCTGGTAATTAGATCCTCTAAGCTAAAAATATCTAGTACCTGTTGCCATTTCAGTTCAGTAGAATGTTTATGCAGAATTTCCGCAATCACTGTTCGATCAATCGATCCCAAAACTTCACAGCATTTTTTCGACTTACGAATAAAAGAAGACAGAAAGGCACACCTGAAAAAGCCAGGTTAGTAGAGAAAGTAAAGATATTCACCTTACCTTTAGGTGGCTTGAAATATTAAGTTTTACCAAAATAAGATAGTTGTTCGATTATTGCTCAAACTAACTAGTACCCAAGCCACTAGAAAACAACAACCTACCTCGGTTGTGTGACTTGGGGTTCATTATGGATTATACAGCCATCTTTGAATCCGGCATACGTTCCACAACACCCACAAGCTCATTTGGCTGACAAAATTTTTTTCTTTCACTTTTTTTCTGTGTTCAGTCAATTTATTCACTACAAAAAGAACGACAATCATTGTTTTATTCTTTGTAAATAAACTACTTCTTCCAATATCACCTGGACCCCTCAGCTGGATTTGGTTGAAAACAAAGACAAATGTAACCCAATTTCTTACTCTAAGCTTCCCAATGGGCCAAAAGTCACAATTTGAGGGGGTGGGGGGGCACTATACAGAAAGGATATGAAAGCAAAGCATGAAAGAACATTGTTGATATGCTTGGCTACCTTTATAGACTAAGGTAAAAAAAATTCTAATCAGCAGGTTCTAAGTGGGGCAGTTCTGGCTCCTTTTAAATAAACATATTAATTTCAAGTTTATGGGAGTCAAATGGTTACTATCCTCAAAACCTTTTGCTGAAAGTTTTCAAACTTATCTTTAATGAAAGCTAAACTTGTCCAAGAAAGACAGTAGCAAACCTAGATCTAGTGCCTAGGCCTTTCTCCAGAGGTTAAGTAATTTTGCAGAGTGTCAAGTCATCCCTTAATTGTTGTTACCACTAAGTCCACAAACTTATTTACTGGAGGGTGTCATCCTTCTGATGGCAAATTTCTCTTTTAGTAACATTCAGGGAAATGTTGAGCAATTCTGAGATAAACTGTGTATCATATCTTAAGAATTTAAGAGAAAAAGTAGCATATAGAATTTTAATTTTTTTGCTTTTTTATTGTTTCTACTACAACTGTTACACAATAGCAATCAAATTTGTTCTGAATAATATTGACTGATATTAACATCAGTTAGGTTCAATACAAAAAGGGAATCAAAGCCTTTCGATTCTTAGGATAATCAGCAAACTTCTTTGTATACCATTCATGGTTGTCTCTGGCTCTTGGTATGAATGTGGCACTGGAAAACAACAACCAAACTACACCAGCTACAGACCATGTTGCTAATGCCCAGCCAAACCACTCAAGCATCTCACCAAAATAATTTGGACAGGAAATCAGGTCAAACAAGAATCCATGAGGTACATAGTATTTGGAACTATCTTCAGCTCTTAGTCTACGAAGTAACAAGTCTGCATAGCGGTTAATAAAATATCCTGTGACAAAAAACATGACACCCATGACAAAACATGGGTCTTTGTAGTAATACAAACCATAGTCTGCAGTACCGATCCAATCAGCATTAAGGAAACTGTACAGAAGGTTAGGAAACAGTGCCCCCAAGGATATACCCACAGGGGTCTTTGGACTACTGTATCGCATGATCCAGGGGTGGATAATTCCACGATGTAGGTAATGAGAGAGCCACATACAGTAAAATAACAAGTTGGTGGTTTCTTTCTTAATTCCATAGTGAAAAAATACAAGTGAAAACAGAAAGATCCCTGGGATAGCATCTGATACAGTGTGTGCAAGTCTTTGATGAACCAATGGGCCAAATGAATGGTTAGTTGTCTGGTGTTTTCCATAAGGAGCTGGCTTAGCAGCCTGTGTTACATAAGTAATCACTGCCAGCAGAAAACCAAACGTGCAGAGACCATAGTGTGCCCAGAAGTGGGTTGTTCCATAATCAAACGCTTTCCATGATGGATTAAGACTCAGCATTGTTTGTACTGATGACCTGTCGAGGACAAAGTCATGCGCGCGCCCGAAAATTAATACACAGCGCTTTATGAACACATTTGTAAATAGGTTGATATTTAAGCTCCATTTATTGTAATGATATACTTTTTAATTCATAATATGTATGTAGATTTCTGTAGTTTTTTCAATTCATTGTAACATAAGATATGTAGTTTTATCTTATGATGGAATAAAGACTTATATATATATGGAAAACTTAATCTTACGTAATATATTGTTTAGCCACATTTTAAGTATCTAAAACACCCGGGAGCAACTTCAGAATACCCCGCAACTCATTTACATGTCATTGAATAAGAATAGCGTCTATTGTGTTATGCCTCGATCTTCAAAGCCTCCCGACACATGTAAGTGAGGCGGACCAAAGTTGCGGGGTATTCTGAAGTTTAGCCAACACCCGACACAGCAATTTTGCTGGAAAAAAGCACAGGTCAACCAGCATTCATGCAAATTGTGAGTGAGTTACCTGAAACGTTCTTCAATGCAATAGACTTCACCCTGCCCCGGCTGTTCCCGGCTACACTGATTGACCTCAGGAAATCTGCCTCGTATGAGCCCGTCAGCAAAGTCAGCACACAATAAGTTTTCCAAAGAGCATGCGTAATTATGTGCAGCGGGAAAGACAAAAGTTTTACGTATCAAAACATTTTGCCAAAATTTTGGAGGAAATCTGTTTGCAGAGCTGCTGATCGCTCCCGATTGCCTAGTTACACATGATTAGAAGTTAACTTTAAGTCCTCTTACCTCTCAGGGCCGGTATAAAGTTAAGCAAACAAGGAAATAAACGAAGAACATTAAGCCAAAATGGCGGCTGCAAAGGTGAGATCGTTTTACAACACTTTTTTCGTACTATTAAACTTAATATTTATTGATCTCTGCATCTTGTCTCTTAAATCATGCCAGATTTCGAATGTCTTAGCCCTGAGAGTGTGTATAATAGCATTTTGATTCTGCGACGTCCGCGAATTAGGAACGAAATTCACTTTATGTAAAAACATGCATATTTAGATAATCATGTTTAATTGAATGTTTGAACAGTTTTGACATCGATCACTCGATCGGCGTTCGCAGTAACTGGGAATGGTATCTTCAATGCGTTCCATCAAGATAATATTTGGTTTGGGAAAAATAAGCTTCTGGTGGCCTTCCATAATGACTTTAAACCATATTTTTTCCTCACAGGCTGCTAGAAGAAATGCTCTCCTACATAATCTACATATTCCTAATGAACCATTTCAAGATCCGCTGATAGGAAGGTAAAATTCAGATCAGAATTATATTTAATTCATTTGACCTTTAAATGTCCAGAAATGATTTAATTGTAACTTCCCATTACAATTTAATCACAACACACAGCAAACAGGTGAAAAGAATATACAAACATATCAGCTGAAAGGTTTTATCTTAACCTCTTATACTGTAGGATCATACATGTATCTATATTCTCCATATTCCAATCTAACCAGACTTTCTCGCAGGCTAAAAAACACTTGCGTCACAGTGCGAATAACAAGAGCTTATTTATAAACTCTAAGTGGGTAATTTAGCATTATTAGCTCTTCAGCCCCTGAGAGTGATAAGTATCTAATTTCTCCCAACAGTACCATCCTTGGATCAAATATTACGGTTGTGAGAATAAAGGAAACTAATTCACAAACTCAACAAGTTCTTGATTGTAAGACAAATTGTCCTTCAAGGCACCATAGGAAATGTATTGAGAACAGTATAGAGAACTTGCAGACTGATGTTAGGGTGTAAAGGATTAACTGAGTTGATAACATGAATTGGCTATCATAAAGAATCTCAAAGCTGACATTTCAAGAATTAACTCTTTGTCTATTACTCTGACAAAGGGCTAATGCTTGAAAGTCAGCTTTCAAACTCTTTATGGTGGCCAATTTACGTTATCAACTCAGCTGATAACACTAAATTACCTTGTTATGCTCTCCCATGGATGCAACACCACACTTCCTTTATAAACTTACCCCCTTTATTCATTAGTCTCAGACTGCTCATGGAAATGTCTTTGCGTTGCAATTAAATGTTCATGAACAGAGTACATGTATTTTCTTGTTATCTATAATTTTATTTCTTACAGACGAACTGGTGTTCCTCTGAATATTAAAGCCAGGAAAGATTCATTTGGTTTTGAAAACATTGATGACTATTTTCTATATTCAGGTAGGGCTACATTTGTCAATGGAGAATGTTTTTGTTTACAATGTAAACAAGCTTTCAAATAGGAAGTGATTCAACACTTTTGAGATTAGTTAGGTGGTTTATGAAGGGATCAGAATGAAGTTTGTGTTACATGTTTTTAATGCAATGAATATGTCCAATGCTTGTTTAGATCCAGAAGAAGAAGAAGAAGAAGTCATTGCTCCAAATACACAAGGACTGGATAAAGATCTTGTGAAGTATGTACACATACAGGGTGGCTTAAAATTTATGTTTTGGCTAAATTTTATCGATGGTTCATACTTTGTTTTCCTTAATTTGGAATTATTTTCAAACATCAGCAAGTCCAATAAAAAAGGAGAGTTATGTTAGATATAGGACTGTATGGTGAATTCTTGTAGGGAAAATGCCAATTTGCATCCAGAGGAGGATGAAGATGTGTTTGAGAAAGTTGCAGATGACCATCCACTGTCAGGTTTGTTTCTCCTTTTGCACATTCTGTTTGGAAGATTTTTTAATTTTAATAAGTGAATTTCATGACCCTTGTGTGCAATGTAGATCAGGTCCCTGCCCTCCCCTCCCTAACAGATTTCAGGTCCATGTTGGTAATACAACCTGGGTAGTATGGTAACACATTGTCCTTAGCAAGTCCTTAAACATGAATCTAATGATCCATAGTAATTCCCTCTACTGTCTGTGATACAATTCTTATGATGTTACTTCAGAGAATTTGATATTGGATCTACCAATTGTAATTCCCTAATTGACATTTTTCTTTATTCTCATCACTTGTCTGCTTGATATTGTATTGATATTATAAGGCAAAATTCTTTCTTGGTCACTCATGGGAGTTCTATGGTCAAATTTGTTGTGACTGTCTCAGGTGATGATGCTCAATTGAAAAAGTCACCTCCAGAAGAGAGGGATTCAGTGGATAGACTGAAACAGAATATTGGGTCTCCTAATAACACTGGAACTGCAATTAAAAACCCGGCCTCCAGAGAACCAACTCCACGGTTAAGAGGACCAATTAGCAAGAGGTAGGTTTCTGAATGGTGAAAGGGGGGGAATCAATAAACTTAATTCAATAATAACATTTTCATTTGAAAGATCTCAACCTCTATGAGCAGCAGCAGATTTTCCTTTTGATTTAATGATTGAATTTGGCAAATAAGCTTCGTGTGTGCATTTTGTCACTTTTTGTAGGTTGTCATTCATAACTGGGCAATCACCAATTGAATTAAAAGACGATCAAGTACATGCTGGGTAATTCTCATCTAATTGTTTTTTTATTTTTATTGTTAGTTATTTTACTTAAGAAACACAGCACATCACAAAGTTTTGGGCTTGCTGTGTTTCTACCCTGACCTGACAAGAAACAATTATTTGTGTCAAGAAATGAGGTCTTCATGGTTTGGAAGAAAATTCAGATTATTGTGCTTGTTTGATAATGGTGACATACATTATATCACTTGGAAGTACTTTATTGCAAGTGCCTACTTGAAAATATCCAATCAGGTGTCAGAAAAAGTGAAAAAACTTAACTGAAACAGCAACAGTAATTATATATTTTATTTTTTCGGTTTGCTTGTGTGTCTTGAACTCAATTTTGATGAGTCAGTATGTACCAGACCTGTGCGAATCTCTTCAAGGTGATCATGGTTTTGCAAGTTTCACAGTACTTAATGGAATTTGTGTTTTTCTTATTGTATCAATTCTTAGAGATTCATTGGATGACAAATGTGCAAAGACTAGTGGTGAGGAGGTTGGAGATAGTGACACTGAAATTGACGTTGTTAATGAGGATCCACAAATGGTAATAGAGAAAACTGTCAATGAAACTTCTTATAAAAAGAAACCTAAATCATTGAAAAAGACCCCTGCAGTAACAAAAAAGCACAGAATTGAGGCTGATGAAAGTGAAGATGAGGACATCATTGATATAACAGGAACTGAAGAAGATACTTTTCTAACCATTGGGAATATATCTCGTGCAGCGAAGACCAGCACAGCTGTTCATAAATCGCCGCTGCCTGCCCAGGCTGATAGTTTTGTCATGAGTGAGAGTTTTGTGTTGGAAGGAACAAAACACAAGTCTATGTCTCCAGAGTTTGGTTCTAGTTCAGACTGCCAGGATGAGCCAGCAACTAAAGGATATAAATCTCGAATACCTGTGTTAACAAAGGGATATCCAGGCAATAAGGCAACACTAAAAAGGCCAGTCAAAGGAAAAAAGGCAAATGTGACGAGAGATCCAGAGAGTGTCATGGTTTCAGTGGTGGGACAAGGTGATGACGAGGAGGAAAGAACAGGCTTGACAGTTACTGAGAAAGAACAAGCGGGGCCACTGCAGGGGAAACGTACAAGAGGAGGGAAGACAAAGAATGTGGAAGAGCCCCATGAACTAAAGACAATAAAGGGAAGGGGAAGAAAAATTGTACCAAATATCACGCATCAGACAAGCAGGGTAACCAGGGGAAGCAAGCAGAAAAATGAAAATGGCAACAAAGACGATGAAGAAGTTGATAATCAAAACGATGATGGTGGTTTTAAAAAGGCAGCAGTTCGAAAGGGAAAACCAACGAAGGAGAACAAGGGTAAAAAGAAGAAGGAGCAGATAGAAAGTGTTGGAAAAGGAACCGAGCAACAAGATGGAGTGGATACAACACAACTCAGGGGAAGGAATATCAGAGGGCAGAGGAAAAGAGGGCAAGATGACAAAGTTCATGAACAGAATGGAAAGGCAGAAGCACTGCAAGTGACAGTTGATGATGAGGACGATGAAAATTTTGAACGTGGAAACATGGATTTAGGGCGAACAGGGTTGGAGACCGAAGGAACTGGAAGAGACGAGGAATCGTCAGTGGTCCAAAGAAAGGAGATGACCAGTAGGACTAAGAAAAGTGATACCAATCTGACTCAGGGTTTTGGAAATACTGGAGCAAGGAAGTCCAAAGGTATTGCTAGAGTTCAGAAACTGGAAGAAAGAGAGGAGGGTGACGATATGTCTAAGAAAAAGAGAGGAAAACGAGGAAAAGGAAGAAGAAAAGATGAAGAAACTACTGCCAAAGAGGACAGTCGAGTCGTTGACATTGCAGCAGAGTTGGACGAAGCGCAAGACGATGACTTTGAGGAAAATACCAATGAGTTTGAGAAAACAAATGATGTTTCCGTGAGGAGGATGTCCAATGTGTCCAGTAATGTTTCTTCAAGCTCCGAGTCTTCAAAGAAGACGAGCAACGGTGTCGCGAGCAAGCGAAGGAAGGTGTCACGGGTACTACCACCATATGCAAGGAAACGAAGAGCAGGTAAAGCAAACAACTCGAAAGACTCCTCCAAGACGAGCAGTTACGACTCTACTGAACTAAGCGTGGACGCCAAAAAACGAAGATTGCAGGACGAAGCGAATGAAACGAGCACTGCAAAGGATTCCCCGAGAAAGGACACCAAAACAAATGCTGGTAAAACTAGTAGAAATAAACGAGATACGAGGAAATCCGGAGCAAAGAAGAACTCTTTAACAACAGACAACTTTAATGAAAGAGCTGATGTAAATGATTTATCGCAAGGAGTAGAAGACGACAACGGTTTGTTGGACGCTCCAGCTGAACCGGTAACAGCGTTGAAGTCAATTCTTAAATCTGGAGGCAGTGTGCGACGATCAACTAAAGGTAATTACACTATTATGCGGAACACTGTAGACTGTATCTTACATCATAGTTAGTGACTGAGTGAGTATGAACAAACAACGTTGATTTTTCTAAACGTTGCTTGTCTTTTTAAAAGTACGGTCAATAGCAGCCTAAATTTTTCTTCCGCGATATTTACAAACACGGAGTCGCTCTGTATTGTAAAATTTCTCCCGGTTTGTTCGTTTGTTTTTATGTCTATTACAGGTTCCAGGAAGCGTCAGATGACAATAGGGAAGTCACACTCGGGCGGTAGTGACGCCGATGACGAGAGCCTACAACCTGCCAAGCAGCCAAACAGAAAAAGTCTTTCTTCCGTCAGTTTTGCTTCAACCCCATTCGTTCGTGGATCACCGTCTGTGCCAGCAAACGTTTCCCCTATTAGTCTATCGTTTGCGTCTAAGAACAGCTCTTACAAATCCGCAGATGGGACATTTACCTCCGGAAGTGCTCGAACTGTCAGATCATCTGTGGGTTCTGCCAGTGGCTCCAGTGTTGGTGATAACTCTAAAGTTGATCCTGAAGAGGAGGTCACCATCACAAATGATACCACGCAACCAGAAGGTGAGTTTAGTCGAATTTTCTCATCGCTTAAAATATCGCTCAGTAATCCTGTAAGGAGACGTGGGGGAGCTGGTGCGTAACGAGCTGGACCCTCGGTGGAGAGATCTGTGTTCGAGCCCTGTCCCAGTCAGTTTGATATGTTCTCTCAGAGTGCTTCTCTCTTCCCAAGAGAGTAAAAGGAGACAGGCAAACTGCTACAGAACTTGATGAATTCTGCCCAGGTGGAATAACGATACTCCCAGTCGCTTCATGTTACGAAAAAAGGAAAAGCTCCAGACTGGCTAAGATAAATTTTATTTACGTATTGTTTTCGCAGTTTCTCCTAATGAACAGCATACTAGGAGAAGCAAACGCACCATCGTGCCGCCTCTTCAATACTGGAAAAACGAGCGAATAGATTATGAGCGACGAAAATCAGGTACCGTTAACTTAATTGAGAATCTTTTTTTAAATAAATTTTAGCTCCAGGTGTGTTGATAAAACTACATTAGCTCCTGTAGAGTGACGGACAGCAACCGCCGTCGAATCAAGTTCAGAGCCATTACAACCCGACCAATCACAAGATACTTTGGTTCAAATGAGCCTTATGATTGGTTGAGTTGTTGTAACCTCATTTCTTTCCATTCCAACCAATCACAGGCCTGGAAAAAGGAAGGAGAGCCCTCATCCATAGTAACAAAAAGAAGCTAGTCGGGGTAACTGATGATGATTTGTTTTTCTTTGTTAGGTGGCTGGTGCATAAAGGGCATTATAAAAAATCCAACTCCAACACCAAAGTACAGGAAGAAGCGGAAACAAACAGTGAAACTTTCTGTTCAAAAACAAACCAACGGTGAATTTGTTGATTGTGTTATTTACCAGGAAAGAGTTCCTCCCTTCTAAGATGTTTGCTGCCGTATATACGCACTCGATCTCTCCAGTGCTCTCCCCCGCTTGTTTCTCTCTTGTTTTGTTCCTGCCCCCCCCCCTCGCCTTTCTTCCTTGTCCCCATTACTCTTCCCATTTCTTGCTCTGTTCTTACCACCCTCAGGTCTCCCTTGTCACTCCTCCCCCCCTACTCATACTTTTCCCTCCGCTCTCTCTTTTCCTTCGCCCTCTCTCCCCCCATTCTTTTTCCTTTCATTCTCAAATAGCTTTTCCAAACATGTAACATCTTACTCACAGCTCTGCTCTTTATGTGTTAACAGTCTCTCTCGGTCTCCAATTTGGGTAATGATTCTTATTCTCTGCTGTACAATGTCATCTTTTTCGACAAACAAGGCTTTCCACTTTCCGTGAACCGATTTTTAGAAATAATGTATTTAGAACGTATAGTATGTTACTTTACGGTATAACATTCAAACAACGGTAAAGGAGTTTTTGATTTCACTTTGCAGCAAACTCTCTTGATTCTTCTGAGGAAGAACCGGATAATGTGAGTTCTACTTAAATGACCCTCTGTTATTTACTATAAATGCAGCTTGCTGACGGGTTCAGTGACTCAAATTTCCTTACAATGTCTTACCAATGATTACCTCATATTGTACGAAGCAGTTAAAGGACCGAAGGAGTTTATATAAAACTTATTTTATTTATTTACTCCAGGATTTGGAAGGATTCCAAGAAATTACAAACCCAAAAGGCACAGTGTTAAACTCAGATAACCACGAAGAAGTCTCTATGGGTACGTGTTTTATATTTCACTGCAAACTAATAAAGTAAAGCGTTGGACCGAGGTCAAGCACAAATCTTGGAGCTGGTGTTAAGTGTGGGGAATGGGACTGTTACTGGCGACACTGAATGAACTTTTCAAAACATGAGCTACGGTTCACTTGACTCTGATGATAAACTTTGCTCACGCCCTCCGATAACCTACATTTGCTTTTTTTCAGACATTTTCCATACTCCCGGTATGTTAAACTTCACGAATCCCACGGGAAAACCAGCACAGGAGAACGACCCTCTTGTTGTTCACAAATATATCTCACAGCCTCTGTTTGGAGGCGGTCAAGTGATATTGAGACCTGGAGCCGAAAAGGGAAAGCAGTTTGTACGACAAGATACAATGGTAAGCGTTATTTCCTTGTTATGTGAACAAACATGGTATCACAGTTATAGTCTAGGAGCAGGCCGTTGGTACTTTCGCAGCAGGACGTCCGTTTCTCTGCTTGCGGGAAGAATTATTGAGGCGAATCAGGGAGAGGTTTGCCGGGGGGGGGGGGTCTGGCACTCTGAATAAAACTCATCTTGTGTGATTGTATATGAAAGAAAAGACTGACTGATAGGCTGAGGTGAACAAAAGAGCGGACGAGAGAACGAACGAAACAGAAGGAAAGATTGGGGTAATTTAGTATCATCAACTGAGTCGATAAACGTAAATTTGCCATCGTAAAGAGTTTAAAAGCTGACGTTTTCAGAATTAGCCTTTCGTCAGAGCGGTTGACGAAGGGCTAATGCGACTGACTAAGGGCTGATGCTCGAAACTTCAGCTTTTAAACTCTTTACGGTGGCCAATTTACGTTATCAACTCAGTTGATAACACTTAATTACCCTGTTATACTCTCCCACCGACGCAGCACCAACGTTTCTTTAGAAAATTACCCCCTTTATTCAAAAATAAAGAATGGACTTAAGAAGTTCGAACATTACCAACATTGAGTATCCAAAACTTTGTAGCCCAGTTTTAAGTTTTATCATTGTTTTGCTATCACTTTTTTTTTTTTTAACTGTTGTAAGTATTCGTGGAAAATTGAACTAACGCATATGAACAATTTTTGGAAGGTTTTTTACATTATCAAGGGAAGAGTCAAAGTCACAGTTCACAAGTCTTCGGCAATTCTTCACACAGGCTCAACATTCTTTGTTCCTCAAGGTAAATATTTCTTTCATTTCTTCTCCTCTTAAGATTAAGATTCCGGTTAGACGAAATTTGTTCAGAAGATTACTTACCGAATATATGCACTTTACAGTCGTCGCGGCCGTAGTAATTTCGTTGTAAAAAGTATGCTACTGTACAACGAAGTTGACTTTAACGCTTCTCTTTGTTTATACCTGTGAAAGTTTTTTCGCACAACTTATTTCATGACTAAGAGACAAAAAACATAACAAGTTTCATGCAACATTACAGAGATGAGTGGGAGAGCAGCTCCAAATTGTTCTTCTTCTCGAGCTTGTAGAAAATCGGTCGTTTCACCTCACCTACGCGTTAGTCAGTAAATCCACGTAGACTAGAGCTAAACAGGGTGCATGTCGTAAAACAAGTAAATACAGCTGTCAATCAAAGGAAAGTATTGCAGTAAGCCAATGGGAACCAAAGTTAAAACAAGCTAACTGGCCCATGCGCGGAAAAACACGGGTGAGTATGTCGTGATTGGGTTTAGTATTGCACGTAATTGGTTGAGAGGTTAGTACGTTCAGACCAATCATAGAGCGGTTACGAATGACTGCCAATACTCATTTGAAAATTTCTCTATCGCGTATTTAGCTGGAGATGTTTTTATTTATCTTTAAATGTTTCTTTTTCAGGAAATTCCTACAACATTGAGAACTTGAAGAAAACAAATGCTTACTTGCAGTTTGTGCAAGTCAAGGGATAGTCAATATTTACTTCTTGTGGGAGAAGGCAAAGCTGTTAAAAAAACTGTTTTTTTGTTCTTTACCAGGAATCGTGAAGATATCAGAGCCCGATTGCAAATTCAGCGTTTAGTACATCATTTTGTAGTGAAATAGAGAAATGATTTTGTCTCTAAGAGGTTATCTATCTATTCTTGCAACATGAAGAGATTTGACATTCACCTTGCTGTAGGAAGGTTCCATTTCTATGGAATTTACTAAGCTTTAGCTTTAAGACGGCTTTTTGAGTTTTTATGGACGTCAGCTTCATCACGTTCAACATAAAAACAGAAAAAAAAAGTCTATTGAGAACTAAACCGCCTTGAAATCACACTAGGCCAGATTTTACTGACGTGCAAGAGTGTATGGCTGTTTATTGTAGGAGGAAATTTTATTCCTTTTTTTTTTTAATCCTAGTTCAATCCTGTGAAGTTTTTGAGCGTGAAGGCTGTCAATTTACCATTGATTTCACCGCTTGTCGTATTTGATTGGAACGAATCGGCTGCTTATCTTTGAAAAATAGCTCTGTATATTTAATGTCGATTGTTTAGTCAGATCAATGAAAAACTGCAATTTTACTTTTACGCGCATTTGACTTTTGGAGAATGCTGATGAAGCCCTGAAAGGCAAAATAATGTATCGCGTATTCACAGACTTAAGGCAAGCAGTGCGTGCAAAACGTATGAATTAAACGTTAGGCTTGTCCTTTGTGCGTCTCACTGTTTTCCTCTTCCTTCGTCAAGACTTTATTAGCAGGGCTTAGGGAATAATGAGGGGGTAACTCTAGGAAAAAAAATTGAAAAAGATGGGAATTTCAAAACTTTACGATTTTATAGGATTCCATCCCATTTTGGACGATTTGATCCGATTTTGAACAGCTCTGTTGGAATATGGACAGCTTTGTTCTATGTTAGACACTTATGTCCGATTCCTGACGTTTACGTCCGATTTCGATTAGTCTTGTCTGATTTCGGACATTTCATGGCCTGGTACATGACACCACTTACTGAAAAATTCCTCTAACCCAGTCTCTACGCCTCTCAATTTTGTTTTGGTTTGTCGCCTAGCAGAAATTCTGGAACGCGGGATTTCTGTTGGGTTAGGGTTCTTAGACATTAAGTTTTTTTTTATCTCCCGTTGCACAATGGCACAAGAGCGCACAATACCAGGATGTCCTTGGGCATTTGCCGACGACATGAGAGGAATCATTGATAAAAAGGAATTCAGGTTTGAGAGGCGAACTTGTTTTCGTTCGAATCCTCAACTGTCACGCTACTAAATTCTAATCAGTTGTCAAACAACACGAACCTCTAAATCTTCACCAATCTATAAGGCTTTATTATTCAGTGTATCACCAATAAGAGGTGCATGCATAACGAGGTATGGGGCTGTGCGGAAATTTTTCCGTAGCAGTATTTACGCTCAGTACTAGTGTACCATCTTTTCTTACCTCCACCATCCTGTACCTTTTAGTGTGTTTTAAGAATGTTCGTTTTTTCCTGTAATTTTTTTAATACGATCAGTCTCATAAAAGGAAAACTTAATACAGTTTTTAAGAATGACAAGGAGTGTTGTGAACCTTATGCAGATTTCCTATCCGAATTGATAACCTTGAAACAAGTTTCAATTTGCTTGACTACTTTTGCAGTGATGTGAAGTTTATTGTGGGGTCAAACAGAAAAGTGATCCGTGCAAACAAGTCAATTTTGATGGCAAGGTAATACTGTTCTGTAGGTTATCCCTTAGTAGTCTTAATGTTTTAAAATAATCAATATTCTGTTAAATTCCTAATGAACAAAGGGGGTAAGTTTGTAAAGAAACTGTGGTGCTGCATCTTTGGAGGGCATTACAAGAAAGTTTGGTTTAACAACTGAGTTGATAATGTAAAATGGCCCCATAAAGTGTTTCCAAGGCTGATGTTTTGATTGTTACCCCTTGGTCTCAGGAAAATGTTCATCAATCTGCAGACAAAGAACCAACACTTGAAATGTCAGCTTTAGAAACTACCTATGTCAGCCAAATTACATTATCAACTCAGCTGATAAAATCAAATAATATTAGGTTCCTAAGCCAAGCATTATCTGAAAAAATATTATACTTGGAACTTGATATGTGAATTGAACTTTTATCAGTGAGAGATTGGTTGATGGTTGATCAATAGTCAATTTGGAACCCCTTACACTGAGTACAATTTTTCACATGGACAAGTATTGATCAATTGTTTGTTTTTTTGTATAAATGCATTTATTATGATTGTAGGTGTGAAGTTTTTAGAGCAATGCTATCAGATCAAAAAGACAATGTACGACCAAAAACTGACCAGCAGGATGTACCCCTTGTACTGGCAGATGTTACTCCAGAAATCTTTATGTCATTGTTGGAATTTCTCTACACAAATACATGCACTCTGAATAACAGAAATGTAAGTTGAAATATCTTGCTACACATGTTACTGACACATCTCTATTGAAGTTGAAGCAAGTGGATGATGAATACAATAGATGTGTTTAACTGATCAGCTGACTGATAAGTTTACTTATTGATCAAATACCTTACATGATATTGATTTACTGAAAGACTGCTGTTTGCTTGTTTCATTGTTCTTTGCATGTTTGATCTATCAACTAGTTAATGGTACTTAATCATTTTTTTTTGTTTGTTTGTTGATTGGTTTTTTCAGGTGATGGAAGTTATGGGTTCAGCCATGGAGTACAATTTAGAACAACTCCAAAAGGTTTTTACATTATATTCTGATACTCATGCTGTGATGTGGTGTTTGGTACAAATTTTAGATGTAATTTTTCACCTGTTTCCAAAACTTCAATTAATCTTTGAGGTGCACAATTTTATGCCTAAGGGTGTGGAACAGCAGACTACATTCTGTGAAAGTGAAGAGAGTAAACTTGAGTGTGCCATATTTATTTGCAAATTATAAATTAATTTAATAAATATTGATCTTTGCTTTGTCAACTCGTAGATCTGTGAGCAGTTCATTGGTGAAACTCTTGCCATAGATACAGCATCAGAAGCAATGCAGGTTTGTTCTAGGTTTAATGGTTTTTGATTGGAATTAGTTAATCACCTACAAATGAGTAAAGACGATCTTAAACCTTTTTCACAAATGTGGGACACAGATGAAGATCCCAATCCCCTGTAAGGATTTCAACCAGATCCAGTATTTCTATGCACCATTTTTTGTGTGAAAAAAAAATTGGGGACAATTTATGATTTGAATGAGAGATGAAGGAAAACCTGTATCTTCCATGAGAATTTCAAGGTTTTATGGTCAACTATCTACTGTGTCATGGTTATAGTTGACCAAATATTTATTTAGATCGCAGTCACCTATGGACAGGAGGAGTTAAGAGAGCGATGCTTAGATTTTATTGAAGAAAACACAGAGAATGTATTCAGAACAAAAGGATTCCATGAGCTGTCAGAGGAGGCATTGGCACTACTTCTACAAAGTGATAAACTGATGATGGATGAACTGGAAATTCTTTCAGCTGTGAGGGAATGGGCCACAGTGAACTCTGTAAGATATTTATCAATAGCTTATTGTCTGTGAATTTTATTGCTATGTCTGGGGTTAACCTTAAAGTGGTGTGAATGTGCACTTTATGTGACTAGGTTCAATTTGAAGCTTCAACATCCCCTCCCACGCACCCCCAGTCATTTGAATTTTGGAAGATTGGTTCATTCAAATTCCTGCCGCCCTTCCACCAGACCAAAATTGCCACCAAATGCCCCTACAAATGTTGTAGAATTTAGCATAGTCACTTATTAACTTATGTGCTGCTGTTGGGGTTTTTGTTAGTAAGCATCATTTTAAGGTTGAAAACTGTAAAACTGAGCCATTCACTCATAAAACCAGACTCTTTATGTTTAAACTTCTTCATTATAACATATGTATTTTGCTGGAAAGACTTGACACTTCTGGTTCAATGCTCCACAAATGATGGTCAATTGCCAAGCAGGGGGAGATGTTGAAGCTTTGAATTGATTTGTGTATTATTCTGTTGTAATCTTGAGCAAGATTCTTTTACTCTTTACATTCACAGTGCCTCTCTCTCTACCTTGGGGGGGGGGGTGGGGGTGGGGCAGAAGGGTTGATGGGTATAAATAGAAACAGTCAGAGAAACCTGTCACAATCCTCTGGAAGTTGGGGAGGAGGATGGTGACTTGGAAACTGTGATTAGCCTCCCATTGAGTGGAGCATTAGAAGTAGTATTCCTTTATTAGGGAGTAGTATTCCTTGGTGCTTAACCCTTCAGCCAACAAAAGTGACTGACTTCTAATTTCTCCATACAGTATCACTCTTAAGTCAAATGTAAAGGTTATGAGAATAAAGAGAATGATCACCAAATTAAGAAGCTCCTTATATTGTCAAACAGCTGAAGAAGCTGTCTAATTATTGAATTTTCCTCTAAACTATGTTACAATGTTACTATGTTAAGCTTTGACAGAAGGGGCCATTATTCTATAGTGCAGAATTACTTTGTTACTGCTTACCATACTTTGAACAGGCCAGCTGGTCTGGGAGGCTGCATATTTAGTGTTAATGTCTGGGAAACTAAGATAAATATTTCTGGAATGTCTTTCCTTTTATTTCAAGGTGGTTCTTAGTAAGTCAGTTTCTGAAATAGCACAGAATGTAATCCAATATGTAAGGCTTGCCTTACTCACACCTGAAGAACTTAAACAGGTTGAACTAGACAACGAGAAGGATAGAATGATTCCGGTAAGTCTTGGTGAAAACATCCCTGTACTGAGCCAGTAAACCAGTGTACCTAATTGTTATTATGTGGTTCTGCACCAACTCACTTGAACAGACCTCTCTTGAGCCTTTTCCACGTCAATAGATTCGTGCGCATTCATTTTCTAACGCGTAAAGCGTAGGCAAATGTTTTCATTCGCCTGTTAGTGCGTTTGCAGTACGTATAAAGTTTCTTCTTTTTTACGTACGTATTCTGTACGTGCGTATGTGCGTGCGAACGCTAGATGATACATATTTAATTTCCATAAACGCTTTCATGCGCGCAGCACACGCGGTTTCGCTCTTGGAGTGCGCTTGTTAGGCCGTGCGATCATGCACGCAAGCATGCTTGCGGACGTGTGACTTTTCACGTTTTAATCAAGTTTTGCGTTTATTTCAGATCAAACAAATATCTGAAGCGTGGAAATATCACGCTCTGAGAAAATCACCCAAACACAGCGCTACTGTACCCAGACCACGACCGCGCCGAGGAACAAAACCACGGGAAATGTACACTGAGGCTCATTAACTTCAACAGCCGCGCAATACTGGGATTTGATGACTAGTAGTAATGCCCTGAATACAAGACCCATTGCAACTGAATTCATATGAGTATAAGTTTGCATAATATCTGCCAACCATTTTCTGAGTTATTATACTTTTTTGTGGTATTAAGAAAATTTTTTTCCTTCTACATTAAGGGGATACAAATTTTTGCGAGAAAAAAAAAACTTTATGAAGGTTTAGGAGTTGTATTTTTATACCATATCGCTTTTGTAGTCTTTTTTCGTGTGCAAACTTTGCAAACAAAGTTTACTCTATAAATAATCTCTCTCGATGTCGGTATGTTTTCGCTTCATGAGCCAATATAATCATTACAATATCCATTCTGATATGATCCCTAAAAGGCAGCTCTTCAGCTGCTATGAAGTTCTACTCTGAGTTGCCAATATGTCACTGAAACTGATGTTGGTATTATAATTCGTTTTACGAAGAGAGAACTTAATTTTTTCCCAAAAGAATTTCTCATGCAAATTTAGTTGTTTTCGTGGTGCACCAGATTTTCTTGCGGGATTAGATGAAAGAATCCACTTCATGCGCTTAATTCTTTTTTTCTGTAGAGCTGGGTCTTTATATCGGAGCCGTTTTTGAAGCAACAAACAACTTGAAAAGTAATGTAATATACATTTTCCTGTTGCTACGATAACAATTTTATTTTTGTCGTTTATCAAGCTAAATTTAGATCGATGTTCTTGTCTGTGCTTGTCTGTCTTATGGTTTATTTCAATCCTATCAATTACCGACTAATGATTACCAAATGGAAAATTATTATCATTATCAGCTGAAACTTAAAATAGCTCTCCCTAAGAATTTAATTACTGAGTATTTCTCAAGAGCAATACAAAAGATACGATTTTTTTTTACATCAGGCTGCTAAAAGATCTGACGTTTGAAATTTAATAATTTATTTTCACAGACGTTTTTTTTTCGTTTTGTTATTTAAGCACAAACAATTAAAGTGCCCTAATGGTTATGCGTGCTGTTGGTGCCACAAACGTTTTTAAAGCCATTGTGTACACAGGTCAGCAGTGATATTGCTGTAGAATATTTGTTTATAGTCGGACTGCTGGGAAACTAGACATCTCAGCTAATATTTTAAGCTGTTATTTTCTATTAACGTACTTCCAGACACAGGAAATAGAAAACGTAACGAAAACATCCTAAATACGTCCACTTATTGGATTAAAATAATGTTATTAAATTCGCTCAAGTTTATGCTGCTAAAAATCTTTGCGACGTAATGCAAATTTTTCGTAATTATGCGACCACAATACATACGTATGATTGGGCTGTTTCCAGTGGTCAAATACATATTGAAGGTGTGAAAACTTAATCCCGACGGAGTTGCTTAAGTGGAAAAAGCTATCGCATAGAAATACAGTCCTTGGGAAGTGTGGAAGCCAATACAAAGTACTGAAGAAGCCATTAAATGCCCAGGTGACGCACAAGGGTTTCTTCGTCATTGTAAAATCAGGCTTTATTATTTGTTATTTGATCGATATGACCTTAAGGTGAAGTGTGCTATTGCTTCGTTTATTGTGCTGGATCCATGATGTGGGAGGCACGGACATTTACGCCACAACAGGGAAATTTATGGAGTAATAACGTGTCACCGATGTCAAACGACTTGAGCGAGATCGAATTCAGCTTCGATGAGTTTTCTGCTGGATCAACACCTAAAGCCTCAGATCCTGGTTCAAGCAACATGGCGCAAACTGCACTAAGATATGTTACACAGAAAACATTGACTGCTGACATCATTGCAAAAATACAAGCCATAGACAATGAAAGTGACCTCTCAACGGATCAACAAGAATTAGAGAACACAAAGATTTTGCATCATGGGTTAGACACCGCTAGCGGACATGAAACCACCGATTTAAAGCGCCCCGCATCGGATGAAATGAACGGTGAAAATCACGTTGAAAATTCAGGCAAATGCATGGTTCGCGATGTAGTAATTATTAAGAATTCTACGTCGCCTTTGGGCTTCTTCATTCGACAAGGTGATGGTTCTTTTAGGAAGAATGGAATATTTGTATCACGCGTTGCACAGCGAAGTTTTGTTGATGTGAATGGGTTACTGGAGGTTGGCGATGAAATTATTTCAGTGAATGAAGTTGATATTGAAGGCTTTAGTTTAGACGATGTTGTACGAATGATTCAAATACCGCGCAAGCTGATTTTGACCATCAGAAAAAGTGATTTGTTGACTGATCAAAATTCATATTCTGAAGAAATCAACGGATCCATAGCTACGAGCGAAAACTTTCACAAAACAACGTCGAAAGGTTTTCAAATCAAAACTAAAGATTCCCGCTCAGAACCCAGCAACGATGGTAAACAAACTATTCAAACAGAAACAGCTAATGTTGAAATAGACAAAAATGCAAACCATAAGAAGAAAATTTCCAAGCTGCCAATTGGCGGAGATTCTTCGAATATTGAAGAACTTATTAAGGCAATTCGAGCACAAAATAATCGCTTAAAGTCTGCGAAGAAAAATTCTGAGCATCAAGAAGACGAAAGCAGACAATTTACCGAAGATCACCGCAACCCGGTCGGTTCTCTTTTGAAACAAAGACACATAAATAGACCCGAAGCTCCGACGAGAAAACCGTCAGCTGATGCAATAATTTTATCAACAAGAACACCCCCACCGCTTGCAAGCCGCAAGTCAAGTACTTTAACGCCCGTTACATCTGTTAATTTGATTTTCGATGATCTCGACGATTTCGCAGTTCCTACCCTTGCTGCTAATAGCAGCATGTCCAACGAAGACTCTTTGAAGGTTTACACTTTGGAGCAGGTTCCCCGAAGCCCTACGGGTTCTCCCGGAGGGAGCCCGAAGGCAAGGCGAAGACTTCCGTCGGTGCCATCCGAAGTCGGACGGACAAGTCGATGTGATAGTGATAGTCGAAGTGAGAGCAGTTCTCCCACGTTAACGAAACCACTACTGAGTCTCCCTTCAGAGCCACGAAACCGTAGAGTGCTGCCAACTCCACCACCTTCTCCTGTTGCTTCACATAAAGATGCTTCAAACAGTCGGAATTCAAGTTCCTCTAACTTTGAGAGCCCTGAGGATGGAAAATCAGACAGAAATAGTTGGAGTGGATCCACGGATGGCGAAACCGCGGAGGAAAAATCTCCAACGCCATCTACGCCTTCTACGCCATCTCCTTCACGTAAAGACTCCGTTTTGTCACTAAGCCAAATTTTTAGTGCATTCGCCTTCAAAATACATTCAAACGGAGCTGAGACAGGAGAGAAAAACAAAGATGGCGCGAGACAAGAGGCTTATAAAACGCCAACTTCCCCACGCAGGCCAGCGCGAAAAAGTGAATCGCAGTGCCAGGATATTGTGGAACAGCAAAGGCACTCCATGCTTTTAAATTCCTTCGTTTCTAGTGGATTGCAAGTTCCTACCGGAACCAGACGGCTAGCGAGTCGATCATCACACCCGAATCTGAAACTTTTAAATCCTGTCCCAGAAGAAGGCGCGAAATCCAAGCTTTCTATCGGATCAGCTTCGCCATCAGGTCACTTTAAGCTGTCTCCCTTTACCAGAAGGCGCGCCAGCCTTCAGTCTATGACTGACAAGAGTTTAACCAATCAGCTTGCCTCGCAAGATTTGACTGACAGCGACCAACTTAGGAGCGAGGTAGATGTCGGTTTTATGATATTCCCGGATGATTATAGTGGACATAATTTATTGTCGTCCCACGCGGTCTCTGGTATGGTCTCCTTACATCTAATCAAAGCCACCAACCTCCCTTTTGCAGATAAGAAACTACTGGAGAAGAAAAAGAAGGTATATTGTGCAGTCGAAGTTGATTTTGAGCGTAAAGCTTTCACGAGTTCTAAAAGAGCTTCGAAAAGCATAACATGGGATGAAGCCTTTGATGTAGAAGTTCAGCATGGTCGTGAAATCTGTCTGTCTTGTTTCACACCGGGTCACGAATTTGACAAACCAGTGGCTAAAGTTTCCTTCAACCTGTCACCTTTTGTCCGATGCGGCCAGCAGCACAACACCGTGTTTCGTTTACATCCACAAGGCGCGATTCACCTCAAAATGGAATTCACAGAGATGAAGGCGTTGCTAAAACGAGCTCCTTCCGACAGAAGTTCGGGCGTGTTCGGCTTTCAACTCAACGTGACTTCGCGCAACGAGAGGGCAAGCGTTCCGTTAATCGTTCGCAAGTGTGTCGAAGAGATCGAGAAGCGCGGACTGACAAACGTCGGTCTCTATCGGATTTCCGGAAACGCTCGACGGAAGAAGCAATTACACGCGCAATTTGACGAAGACAGCACGAAAGTCGACCTGTCAGAAGAGAATTATCCTGATATCAATGTCATCGCCGGCATTCTGAAAGATTATCTTCGAGAACTTCCCGAGCCACTCATCACTGAATCTTTGTCCAAAATGCTGATTAAGGCTGCTAAAGAACATGTTCAAGATCAAGATTTAGCTGCACAGAAGCGTGTTCTTTCCAAGCTGCTTGTCCAGTTGCCACAACACAACAGAGAAACGTTAGTGTATTTGTTGAATCATTTCTTGCGCGTTATTGCTGAGAAGGAAACGAACAAAATGGACGCGCACAATCTATCAGTATGTTTCGGCCCCGTACTGTTATGTCCCCCGGCGAACCTTACAGAAAGTAAGGACTTGTTAGATCTCAAACTCCATAACAGAATTGTAGAATTCCTTTTGTTTCTTTGGAACAACACTGGCGGGATATCTGAATAGATTTTATTTTAACCGGACCGTTGTTCCACTTTTTATATTTGTCGTTCTGCCCAAAGCAAGATACTCGCTCACAGAACACAATAATTAAAATGGCAGCTCTATCATTATATTGATCAAACAGTTTTATTAAACCTTCTCCAAGTCAGTTCGTTCAGTCTAGTCTAGAGTACAAATACGCCCCTCATTCGCTGTGAATTAGCGGTCAATTTCTGTAATTCCCCCCCTACTCTTTACACTCCGTTGGCGACAAATGATCCTCCTCCAAAAAAATCATGTTATCCCCCTCAAAATCCTCCGAACGACCCCTCCCCCAACCGATAGGTGATAACTGGTACCTTGGCTTAAAGGAGATGCAGGAGGTTTTGACTTATTAACCATGAACAATTCAGGCTGAATTTTCCGAGTTTTTTCGTTTGAAATATGAGTAAATCTTCATCCTAAACCATTGATTTTCATTTTTTCTTTTATTACTCCTATTTAATTTTTTTCTGTCTTTTGAAAGAAATGTTCCCATGTTTTTCGTCACGGCCACAGGTATTCAGTCTGCTCGTCACCAGACTACTCTGCATCCTTGTTCGGTCTCAAGAGATGCGTGAAAGAACATTCGGGGGAATCATGGCGGGGTTCTTGGACGAGTCTAAGGAATGTGAACGAGTTACCGAAAATCTCCAACCTTCCCCCCTGTCATCAACTATTTATAACTTTGCCATGCTCAGTGTGTCGAGGTTAATTTCTTTCCTTTTTCATTACACGTCGGTATGTCAAAGCTCTTTGATGCCAATTACGTCCCCTCTTTGAAGACTTGAACGTCAACCAATGAACGTTATATTTTCCAATTAGACTCCAAAAAAAGGTTTCTCAATTATCATGATCAAGTCTTGCTGTATAATTTGTTCTTGGTATTCGAGGATAGTTTCAATTAACATCGCTTTTCCTTTAACAATTTCAGCAAAATAATATTTAGTCGGTTTAAGTTATATGTTTCATCCAGGTGAGTGCGAAAATCGTTTCCTCATCCTAATTTGTTTATTTCTTTGTTCATACATTTGTAATTATTTTCTTTCTGATTCTAAATTTAGAGAATTTTCTTTGAGCTTGTGCAATCAACAGCTGGTTGTAGTATGATTTTTCTTTCTGTGAAAGGACGATAAACGCATTGGTTAACTGTATTGAATAACGGGGGCAAGTTTCAAAGGAAACTGTGGTGCTGCGTCGGTGGGAGAGTAAAAGCCTTCGTCAACCGCTCTGACGAAGGGCTAACGCTCGAAACGTCAGCCTTTAAACTCTTTACGGTGGCCAATTTATGTTATCAATTCAATTGATAACACTAAGTTACCCTGTATTGATTGAAATAGCATTTCATGATTTCGCTAAACCCTATTCATCGTGGAACGCCGGCTGTTTGAAATGGATTAGTAGGAAAACTAAACCAAAATTTTCAAATGTAGCTATTTTTGGACGTAACTGTTTGGCCTACCCTTTGAAAACGAAAATTTTTCTCTTATTAGTCAGCAAATTTAATTTAACAAATACTTGAATTAAATAAGAAAAATACTACGCCCTTTCGATGCCGAAGGAACAAAACTATAATCGGTACCTACGTGAAAACTCAGTGTCGCAAGTTCAGATAGGTTGTTCTTATTCGAGCAATTCTTACCCCGAATTAATGACGACTTGAGCACTATGATTAACAGTCTAAATCACTTACATAAATGTTCACTGATGGACATTGAGAGTTACTCAATTCATGGTTACCTCTTAGTGTTACCAGGAACAGTATTACTTTTTACTTTTATATTTCTGTGATGTATACATCTTATGGCTTAAAACTACGCAATTTTTCATCGTGAAAGATAGCCTTAAGCTATTATTCTTGTCGTGACTTTTCTCAAAGATTAAGAGCAGTGGAAAATGTTTTTAGTGTACGAGGTCGTAAAAACGATGGGAGGTCCCCTCATTTTCTCTCGTTAAGACTAGAGTGTAAGATTGGAGTTTATCAATATGACAACCTCAAGTAAAGTTCAGTTTTTTCGCTCTCGGAGCTCGTGCGCTGGATATTCCTAGAAGTTAACTATGTTATTAGCACGTTTTAGAGATCAAGAGTCAATTAATTTGTGTGTCTTGGTTCACCAGGCCACCAATCTCCAACATACGTAGCTCTTACTTTTGCTTTCATGTTTTTATTCTCTCCGTTTCCTTTCCAGGCTGTATACTTGAACATATTTTAAACTATTATTTCATTATTTTCCTTATTAATAGAACACTGTGATGTCGAACTTGTCAGTCGCCTTTGCCATGCATTCAAATACAACGCTCCATGAAAACCATGGAAACAATTCCAGAGAAGAGCTGATTAATATCTTGAGCTTGTTTCAAAAGATATCACTAGCAGCACCGTACTTCATAATTGAGCCGCTTGCTTTGTTCCTGAATTTCTTGACTCTTTACATTTTACGAAAAAAAGAGGCGCAGTCATGCAGACGAATACGTCGAGTCAAAGGACACGAGCGAGTGATGGCTCGGCCACAATGCAGATCTTTTTATTTCTTACGACATTTGGTTTTTTCCGATTTGCTCACTTGCTTTGTGGCAATTCCATTTGACGCTCTGGAAATTTATCGCCTGGAATTTCTTCGCTCTCGGGAATACTGTGCTATCTCGAAGTATGTACGTTTCGTTGCGATCAGCAGCAGTTTTTATATTTTAGTCGTTATCAACTTTGAGCGGTTTTGGTCGGTAACATTCCCTCTTCGCCCCTTGGGACATAAAATGATCTCTTACATGACCCGTGGTGCTTGGATAGCGGCGTTTGTAATCAATATCCCCTCTCTTTTTTTGTATCGATCAAAAGTCGAGTTTATGTACAATGACGATCGATATTACGTAAGAGTTTGTGTCGCAGAACCTGGGCAAACTGGAAACTTTGCAAGGGGTTTTTTGGGTGTGACATTCTTGATACCAGCCTTGGCCATCGCTACCCTTTCGTTGAGTACGCTTTATCATATTCTAAAGATCCAAAGGAAAAATAATCAGAGAGGATCAAGCATGGAAAAATCACTGTCAGAATTAGAGGAATTGAAGGGATTGAGAAACATTGTACTCTCATCTTTTTACATAACTGTTGGATTTTGGTTGTGTTCAAGTCCTGTTGGTTTTTATTACTTAATAATCGCTGGTATTGGCCGTCCAGAATTTCCAACGTCATATCTGATCGGTCGTTCCATTGTTATCATTGCAAATCTTAGCGCCGTTGTAAATCCATTAGTTACCATTCTGTGTTTCCGTCCGATCAAGGAGGGTGCGAGGGAGTATTTAGGGCTGGGAACTAAAAAGTGCTACAGGATAACGAACTTGGGCGCTCAGACAAAGGATGACAAAAACCATGTGGAACTTCTGGCGGTCACTGTTAGGAGTTCACTCCGGCACGTTAGATACATTCTGCAGAAGAGAGAGGCTGAAGAGAAGAATTTGCAACGTCTGGGAAAAGATACAAGCGAGCCAACCGTCATGACGACTGTTCCTCATTATGACAATACTTCTTAAAAAAACTGAACCAGGATTTGGATTGACAGTTATGGCCAGTGACTGCAAAGCACTAGTTGCTATCATAGATCAATTAACAATTCAACTCCAAGGAAAGTCTCCACACAGCATCATTGTCCTTCAAGTTGCGTAACCGATGCAGGTAGTCTGGCACTGTCTGGTACCAAATTTGAGTTGTCTCCAGTCTCACCCTCATCCGTTGTCTTCTGAGGTCTCGGTTCGATTCTCGAAACCGGCAATGTGCGGATATTTCTGCTGATTCTCCATTTTTTCTCTCTCCACAAAACCCTATATAACTGCACGTCACTTATTGTGCCTTCTAAGTCAACTCTTCAAATTCCAATTTGGCCGGAAACAATGGACAAGGAGCCGACTTATGAACGTGCCTCTGTCTAATCCGAATTGATATTAATCTGATAAATCCATTAAGCTTTGAATTTTACCCCAAAATTACTGTTCACCAAGATTGGAAAAACAGTCTATCCTATGAACTATCACTGTTAGCGCTCAAACTGCATGGAAAAAGAAACTAAAGAGAGCCAGTTCAAGGTGAACTACTTGAGAACGAGGAATAGCCTCGCTCCAGTGAAGGTTTTTTTAATTTTTTTTTCTCAGCGTGAAGGGAGGCAAAAATGAAATTAACATACACTATTTATGCTACATATGGCCACAGATAGCAGGTGCTCCCACTACGGCTGAGAAGTTTACATAATATAACAACACTAGTTTCACTCTATAACGACAGGCCATTTGTCAGAGGTAGATTCAGAGCATGCCTACGCAATAAAGTATAACTTTCTTGCCAAAAATGACGGTGGATTATTTAGGAAACAATCGGCTTCTTGAGGAGGACCCGTTGTTTATACAAACATTTTCAAGCGGAAATAAGTGGAGGACTTTTTTCCTCCTCTAGTCTGATTTTCTCCACAAAAATCTTACAGTTTGTGCATGTGTGTGGAAAGCTAATACATATTTTTCCTTCTTAATCGCGTAGATTAAATTGTTTATTTGTATATTCAAAAAGTTGAGGAATGTAACCAGTATTAGTGTTTATTAGGAAACAATAAAAAACTTCCAGTCGATGTGAATCTGTGATCAACAGCACCTCAAAAACCGAATATCGAGTTGATGAAACATAATACGAGATAGAATTTTTTTTTTTTTGCAAAGTCTGGTTTTAAATCTGGCGAGAAGTACTGTATAAGTATTGTTCATAATACAGAGATTAGAAACGTCAGTGTTTATGGTTTATTTCTATGCCCTAATGGGGGCTCTATTGTGTTAGAACAGGTCGTCTCCCATGGCAACTTAATGCTTTGAGCTGTGATTGGTTGAAAACTGTAATGCAGTCGAACTGTAAAAGAATGGAGTAAGCGAGTTCGGTTGTAGACTTTTACGAAGATTTCTGTTCCTTTTTACTTGATTTAAACATCATGGCCGATGAAAGCGAGCTATCAAACGCAAGCGAGTTTATAAAAGGTATACCTCGGTTGTTTTTATCCGCTGCCAATATGGTTTACCGCCAAGGAATTGTCAGTCTTATCCAAGATGTCCCCTTCTTAATTTCTTACTAGATCGATTGTACTTCATCACTCTGCGAAACAAGCCCAGACATACTGAATCTGTTCATTACTTCTGTGTAGATGATGAATTGGTGTATGAGAAGTAAGTATGTTCTAATTTGGAAGCTTATTTGCCGTCAGCCTGCGTTCTAATTAGTCAATTTGTAAACTTGTCGTTCTGCAGTTTTTACGCCGACTTCGGACCCTTGAATCTTGCTATGCTGTATCGCTACTGTTGTAGGCTTTACAAGAAGCTTAAGGTAAGCAATCTGCTGTTTTAACTAATTTTTGTGGACGAAAACATGAATATTATATTTCAAATTGTTTTATAGACAAACTCATGCAGTTCGCTCGCAGTCATTCTTGATTTCTAGCGGACTTCCAGTGTCCATGAAAAATGAAGTAAAGACTTAACTCACATCCGTATTATTTTACGCTCGTAGTATTTATTAGAGACTTCAACGTCCGTTGTTTAGATGCAACTCCTTGTTTTTTCAAGTCGGTGATATTGATACTTTAGTTGGTATTCCGTTTATGGAGACTATCTAAGCGCTATCTATATGATCAAAACATCGTTGACGATGTTTTTTCCTTGTACGGGTCCCCGCGTTTGTTTGCTAAACGCTAAGCTTAACCTATTTGTATTTCAGCCGGTCGTAATGACTCGAAATTACTCCCTCCTCCTTCTCTGTACTTAAATATAAAGTTTGGATAATCAGAAAACCAGAGTTTGGGCACATCAGCTCTGAAAAGTTGTGGTTACTTGTTACAAATGTTCCCGTACGATAATTTAAGTCTGTGGTTTGGAATTTTGCCTCGTGTTCACGGTCTAATGCTAAAACAGACAAACAGAATTCGATATTGAGATACGTTTGCACTCAAAAATTCTTTCTCTTTATCTTCTCTATTGACACTCTCGAAACTCTTCTCATGCAATATGTCGAAGAAATAAACTGTGAATCCAATTAGAAACCTAGATCGTAAGTTATTACCTAGGGTAAAGTAAAGTCGAAGTGCTCTAGTGTTACGCAATTAAGATTGGCGATGGAAAATTTACGTAGCTTAGCTTACTCATGTCTCAGTTCTCTGCTCGTCTGTTGGGGCATCAGAAATTATATATATTAGCATCATATTTGAAAGAATAGGCTATTAGTGTTATCTTTTGATACTCCGGTTGAAATCTGATTTTTACTATTGATGAATTCACAATAATTAGAGTGACTGAAACATCTATAATTTTGTTGACATGTAAAACGTGTATTCATGATTGATATGAACTAAATGAACTACATGAATTCCTATAGTCTGTAAGAAAATCTTCTTTCCTGCCCTTAATGTGTGCCTATCTAAATTGATCTGAAAACTTATTTTGAAAACTCATTTTTCCAATTATTCAAAATTAGATATCATTGGTTATAAATATTCCTTTTAACAGTGGTTTGAAAAATCATCTTGCCTTGTTGAAATAGAGCAGCTGTTTTTGTCTTTTGTTGTTTACTAGTCTCTGTTAAAAATATCCTTTTTTTTTGGCTTGTATCAAAATATTGTCAATTTATAAGTCAGTGGATATAGTAATTGAAAATTAACAGTTGTGTTATATTGAACTTTTTATTGTAAGAGGAGGTATTTTCATCATCATCACATGGTGTTATCAGTTTCAGACCAACATTTGTTATATTGTTGTGGTTTTTCTTTGGATTATGAGATAAAAGCTTAACTCTATGATACTATTGCTGGTCATTTTTTGATTAACTTTGATTGGAATAGAACAATCATGTGCTTAGATATGTTAAGCTAGACATCTAAGATTTGGGCTTAAACAGGACTACAACTTTCGAGATTTGCAAAACTAAAGTATGACTTTGTGGGCTTAGAAGACATTTCCTCAACATATAAATTTCTTCTGCTGTTATATTGTAGTTTTAGTTGAAAATGAGGTAACTCAAATGATTGAATCTATATTTTTGTTTGAATTTGTAGTCTTTCTCTTTGGCAAAGAAAAAGATTGTTCACTACACCTCGTTCGATAGCAGGAAGAGGGCAAATGCTGCATATTTAATTGCATCATATTCAGTAAGTATTATCACAGTTAATATTCATTTTACAACGTGTTGTTCTTTTGTTTTCAGTGTAGGACATAGGTTTGCTACTTTAGAGAACATCAGTTTGGGTTTTTTCCTTTACAAGAATAGCATCCTGTATTCTGCCAGGATCAGCAATGTTGAAACTTTAAAGTCAGTTATTTGATTAATAATGGTAATGGGACTGAGTCTAGTCCAATTCGGTTTGTGATCGTAGGAGTGATTGACAAAATTGGATGACCGCAAAGCAGGAGTCTGATTCGTTAATCGCAACTATGATTACAGACCGAATTGGATGACACAAAGACCGTTTACTAATTAAACAAAACCATGACAAAATTTGAAAAAGACACTAGCACTAGGTAACTCAACAAAATGTGTGATGACGTGGTGCACAAATGATGTGTACGGCCCACTTACACTAGTGTGATGTGTCAAAAACTTTAACTCACTTTGTTTTGCCACTTAGATCTTCAATTATATACTGTAATAACTGGTGCATCTTGCTTTTTCATAGATAATCTACCTGAAGAGAAGTCCAGAAGAGTCTTATAGACCACTGATAAAAAATGGCTGCAACCCACCATTTCTTCCATTTAGGTGTGTATTATGTAAGGGTGATATGCATGAACTCACGAGGTACATCAGTTTGTGTTTCATCTAGTAAGTGTCTTGTATTTGGACAATTACAATAGGATTTTTTTCACCTTGTTTTTATTAGGTTTTAGAAGTCCACATTTATTCATCTTCCCCTTAAACACAAGAATTTATTTTTATTGTCATTGTTGTAGACTTCAGCTTTGAAGAAAAGATTAGTGGTTGAAAAACTTGCTCAAAGAACTTGCTTGTGGAATACTTTTAGAAAGCAAAGAAGAGTACAATGTACTCACTATCTACAGTGTGGTGTCTTTAATTTTGTAATGAAAAATAAATGGACTAAAACAGTGTTTCTTTTCCTTTACAGAGATGCATCCTTTGGAACATGTTCATACAACCTTTCTCTAATGGATGTTTTAAATGGCCTTTACAAGGTACAAGAGCAATTTAACTTGCCTTTGATATTGGTATTGGCAATGAGAGTGTAATGTGAAAACCAGTGATAATACCTGCTAGTTATTTGCATTTTTTTTTTGGTCAAAATCTTTAATATCACGAACATGTTTCAGTACATGGCATGAATCAAACAATATGACAAGCTAGGTGACCTTGTGTAGAGTAATTGTTTATTGTTAAAGTCATATTTTTTTTATTAATGCAGGGATTACAAAATGGGTTTTTTAACTTTGAAACTTTTGATGTAGAAGAGTATGAACATTATGAGGTGAGATGTTTGAATTTGACAATTTTAGTTAAAATTTTTTGATCAATTTTTACCTCTTAGCTATAAGTCGATTTTATTATAGTTTTCTGTTGTTATAATTGTAGTTTTTTTAATATATCATGTCTTTCTGTTTTTAACAGTCTTACTAGTATTTATATTTTTTTTGGCACATGTAAAAATTGTAACAGAGATTTGCATGTTTCAAATATTTTATTGTTATAATAATTTTTATCTACATGGTTATTCTTAACATTGTTATTTTTGTTATCATTGATTATAACATGCTAATGTTATCTCTGCGATACATTTTCTTTCTTGCAGAGAATTGAAAATGGGGATTTCAACTGGCTGTTACCAGGTTAGAAAAATTGATAACTTGGCAGTTGATTAAATGAGATGGCTGCAAAAATTAGTGTCAATGAATAACAACTTGAAGAAATATTCTTCATTTGTGAAAAATTTTACCATTTACAAGTTTACTACGTTTAATTTGCAGAGTGACCTGTTAACAAAGATTCCTAACTCAGTTTGTGTTGTAAACTATTTTTCAGATAAATTTTTGGCATTCAGTGGACCTCACAATAAAAGTAGAATTGAGAATGGTAAGCATTTTTGGCTGACTTTAGATTAAAATACCAGGGCTGGATTATCTCTGATCATAAAAACTATCACAAAATTCTTGAGTGTAATTGGTTATAAGTTGTCAAATTTGAGCACAATGCATATATAGGTAACATATCTGTAGCAGTACAGAACAATAGAACAGTTTACACTTCATGCCTCTGTAATTGTACAGCATTCAGCATTGGCGCTGACTGTTGAATAACCACTGGGTCAATATTCTTATGGAGAAAGTCATTTGTTATGTTTTGATTGGCAATAAGATTTTGTGGTGGTAAGCCTGTCTGTAGTCATGCTCGTGATTAACCAATCTGACTCCTGCTTCATGGTGGTCCAATCCTCTCAACTGTTTTACTGCCAAGAATCTGATTGTCAATTCTCCCCACTAGCTGCTTCACATTTCCTTGTAAATTAGTAGCGACAGTTTGGTGTTAGATCAAGATCAACTTCTACCTGTTAATTTTGAGTATTCTCAATACCTCTGTATTTGATAATGTATGGAATTTGTAGAGAGAAATTACATGTTAATCACTTCTGGGGGTTAAAGGATTAATCACTTGTGTAATTATTTGAGGAGTTGAGTTCTTCTTATTATTATTCACAGTAATTTGATTATATTGAGGCAGTGTAGCTTACAATAGATATTTTACATTTTTACAGGTTATCCTCTGCATGCCCCAGAAGCCTACATCCCTTACTTCAAAAAGCACAATATTACAGCAGTTGTAAGACTCAATAAGAAATTCTATGATGCAAAGAGGTTTACAGATCATGGTATTGAACATTTTGACCTGTTCTTTGTGGACGGCAGTGTGCCAAGTGATATGATTGTCAGGTTGGTTATTTTGTTGTTTTTGTTGCTTTTTTATTATTATTAACATCTACATGTATGCAGGATGCTTTTTGCTTCATAAAACAGAAAGGGGAGAAATTTGTGTTGATTGTGCTAATATGAGTGAGAATGTAGGCAGACAGAGGATATGCTTGGGGAGGTTATGACAGGAAAAGAAGGAGTCCTGAAAAAATGCAGATTTTCTCTCACCTTCCCACTTATTAATTTCACTGAGCCTGGCAAAGACTGATTGGACAGAACAATCTAGGGATTGATGCACTCTCAGTTTGAAAAAAGTCATGTTACATGATTGTAAACTTTGTTTATGGGGGAAGTTGAGTTTTACCAAGTCCTTACTTTTGGGTGTTCATACATCTCCACTAAAGAAACATTTTCTCCCATACTGACATGAAATATCTTGCTCATCAGGCGTTTCTTGACAATAGCGGAAAATGCCAAAGGAACTGTTGCAGTTCACTGCAAAGGTAAGGGTTCACAATTCTCCAAGGACTGCGGTGGCCAAGTCTAACATGTTATGCTTGGTGAGCAAGTCTTCTATATGTAAGTTTGGGGCTGAAAATGGCAGCTACTCTAAATTTGCGGCTCCCTTGCCCACTTCAGTGGGAACTTAACCTATTTTTTTTTTTTTTTAACCATTTTTAGATACGAGTGACTGGTATCTAATTTCTCCTCACATTTTTTACTCTTAAATCAAACACAAGAGTTATGAGAATTAAGGACATGATCATCAACTTATTAACCTCTTGATTGTTAAACAACAACAACAACAAATGGAGAATATGTGTACTGATGTTTAAGTGTTAAGTGTTAATTGAATGCCTATTGGTTTACTTGCTCGACTCCCGACTTAACTGCTTTATTTTCCTGCTTTCAGCTGGTCTTGGTAGAACTGGGACGTTAATAGCGTGTTACTTGATCAAGCATTACCGATTCACTGCTGCAGAAGCTATTGCCTGGTTAAGGTAAGAAGTGATATTACTATATCGTTGGCAGTGCCCGTGGGCAATATGAAGCGAATCCTGTGTTCTGACTGGCACATCTTGCCTGCTCTGATCCCGACTTCGTCTCGGTCCATAAAAACGCAAAAAAGAGAACTTGGCCAATATCCAGCCATCTTGACCTCAAGCTTGGTCGATAACGCATATTTTACTGCTCGCAAAAATCACCAGCATTTAAATTCTATCGAAGTGATCATAGATTTACAGTGTACCATTTTTTTTGTCCTACTCGCAGAATTTGCCGTCCTGGATCAGTTATTGGACCTCAGCAGAATTTTTTGGAAGAGTAAGTACACCGGTTCATATGTTTTCTCCATTTATCTACAGATATAAAGACTAACTGGTACTCTTAGCTGGGAGGAAAGTCACAAAACCCCAACCAAATACATTTGTAGCTTTCCTTAAGCCAATCGAAAGTGTAAATCTGGGTCCTTCATTTTGAATACTAGTGTTATATAATGATTTGAAACCTTTGAACTTGTTCTACAATGTACATGTATTTATTTGTTTTTTTGTAGAAAACAAGCCAGCTTGTGGATACAAGGGGACATTTTTAGAACGAGAGAAAAAGAGAAGGCTGAAAAAGGTTTGTTAACAGATAGTGTTTATATTAATTTTGATACAATTCTCTTAATAATACCGCAAACTGATCAATTGAACAACTTTGTAACTAAGGTTTCTATCAATTTTTGTTTTGTAAAAAGCAGTGGATCGCTGTGGAGTGAGTCGGCTTATTAGTGGAGTGGACACCATCAAGATTGAAGATTCTGTCAATACAAGGCCCAGTAAACTGTACAAGGTAACATCATTCTCAAGCAACTCATTGAAGAAGCTTTAACCAAATGTTTTGAAGTTTCGTTGTGCCTTAGAAAGATACCAGCAACCTGATGTAGACCAAGAGATAACGCATAAAATGTCAGTTTTAAAAAGTCTCTAGGGTGGCAGATTTACATAATTCGACTCAGTTAAAAAAAAAACCAAGCTACCTTATGAAATATGAGTACGAAACAAGTCTTTAACCTTTTAACCACTAAGAGTGACTGGTCTCTAAATTCTCTTTACCATATCACCCCTGAATCAAACATTGGAGCTGATCACGGACTAAAGATCACGGACTAAAGCAACTCTTGATTGTTGGACAAATTCTCCATGTCGGTGTCATAGGAAATGTTAAGAGAACAGTGTGGAGAATATGCATACCGATGTTACGGTGTAGAGGGTTAAAACTTAACGATAGCCTCTTTTACACTTGAAAGTCTCTTATTTTACTCTATTTTTTTCCCAAGGATCTTACGCCCATGTTACGTGCTACACCCACTTCAGGCGCGTCTTTGCTCAGTGAACGTAGCAGCATCCTTGCCTCCAAAGAGATAACGGTCAGTAAAGATTCTAATGACAATGAGGAACCAACACAAGGAGATGAACTGAGGCGATTGAAGACCAGCCGTTCATTGCGTCATCCGCGATCGGCAACAACGGGTGCTTTAAAGTAAGCTTAGTTTATCACATTTGTTTGTAAAACAGGACTTATGAAATAAGCGCTTTGTAGTTTTGATGAAATACATTACAGACATTCGGCTTCCATCTTTAGGTGGAACCACTTTGTACAGCGTAATAAGTGGTACAAAATGGAAGTAAATGCTCAGTAGCCTTGATCTAAATACTCACACCCAGGGATTTCATCCACAGACTCAGAAGTTAGAACCACCTTGTACAGCATGATAAAGATTACCACGTGAAAGAACTGCCTAGGAGCTTTCATGCGAATTGTTGCATAAACTGAAAAGTCAGATTCGCGTTGTGAGGCCTCATCAATAACAAATAGAACCTTGTCATCGTATGAAATAAAATTTATTTTAGAGTTTTCCTTTTGTCTCTCAGACTGGAGGATGGTAGATTAGGTCACACTCGCTCCACGACTGGACAATCGTTGAAGTAAGTGTAACGTAGTTAAGTAAAACATACGACAATCTTTCACTTAGATATCGCATAGAAAAATTCTGTTTTACTCACTCTTTGTGCTCAATTGTAAAAATATATTAGCTAGGTAAATGCTAAAGAGGCAATAACAAACTAACAAGGAAAAGGATGAAGAAAATTTACTCGCATTGAAAATAAGCACAAAAATATCACTTTGCTAAGATAGAAAAATACAAAAGGAGAAAGAAGGATGGTTTGAGATGGAGAAGATTATAACGAATTGGAAATAACAAAGCTTGACATATTAAACACGTCACGTAGCGTCTAGAAGGCTTTTGAAATTTTACAGTAAACTTCTACGAAGGAAGAGATAAAAAAGTTAAAAGCTCTGAAAAAGAAAGGATTTGTTATTATTAAGAACACTTGCAGTGATCAGCAGGATTGTAATGTTTCTTAAACATTTTTACAGGCTTGCGAACGCGTCGACAATGCAGTCAGTAATGTCACCGCTGAAAACATCCAAAGTTTCTGCTTTACCGAGAAGAACAACAAGGACCTCGTCCCACATGTTACGAAGGTAATGACAGACAAATTAATACTTTACTCCAGAATGGGTGAAGCGTTGATCAAGTATTTACTGTGTTGGACTTAAGGTTGAGAGCTCAGGATTCAATTGGTGTCAAGGTCATTGTGTTTTGTTCTTGTGTAAGACGCTTTACGCTCGCAGTGCCTCTGTCCACCCAGGATTATTTATATGTACCGGTAAACTGTCAGAGAAAGATGATTTAATACTGAGGCGAGAGAGAGAGGGTTGGGGAGGGGGGTAACCAGCTGGAGTTGTAATACATCTAGGTTTCGTCATAGTATATACCTTACCAGACGAACACCTCGTCATTGTGGCAGCCAAAAGGATTTCCTTCTCTATAATGCGCTGTTTCGGTTTTTACCAACAAAACCCAGACTAACTGCAAGAAATCTTAAGTCTGCAAATTGGCCAGTTTTCTTCAAGCTCAAATCTGACCACTCGATTTAAAGAAAAGGAAGTAAGTAAATATTACTCAACTATATCATACGTTCTTTCTAATTGAAGCATTTTTTAACATTTTTATTAATTCATTTTTCAGTCGTATGACATCATCACGTGTGAGCAGTAGAGCACTGAACTTGGCAGCCCTTGCCAAAACATAACCAACTACTAAATACTCAGCGGGTCCTTTTAATGTTAGCTTACTGAACTGATTCAAGTAACGATGAAATACTGCTGAGCATCGGCTTCAACAGACGACGAGTTCAGTCTGTTGTGAAAAACCCTTCCCGGTTGTTGAAGGCAGATCAGTGTGGCTAGTTCAGTAGAGGTATCAGTAAGTATTTTGTGGAATAATATGCCAATTAAGAAGGATGCCCCGATCAAGAGTTAAAGAAAGTGTAATTAGGTTATTGTGGGATATGGAGCGATTGTAGAGCGAGTGATTTGGTTTTACATTTTGATTTGAATAGTCGCAGGTTTTGAGTGATGGTCATGTTGTAAAATGGGAACTTTTTTTACTGTCTTTGTACAGATAAACAACTTGTTACGAATGCTAATTTATTATTAAGACATATTTCAGTATGATTAGGTTTTTAAGAAAAGTAAGAGTATCGAGTGATCACTGAAATATATAAAGTTCTTCGTATATATATTTTTTTGGCGTTGTTGTACAACGCTGTGATGGTCACACAACGCGGTGAAGTTCACGCACTCTGTCTGTCACGCAGAGAGTGTAACGCGAGCTCAGTAGCTTTCAAGAAGTCTACCTGAAGGCTTCTGCTGTTTCCTTTGCTTTACTGGTAAAACTCAGGAAATAGTGGTGTCGTGGGAAGTTAGTTTTAGATTGAAGTGATTTTATAGAATATTGATGCATTGGATATGGTCCTTCATGTGTCCTGAAACAAGAGTGATGTGGTAGGATTATAAGGGCATAATTCATGATGCCCTGATTCGGCTCTTTTACAACGGTAAAACGAACGTTAGTTTTGAGGAAACCATAACATATTGATTTGGTTAAATAGACAAACAGCAATGTGGTATTCATAAACCATGGGCAAGGAAGATCTAGGATGGAGAAGATTCGAACGGATTTTAAATGAAGAACTTGTAAACTTTTCTCCAATGTTTTTCAAGTGGCATAAACTTTGACGTACAGTAGCCCCCTTCGCTTGAGATTTAATCTCAGTAGTACACTGAATGCGTTTAAATTTCGTTCATACTACGTCAAAATTGTAAGTTGCACGTTTACAGATGATGGTAGCGATGGAGTATTTTTCCTTTGGTTTAAAGAGTTTTTTCCAGAGCTGATAGTGTTGAAATCCTCTTAAAGTGTGTACCAATAGAAGAAAAAAAAATAATTGTAAATTGTGCAAGAGAAATTATTTCAAACTCTGATTTGAAAATTCGATAGGAACTTTGTTGTTGTATGTACAAATTACTGTCGTTGTAATCTGGTACGTTTGTATTATACATTATTTTTGTATGGACCATTTCCAATAAGAAATGCAATTTTAGGGGATTGTTTAAGAGGAAGTTAAGGTATTTAGCTACAGTTTGCAGATTTGATATACTTAACCGTGCGTAATTTTAACCGTACATGTTTAATGCTCTCAATCGCGATTTAGAATATTTGAATATGACAAATACTTACCAAAAACTCTATTAACTATTTTAGTTTTTATCAATTTTTGTTGTCATGCTGTTTAAAGGATCATATTCGCATTACATTGTTGAGACTATATAGTTTGCTGTGGCAAAATCTCGAAACTCGTCCTGTCGTCAATTAACTTACTTTCTTTTGCAAGAATGCAAGGCATTCCTAGTTTTAAAAAAACGTTGGGTTCTATATATTGTGACTACCTCATAATTTTCCCAAAACTGTGTGAGGAAATTATACTAACTTTATTTTAAGCTTTCTTACTCTTTTATTATCGAGAGTAACGTGTTTATATGTATTAAAAGGTCATATATTGCCTTTCATAATAAAACGTTCAAAGATTTATCTGATTGTTAATTTATTTGTTTTGTCTTTAATTAAATTCTTTATTTTATCAACCCTGAAGAATTCTCATCATAATGGATAAAATAAACTTGTGTATCAACCTCTCTAACACTATTATAACAGTACTTATGGTAATTCTTTTCAGACAAACGAAGGAAAAAAATTTTTAACTCTCGACTGAAACGTGTCGTGAAGAGGATGTGTGTAACCGCTGACACAGGTTATTGCGTTAGCGTCTTTCCTCAGCAGGTACTAGTAAAACGGGTATGGTCATGTGTTGAGTGACGTAGTCGCTGACACTCCCTAAGATTGTTCGTCTAATGGTTCCCAGTCCTCTACTTCCTAAAATTATACATTCGGCTTTTTCTTCCTTTCCCACTGAGCAGATCACATGACCAATCGCTCCGTAAGCAAAGAGAGTCTTGAAAGGAAGCTGGAAAATAGAAAAAAAAAGGCGTTCCTTTTTCGTTTTTTGCCGAGTTATGCTGAGGAATGTAATATGGCCATGAAATACTTGCCTTCATTTCTTTGCATTTCTTCTCGTAGCCGCTCAGCATCTCTTCTGCCTGTTGTTCCGCTTTTTCCAACATTCGTTCCCATTCTTCTCGCGGTGGAATGCTCATACAATCTGTAACATAAAAGGTTCTTTATGACTGATAACACTTTTTTCCAAATACTGCAGCTTTTTTTTCCCTTGTTGTTTCTGCGTCGTCTATCAGACTAAATTTTGTCTGTCATTTCATTATATAACGTTACTATCTCCGCGTGACCCTGGGGAAAGTTCGTGTCGCTCACGGAAATTCCCAATTTAATAAAATACGTTACCCTTTCAAGGGCCGCGATCGTTTTGGCCAGCAGTAAGAATCGAAGTTCGATCAGTATCCACTGAGTACACTGAATACCTTCCTGAGACGACAGTGGCATTTTGACCCCAATCTAACGTGAACTTAGAACAATTGACACCTCCATATTGCATTTTTCGCCTAAAAGATTCAGAGGCTCTTGCTACCAACCTCTATGTTTTCATGACGTCACGGTCAGGTCTGATAATGCTTAGGAGCTGTACTGCATAGAAATGATTGCTAAACACATTCTTACTTGCAAATGTTGGTGCTGGAGTGATAGGGGACTCGTAAACATGAACAAACACAACCTGATCTCTCTCCTGTCGGAATTTATCAGCGTACCCTGCAAGTAAAAAAAAACATATTAAGTGGAAACATATGTGGCGAAAACATCATAATCCTTATATTCAAACTAACACTAACTCTCCTCCTATTTTTCCGATCCATTTTAGCCTTGGAACTTCTCGCAAGGTTCGTTAAAGCTTTGGTGCGAGGTCAGAAGCCGAAGTTTTCCCGACCACTCTCCGGGTACTTTACGAACACCTGCATCGGCTTGGAGCAGGTGCTGGCTACCTTGAAATGATAACAATAATTAACTGGCGTATGGCCGATACCAAAATGCTAATTCGCGCTAGGCTTGTGGTAAAACAAAACAAAACATTGCGTTTTTTCTATTCTTTCAACAAAAATAAAGCACCGTTTGAAAAGAACACCTTACAGCTAATAACTGGCAAATCAAACAGCTGATTTCTTTACGTTAGTTTTTTCCCTGAGCAAATGAGTTGTTCAGGATAACGCCTTGACCGTGCCTTCACTTTCGTCGCTTTTACAAGATTGATGAATCTATCGGCTTTCAACGATTGGTATTCACTCTTTATTCCGAAAAAAAGACTAGCTCTAAAATATTCTAGTTGAGGTAGTTTTTGATACCAGGAACTTTCGATAACGTGACGAGAATATTTGAAAATACAAAGGCCTGTTTTGATAAAAAATTCAATGTAGAATCAGTTCTTTAAATCGGCAGTTGTGCATGCCTGATTGCGTTGCAGAGCTCCGCTAGATTGTTCTCCAGAATAGCGAGAACTCATGGAGAATGTTCTTTCTGGGGAAAGCTTACATGCATGCGCGTAAACGTACCAAAAAATGAGAGCGGCCATGGAAATATCAAACACTTTTTACCTGCCTAGAAAATTATATCAAATGAGCGGAATTTGCGACAAGGCAGCGTTAAACACCATGCCACAAGCTTATCATAGAGAGAAAAATCTACGAAATTAGAGCTGCGTAAAAATGTAAATCAGCTTTAAATTCGAAAATTTGATCCCACAGAATTGCAACCTCATGCCAAAATTATGCCATTGGTTCAAGATTGCTAGATTTCGGCAGCAGTTTTAAAAAATACTTCGATCCTTTTTTACTCACATGCAAAGGCTCTCTCGCTGTAGACGCTTCCATCCACTGCCACTAAAATGTTTCTTGGGGATGTCGATGGCATTTTTTGTGACGGTTTCTTCCTATTGAAAAGTGATGCTTTGTGAACGATGATAGCGACGTGTTTGTGTGAGAATCAAGATTGAAAACAAGATATTTTCATTTCGTAGCCCAATTGCTTCCTCTTATTTGGAAAATCCAAACAGTATACTCCAACGGGATTAATAATTAACAAAAACATTGATATAATGTTTTACTTTAGCAAGCTGGTACAAGAAACAGAAAGTGAAATTTATGCTGAACATGGGTTGATTGAAAATCGATTTAATTTTTTTGTTTTGCGCAACAGCTATCTTACAGTGGAACTGAAATTAGTGATTTTAAAGATAAGTTCAATGGTTCCAATTCAAACAACCACGGCACACTACGTTGCTATTATACGAAGCACTATTTTAAAGGAAAGTTAAATATTTAAATCTTTGTAAATTCATATGATGAAAATCGCTTTTTGGCGGGAGAGTGTACCCTGATGTAAGTTTTATTTGAATTCTTACCAATCATTTTTTTCCGAGAGGTTATACGAAAAGGGCTTCCCGGGAGAACCCGTTATTACCAAAGGAAAGAGAACGAAACAGCAACGGAACCGATTTAAGGCGATTCAATAACAGCCGTTGTCTGGTCATGTCATGTAATACGTTCGTCACGCAACGGAATGTTTCGTGACGAGACAAAACATCGGCTTCCCAAGAGGTAGTGTTTATGTCTTAAGGAGTAAATCGAAAGTTGAACGAAACAACAACTTAGTATGCGAAGAAAGTTTAGATAATAATGTTTATAAGGTTATTCACGACAACATAAAAGTATTAAACATTTTCAGAGTTTAACTTTGAAATAGGCTGTATTGTCTTAGAGGAACTACGCTAATGAGGAGTCTGAGAATCCTGAATCGATAAAGGATATGTAGCAAAACATGAAGGGCAGCGAGTGAACGAGACAAGTTTTTTTAACCCATTTTTGGATTACATGGGACGTAAAGAAACTTAGTTACCCACAAATTACCAACAATTACCTCTATAGATTAACCCTTAAAATTCTAAGATCTCAATAGTAATTCTCCTTACTGTCTGAAATACAATTCTTATAATTTGGAGATTTTGGTATTGGATCAACTAATAATCCCTAATTGATATTCTACTTTATTCTCATCACTTCTATGCTTTATATTGTATTCATATCGTAAGGAGAAATTCTCTCTTGGTCACTCATAGAAGATAAAGGATTAAAACGATAATCTCTCTTCGGATTCGTTGTTAGATAATAAGACAGCAAAAAAATCCTCGTTAAAACTCTTTCAGTTTTTTTTTGACGATTAACGAACATTCAGTTGCCGTAGAGTACTAATTTAATATCCTCAATAAGTTGTTACAAAATTAAGATCGCACTCTTTCGGAGAGGTGATAGACAAACTAACTTAGAGTAGGCATTTCCGGAATTTTTTAAGCCTGAGTTTTTCATGTTTAAAATTGAATGTTTCTTAATATTAATCCTCTCCGGTTCGTGATTATCCACCCCTAAAGTTTATTTTTTCCTTTCCTAATAAGCCATTATTTTTCAGAGATATATCTTTTCAATAGCCTTTCTACATCTGCACAATGAGTTCAATTAACGAACAAAGTTTTTTACAATCTCGGTACCAGACCTCTCAAGCTAGATTTCAATCGTTCGAGAAGGATCTGAGAACAAGTTTCATCCTCAGAAATGTGTTTTTGGGGGGACAAGTAAAACCGGAACCCGTGAATGATGAACCACGTGATCACTGACACTTCCTAATATGGTCCTTCGGAAAGCACCGAGTCCCCGATTTCCAAGTACAATGCAGGTGACGTTTTCGTCTTTAGCCACTTTACAAATGGCGTCTCCCGGTGATCCGAGTTCAATTCTGGTTTTGAATGGTATCTGAAATGAACAAACGGTTGCTTTTAAATTGCGTTTTAATCTTAGAGGCTGTTGCGAAGGCTTCACGGTTGGGTCAGCTTTATAAAGCTTGGTTACCTAGGCACTAGCATAGGAGCGAACGGTAGTGGGGAAGCACACAAAACAAGCATCAGCACACGCGGATTGTTTTTTTGGCGGAGGGTCTTAATCTTTAGCGTGGGGTCCATTTTTCCTTCTTTAGGAACTAGAGTTTTGACTGACCTGAAGATGTTTACATTTCTGTTCAAATCCCTCTAGCATGCCTGAGGCTTGCGCATTTGCTGCCCTCAAAATGTTCTTCATTTCATCAACTTGAAGTTCCGAGGCATCTGATGTGAAAAAATGCAAATGACATATTTTTTCGCGTATTTGATCATATGCGCATGTAAAATGCACGTTACAAATAATAAATATCATTGTTATTATTATTATTTCTTTGATATGGTCACTTAATGACTAAATACCCACCGACTGCAGCGTGACAAGTCACACAACTTACCTTGTGAATCATCCTTGGAGTATTGTTTGACATGATCAAGTGAGCTGTAAACATGAAGTAAGATAATTTCCTGTTTTTCTTGTCCATAATTGTCTACGTACCCTGATGGAGAGAGGAACAATGTAAAACAAGAACTTTAGCGATTTTCGACCGTACCTCATGAATGTTAGAGTAAGCGAACGAGAAGACTACGAGTAGAGAAGAGCAGCAGCGGGTCATTTATTCCCTACTCCCTCCCCCCTTCACCTTCCCTTAGCCCCTCCTCCCCGCTCCATACCCGTTGTCAAGGCGTTTCAATTTTTGGTTATCTGTAGTTTCTATGTAAACACTGTTTAACTCCGGAGTTAATTAGATTGGCCGACTCAGGTATGTCAACCTAATAAAACGGTAAATTTCGACCAACAGTTACCTCAAATAAGTGAGCTGACAGGATAACAACATGTTTGTTTAGTATCAAATGGATGTTTACCATCCATTGAAAACGCTTGACAGTATTCTGCTAGTTGAGCAGCTGCAATCTGCCATTATGTCATACCGCGGGTTGAAGAGAAAACGCTTGACATTTATCACTATTTTCACGACGGGAAAGGCAAACGAGATAAATTTCTCGCCTAGATCGAAAGATAATTTTAAAATGCGGTTAATAGCTGATTCTGATTCTTAAAATCGTCTGAAATTAAATTGCGACGAATAAAATTTTCTCGTCGGCTTTTTTGAGTGTGTTACTACTGAAGTCTTAGTTCTATGCTTTCGCTTGTTTAGTATAGCGAACTAAGTTGTCAAAAAAAGTCTGTCAAAATTGAATAAGTGTGTGAGAGACAATGAGCTCTTCATTGAGAGCTAGAGATAAAACCTTTTCATTTCTTTAGGACCCTTCATCTCATGTCGGAAGAAGATTTTGAGCTCGATTATGTGCTAAAATCCCAATAAACTTTTTTTTAAAACCTTGACTTGTACATAAATCTAGTTTTATGCACGTCAATTTGGTGGGCAGCTTCAAATATGGACAAGAGAAATTCGTTTGTATTCTCCAAGAGAAACAAAGCGTAAATATTAAAATTCAGGTTTCCAGATGACGCCAATTAAAATGAGTTTTTTCGCTCAGGATGAACATCGTATTTCTCGCTTGTTGTGTTTTCTTTTCTTTTTAAAAATTGCAAAAATTTTATAGTTATGACAGCAAGTGATGAATTTTACTCTACTTGTGGGTTTTCCTTTTGCTCAGGAAGTTACTCAAGTCAAACCGCATTCGTCAGTCAAATATTATTTGAAAACAAGCTAATAATATGAATTAGCGGGAGATCACGAGAAAAACTGTCAGCTTTTGCTGTAAGATGTGTCAGAATAAAAAATCGAAAAGTTTTCGAATTTTGCGAAGACTCGGAAACTTCGTATTTTGCACAGATCACTAGACGTTAGCCTTTTGATTGAACGAGGCGAATTTTGCAAGCGCAGAGAGAACATTTTGCATTTCATTTTGCATTAGAAAGGTAGACTTGGCAGACTGTCGTTCTTATCCACAAAATTATTGCTACCCCTTATACTTTTTTAAATTAGATCAACTGTTTAAAATACGGCTGAAATTTGGAAAGTTCATGGAAATTACTTTTCAACAATTTATTTGGCGTGAGCATGTTTTTTTTTTACGGTCTCAAACCGGAGTAAACACTGTTGAAGAGATCAAGCTTTATGCTGGATTTTCATTGTTGCGTCAATTTATTCACGCAAACAAAGGAGCGTTCATTTTGCTGGCGGTTGATTTGCGTGCATATAAGAAAATAGAGACAATGTAAGGGGCGTCTTGCGTGCAAATCGGACATCAATAAGTTCTATCATCCAAAATAACGGGATCGCGCAAAATATTTTGCTCGTGCAAGATATACTTACAGTCAAAAGCTCTGACACAATGTTCCTTTTCGTCGATCGGTACAAGAATCCGTTTCGTATTAGCCATCCCTGTAGCGCAGGAAGTTTTTGATTCCAAATTGTCGTGCGATTAACAAGCGAAGAAGCCGTGTCCTTCACAAATACAGTAAAATTATAAAATATTCATGAACACTGAATAAATGAATATTACATGACGGGATAAAAAGAAAAACACAAACTCATCCGCAAAAATGTCTCAATAATTTTGACATTTACAACTGCGAGGATCATCCCATTAACATTTAATATAAATTGAATTATTAGACATATTTTGTCCTTACCTATCGGACCGTGTAATTTTTTCAAGGAGATAATTTTCTATTTTGGCGAGTTCCGAATTTGAAAGACGGAGCATCAGAAATCGGACGGAAAAATCCGAAATTGGACGGAAAAATCCGAAATTGAAAAGACGCCTCTAAAATCAGTCGGAACTCTAAAACAGGCGAGGCCGTCCGAAATTGGACGGAAGCGTCCGAAATCAGACAGAAGCGTCCGAAATCGGACGAAAGCTTTAAAATTGTTAAAAAGGGTCTGAAATCAGACTGTACCGTCCAAAATCGGGCAAATGCATCCATGTATGATGAAGCCGTCCGGAATTGGGCAGATCTGATCGTAATGGATCCTCGCTCGGTATTCTATTTGAGATAATTGTAAGAGGACCTATATCTCCGAAAATGGAAATATGGGGCATCAGTTAAAACTGAAACGAACGCAGGAAGAAATGTTAAGAAAAATGAGTGACGTCTGAGCAGTAAATAGCTCCCCGTTTATACTCTGTTAGCAACGACTGTTCTCCTCTTAAAATCCTCTCCCCTCTCCCCCTCAGGTGATAGATAACGATTGATTGCTGAAGGATTTGGCCTTTTTAGCGAACTGAAAAGAAAATGGGAGGTCAACTTGATGAATATTTTATTAATGCGGCAACTGATGTCGCACACAAAGTTAGAGTTATTGAAAACATTTTACATTAGGGTCGACCTCGTGCATTTTCAAACTCTTTAAAATCAAATCTACAGCACTGATGCTTTAATAATGAAATTCTACTTCTTCTTATAATTTGATGAAAAACGTGATTGATTACAACTTCATGAATCCATCAGTTAATGTCTTATGATCATTAATTATTTTCATCTTTGACCAAGTTTCCTCAGAAATGTTTTAGTCCAAAAAAACACCCCTCGTTTTCCCATATCTATAGTTACTTTGAAATGAGCTCAGTGGCGAAGAGTCTTAAGCTCGAATGAGAGTGATGCCTTTTGAGATTCGATTTTGATGAGTGTCAGAGCCCACTTAAATTTACAATAGAGAAAACTTTATAAACGTACCTTTTTGCAAGCGATACTGTTTGAATTGTTAAAACTGTATTGTCAAAAATAATTAATTGCCCCCCTGGTGAAAAGACTGAGGCACTTGTTTCTTACTGTATTAGACTCATCAACCAATATGGAGCAGTACTACAATGTCACTTAATAAATGTCTAAGTGTTTAAAAGCTGTCTTAATCGCAGCACATCAACATTACCACGTGTGGTATTATTACTTGTTAAGTTATTTGAAGGCTCCAGGATCTGGCCTCTCTTGTGTAGGATTGAAACTATCTCGTTTGTTAGCTGGATGCTTTGCTGACTAACGAATAGAATCCATCTGAGTATCCACGTCAACGAGATTTGAGAAACAGCAGTGGCCAATACAGAACCCACTAGGGTATCAACGTGAAAAAGATTCGAGAAACATCACTAGTTATCTTTAGAGTCTTGATTGGGGGAAGGGGATCATAGAAAATATAAGTGATATACAACTTCCTTAACAGGGATTATCCAAGGAAAAGGCTTAGGAAAAATTGAAAAAAATAGAGGAAGCTTCCTTTATCACGGATTCGATCTCAACTTTTGTTCACCTCTTAAGTAACATTGTAATGTCATTATTTTACTAAAATGGTCAAGAAAAATTTTGAGTCCGAGGCACATTTGTCTAAACTGTGAAAACTTTCTAAACCTAAGTTGTAATTACAAATACATAGTTTCTTTGACATGATGAATTCTGCAACACTTCCAACTGGACTTATGATACGGTTGCCTCGAAATTTTTCTTGAGAATCCAAAAATTATGATTTTTCATGAGCACGCGTTAGTATTTCCCTTTTTATATTTTAAATCTTCGTTTCTAGAAAGTCTTCACTACTTCTATCACTTGCAGACAAAATTGCCACGGTACAAGCTGCATTCCGTCTTTTCTTTGGCAGCTCCGGTGACTCATAACACGGATGAGTTGTTGTTCTATTTCGGTGGGCAGTCATATCTTCATCTAAATGTTTAAGACAGGGTCCATTACTAAAAATTGCCTTTTTCCCTGAGAAAGGTGACCCATTCTGCTTGGAAAAAATCTGCTTACGATCAGCACTAAAAGGGTCAGATTTTAGTTCATTTTCATTATCTTCCTTTGAGGTTCCATTATAAGAGTCTCTATCATCTTGTGGCATTGCGCAGAGAAGAGAATCTGATAGAGATTTTCGTTTTTTAAGTGGAGTTTCCACAGAGGATAAGTAATTGCTATTTGACTCTTGCGAAGATCTATTGCCAGAGTCCACGGAAGGCCTTTTAATAAATGAAGATTTAACATCCCCGTTTGCGATGATCTGGCCTCTTGAATCATCTTGTCGTGGTTTCCCAAAATTGCTTCCCTCTAAAAACCACTTTGCTCGAATATTGTCTTCTCCAGAACCTATCACTGGAACCAATGGATCGAATTCCCTCTGTATTGTACTGTTTATTTGTTCGTCGCTGCTAAGGTGAGTGGGGGAATATCCCGAGCTCTCGGTATTGGGATGTGGGGAGGATTCCTGAGTTTGTTCCACCTCTAATGGTGTCAGTTGAATGTTTTCTGGTACTTGACTATCATTACTACACCCACCATGCGCAGCACTCCTCTCAGCACGTGACAGTTTTTCGGATGTCTCATCTTGCTTCTGCATATCTCTGCTCTCTTCATCCGGGACAGTGCTCACTTTTCGTGGCATAAGTGTCCCGGATGTTCGGCGAGGTCGCCTTCTAGGAAGACCTTGGAAATTTACTGCTTTGTTATTGTCTCCAAACCCTGGATTAGAAAACAAAGAAAGAATGCTGAAGCTAAGAAATTAACCTCTAATAATTGACAGACGGACCGAGGAACGGATCGACCAAAAGATTTATAGGGGATTCAGTGACACACCGAGTGACTGTTTGACGTGACTGACCGACCAAACACAACTGACCGACAACTGATCGACCTATCAACCTCAGCTGACTGACAACTGACGACCTACCAACCACAACTGACCGACCGCTGACTGACCTACCAACACTAGCTGACCGTCAACTGACTGATCAACCACCCCCAACTGACCGTCAGCTGACTGACCAACCAACCCCACCTGACTGTCAACTGACTGACCAACTAACCCCAGCTTGCCGTCAACTGACTGACCTACCAACCCCACCCGACTGTCAGCTGACTGACACGGTATTTACATAATCATTATTTTGTCCTTACCTCTCGGGTGCAGTTGGGGACTTGGTTTCAGTAATGGAGATGATACACTTCTTTCGTCTTCATCTGCTGTCAGAAGATCTACATCTGACTCATGTATAGTTCTAGCTGTGGCTCTGCGCAGCTCTAGGAGTGGGCTGTGGGGCATCGAGGATCTGAGCGATGTTCGCTCTGTCATACAGCTCATTTCCACATCCACGTGGTTCGGTAAAGCACAAGACTTCTTCTTTCTCCGCGAGCTCAGTTCCTGATGCTTTGTCAGTAGACCCGGGACGCCCCCAAGGACAAGTCGATGCTGCTTGACTGGAAGCTTGAGCCTCGCTTGCGCATGCGCGTAGTACAAGTTGAAGTTACTACCGATGACCGAAATCGGCAGAGCAACGATCAACACACCACAAACTGCGCAGGCGCCTCCGATGATTTTGCCCGGCCAGGTTTGCGGGGTGAGATCACCATATCCCACAGTTGTCATGGTAATAAGGCACCACCAAAAGGACTGTGGAACTGAGTTAAAGTGTGACTTTTTGTCCAGTATGATTTCAATATAGTACACGATGCTGGAGAACATGACCACTGGGATCAAGAGCATGAGAAGAAGAAGAACTAGTTCGTGGGAACTGGCCTTCAGAGTGTGGATCATAATTTGGAGACCATAAGACAGCTTTACAAATCTGCAATTAAACAGGTCAAATCACATCACCCGTATCTTAAGAAGTTTATTAATAAGGCAATGATATTATAGGTTGTCTCTGCTAAAGGGTACAAGGTTATTGACATACCTGAATAGTCGCATTACTCGAATGACCAAGAACATTTTCACTTTTTCGTCCTCCGTCAGAAACGAGACATAAAATGGCAAAATCGATATCAGATCAATCCAATTCATAGGTCTCTTGAAGAAAAAAAGCTTGGAGGGGCAAAATATGACTCTCATTAGAAACTCTAAAGTAAAAAAACTGCTGCAGACAATTTCGAGAACAGACAATCCATCACGTCTGCCTAAGATCTCATCGTCTAATCGAATTCCTGGTAATGTGGAGACACAGAATGCAGCAATTGACAAACTGATGAAGAAGCAGGAGAGATATGAGACGATCTGTTGAAAGAAAGTGGTAAAAATGGACATGAAAATTGAATATTTGCCATCATATTACAATATTTGTTGCATTGTTGATCCTATTAGAATTATCGCACTAGAGCAGCGATTCATTTAAAGATAAAATGAGCAACATGTGCTGCGCCGCAGATGATTATGTTTATCTCCGTACCATTTGATGCAGAAAAAAGTATAATTCACTCTCTGAGACAAAATGCAGTAATTTTTCATCATAATGTCGTAAATTTTCAACCTCAATTGCACAAGAATTTTAGCACAAAATTTTTTATAACTTCGAAGCAAAAATATAACAAAATTTCGACGCTAAATGTGGTAAATTTTCAAAGTGAAACGTGGTGATTTTTATATAAAAAAAAATGAAGTAATTTTTTTGCACAAAAAACAGGAAATTCCCAACTCAAAAATTGGGAAACGTTATATTGCAGAATGTGGCGACTGTTCCATTGAAATTGTGGAATATTTCGAACTCAAAATGTTGTATCTTTGCGGTACAGAAAGAAGTAGATTTTCAGAAGGAAACGTGGAACAAGGGATGTTTTTACTGACGCATAATGCAGCAAAACAGACGACATGCGACATTTATAATATCATGTTACGAGAAGCATGCTGGGCACCTGTACTCCCACGCGTTTACAGCAAGCATGCGCAATAGAGTTACCCTAGTAGTGACATCATAAGTATATAATTCAATATTTATAGCTTACACTACAGAATTCTTCCTTCAAAGTGGGTTTTAGGTACTAAACTCTTCTTTGCATGAATCTACTCTGTCTTTGCAGTTTTTGTCTATTTGTGGGTAGTAAAGAATCATCAGAAAAATCGATAGGGGAACACAGAAAATTTAAAAAGAAAACAATGGCTGTAAAAGCAGAAATTTTTGGTACTTTCTTTGAAATTTGTTTTATTTGCGAGGTTTCTCTTTATGTTACTTAGAGGAAACTCGAAATTCTAGATCTGAGTAAAATACAAGAAAGGCACTGAATCGAATTCTAAATATGCGTTTTCGGAATATGAAATGTTTCTGTATTTTTGTTCGCTGCCGTTTTCCCTTGAAACCATGGTTATCAGAATATCAATCAAAATTAAACAAACAAAAATTTAAGAAGAAACAGCATAATTTCCTTCCCTAAGAACACTGAATTTACGCTTTCTTAAAAGGAAGGACAAAAGATCGCTAAGCAATGTGTCAACAGTAAAAGAAAACTAGCATAATGCAATTAATAACCATGATTATTTCAGGTGACGTCATAAACACCTGTCAGTCATCGTGTTCTTATTGGTTGAAATAATTTCTCCAAATCATGAATTAATTACTGCTTGTTAGTTAGTGCGAAATGTAACCTGAAGTTAGGGTGTTTCGCGAAGTTCCCCTCTTTAAAATATATTGTCCTAAATCTAACAACAAAGAAAAGTAGATGCGTAAACATATATTCGGACGATCGATAGGGGTTTGGTAGAGTTTATTTTTTATGATTTGTCCGAGCGCTTTTTTTGGTTGTTGTTGAGACAGTTGATTTTAGGCCGTTTCTCTCTCTTTATGCTATCTTACGAGTACAAAACATAGGTTGTTATTATATTTCTTGAGCAGTTTTTTCTGACAATATAAAACGTAAGCTTTTGGAATGCGGATATCGTTTGCTTGAAAGAAAATATTTCTTTAATTTTCTCTCCTTTGCTTTATAATCCTAAAGTGTAAAAAAAATATTTATTCATTTCCACAGTGAAAGTGGCTTTTCGCGCGCTTAAGTGCCAGTCGATTTCCTTTCTTTGCTCTGCTGTAAATTACGCAAATATTGCTACACGGAAACGTTTCTATCACTTATGGTCATGAATTTTTAGAAGAAGCAAAAACGAAGAAGAAAGAAAAATTTTTGATGCCTCAAGCCAGATTGACTGGTCAGGAAAAGACAATTAATAATCTTGCTCGTCGCTAGCAGTTTATGCATAAATAATAAAAAGCTAAAAGTTTCAAAACAACATCGCCAATGGCTGTGTATGTTTTGTAATCTCGTTAACAAACTTTGTTCCTCTGGGGTCACTTTTAAAACAAAAGTAGCCTTGAAATTAGAAAATATCGGGCAAGAAATGAGTACAACTCAAAAAAAAATAAATTGTGTAACGATTCTAGAGAACCGATGTTGACCTTTCCCTAAAATAATGTGCAACAGCTATTAAATGAGGCAACCTGTCTCGCTGTAGTTTTTACAACACGAAGGCTGTATCTTGACAGACAAATTCAAACCCGAGTGATGGTTTCAATTGAATTTATCATGAATTACATGTTTTCATTTCCGAAAAGTCTGTAAGGTTTTATCAAAACTACTAAGTCAATTTTATTTTACCGCAAAGTCGCCGCTCCGTAACAACAGGTCATTAAAGAAATAAACTGCTAACACACTGAAAATCTTTTAAAATAATTATTTCATACCTTTGCCAGCTTAGATGAATGAGGTTCATCCAAAATATTCCAAATTTTAGGCTGTATTCTTTTCCAAAAGTTATCTTTCTTCTCATCGATGCCAGATATGTCAGAAGAGGATCTCTCAAGGTCATTACTTTTCAGGTGCTCGAAGTCGGGGCCAACAAAGGCTTTCAAATTTTCTTCGGCTTCTCGATGCTTTGTATATGTGGTCCAGCAACAAGGTTCCATTTGTTTTTCGTCAATTCCCCAAAAACAAAGTTCTTCTTCGAACATGGGTCCGCACATATCTGTTGGATAATGTAGTTTGCCGGTACGATAGTAATTCAAAATTTGCGTAAATGCACCCGGATGGCGATCATAAAAATATTCTCGTTTTCCAGAGCTTTCCGTATCATGATTCTCCGCTATCCAGTAAAGTCTGGTATCAGGAATATTCTTGAGTGTAGAGACATGAGTCTCGTGTCGAAATCCTCCGACGTTGATGAAAATTCGGGATCTGTCGGACCCGTCAAACTGCGAGCCTCCTCCAAAATCCATCTTGAAATACTGCTACGTTTAACAGTTCGCGGTTTCTAGCGATGTTGATGAAGTGGCTCAATTAAACAACGGATTTATTTCATAAATCAAAGATATTTTGTAGTTAATCAGTTGCGAAGATGATTTTCCGAGTCCTTGAGTTAAATCAGTCGAATACTAGAGTCGAGATGCCTTTTTCGAGCTAACACCCTGTAGGAGAACAGATTAAAAACATCACTTTCATGGCGGTTCTATTTGCACAAGCACACGGGCAGGTGATATTAGCAAAGCACCAAAGAAGATCCTCACGTTGATAATTTCATTAGCGATGAGAGATTTGGGGAGGAAGTTATGAATTTATCAAGCAACTTCCAGAAATCTTTTTGCCATAGCCTAACAAAAAGGTCAAACAACGACGGGGTATTTTGATCATCTCAATTGTACCTTTTTCTGCTAAACGCAACATTTCAAATGAGTTCACAGCCAGGCAAATATTGGGTCGAAGAAATGGTGTTTAGACAATGGATTGTTTACAAATTGCTACTATAGAATCAAAACCAGTTGAAATCTCCGACTGTTCGTGCTATTAGCGAAGATAAAATAGAGACGCGAAGGCCAGCCGAGTTTAGTACCTAGAACCTTCAAACACAGTAAATAAGTTCCGCAACAATAAGACAAATTCTAGTCGCTGACACTTTTACGATACCTTCTTAACCTTGCGGTGCGTTTTGAAAATTTCCTTTCAAAACGTAATTCGCTCGATGTTGGTCGTTCTATCCTTTATCTGCCACTGCTTACAACGCGAAGCCCGATAGCTGTTAGAAAAACAAATTCTGTGGACATTTCTCGGAGGGCGTGAAGACGTCTGTAAACTAAATATCTCAATGAACGAAAATCCCTTCGGCTTTAGCACTGCATAAAAGGCAACAATGAATTTCTCAACCACGTTAATTAAGGTGTACACCTGACCAAAAGTACTAAAACTATTGAACTAAAAACTTGTAATAGCTACCCGTGCTTTCAACGCATAAATTTTATTTTTACTCGCTTTTAGCTTGAATGTAATGTAGCAAAAAGACCTTTCTATGCACTGACACATTTTCTCGGTTTATTTACCTAAAATGCGAAGAAAAATTAATTAGATATATTCATCCCTTTATAAAACTGCTTAAATTGGCGCAAATTGCGTTGGCAAGGAACTTTAGACACAAAGCCACGAAGATGAAAAGTTTGACAGTGCATTAAAAATTCTCCCCTAATTATGGGACAGCTAAAAGTACATCTCCTGTACATGCACCATTTCGATAATTAAAAAACCTCATTAAGTTTCAAGAACATTTACGGACAATTTGAGGTCCAAACTGTCATACAGTGGGAAATGTAAAACCATATTAGGCCCACACTACAGCTTTAGAACCGCGACAAATGACAATGATAATTTTTAGAGTTTATACAATTATGTAATTGCAAAACTCACTTTAGCTTTCAGGTAATAAGACAAAACAAAAACAAAAAAGAAAACAAAATGACTCTCTATTTAGATTAAAAAAAATTCACAGTTTTATGAATTCAAGTTTGAACCGGCGCATTCGCTTTGCTGCCATAAGGGACGAGCAGGCAGCTTGTTCAAAAGAAGGCTGTGTTTACCTAATGAATATAGTGGCGTAGAGAGAATGACAATATAATTGAATGCTCCACACATGATCACGTATTACGGGATTTTTCTTAGCTTTGTAGCGGATCAGGCTGATATCTGCTCATCTAACTCTGATATCATATATTATATTATATTCTCATATTTTATCGTATAAAATGTGTAGAATGGTGAACCCCTGCTGAGATGCAAGTTGTAGCCCTCAAGCTCAATAAACATAAAAAAAACAACAACAAAAAGCGAATTCTGCCTTTTTTTTTTAGAAAAATATAAATCCTCACTTTTTCCCGATCGAGGTGAAAATTCAACCAAAAAACAGTCACTTACATTTTCGCCAGTTTCCCTTGAGGCAAATTTAAAAGTATTCCGTGCATAAAGTAATAATTCCTCAAGACACATCATTGATTTAAATGTAGAATAAAGATGCTTTGTTTGTCATCTGTGTTTTAGACAAACGACTCAAACTGTGTCTGTTTGTTGTTTTTAATTTTCATAAAAGTGTAAACGAAACGTGATCACGCGTGATCTCGTTAACGTATCCAACAGGAAATAGATGACGTCAGATGATTAAAACATATCAATTTCTTTGAGCCACTGGTTTATCTTCCTTTGCTAAAATTTTATTGGCTACCTTAAGTAACCAAACCCTTAAGTGACGTTGTTTACTTTGAAGACTTCGGTAAGCGTCAAATTGACAACAATAGTTCTTATCAGCAAATTCGTGCCTGAAAAAAACAACCGATTGGCCATTAATATTTTGAAATGTGTTGGAAACTTCCTACTTCAAAGTCGCAGAATAACTTTTAAACATGGATGGTTCGTGAGTACATTTCTTCGAAAAACTTCAAGGATTTGAACGAAGATAAACATCATGACTTTCTTCAAGAATAAGGAGTCAAAATCAAGCTCTTGAACACTTGTCCATGTGTTATTTCTTTCAATTTCTTATGAGATATATCTTATTACATTTGAGTCGGGTACTTTCCTTCGTGAAAAACACTTTCTTCAATTAAAATAGTATACTTGAAACTACTGAGTAGTTATTTCATGTTTTCGCTTGTAGAATGTTGATTGCGTGTTGTTAATTTTCTTTGAATCTCCTTTCGGTTGGCATTCAATTGTTTGTTAAAGTAACTCTATAATAGCTCAAATCAATTTGCTTTCCCTCGAAAAGAATAAAATTTCAGTGATCACACAAGTATTTAACTTGTTCCAAATTTGTGGTCGTGCCGATTGAAAGTTTATGTACATATTCTATTACATTTGATAAATGGTATTGCAAGAACTAAACAGCTCACCTAGAAATAGGATTATTAAATTTTTTAAAGAACAGTTAAAACTACTTTATCCTATCAAAACACTCGATTCAAACATCCTTTTATGTGTTCGAGATTTGAAAATAGAAAAGTTATCATGCTGCTTATTAAATTTTACACTCCTACCCAGACCGCTCACGGCCCAACAGTTTTCCGTTTTCGAAACGACAGAGACTAGTTGGAACCTTCAAAGTGATAACCAAAAAAGGCAATTAGCCGCTCTATAGCAGCTTTAGACATTTGAGATAGTTTCTCAGTATTAAATGAATGAGATCTGTTTCGCAGTGGAGTTCCTCAGCTCCCTAGTTCAACAGTTCCTCAGTTACACCTTCAAGGAACGACACAGAAACAATTTCAAACTCTATGCAGGCTGCAGGAAGGCTTTTGAGGCGCCTAAATAGCCTACGCTTAAGGTAGTGTATCTACAAAATATCAGATATGCTTTACAAAGAGTCATGCTTATGGGCATTTTTAAATGTGTATTCAAAATACGTTTTCAAAAAATTTTTTAGACCCGTTACCAACATGAATATGCGAATAAGATATGACTTTTCCTTTAGTTAATGATAATACTGAGTTTTTAACAGTTCCTACCAAAGTGAACTACTTTATCAAGGAATGAATTATTTAGGCAGTCATGCTGTATGACATACGTCAGGGAACATTATTTCTGCTTTGAACAGAAAAATCTTTAAACAGAATCTTAAACTTTAAACGGCCTTCATACTAGTAAGTCGGCATCAATTTTTACGAAATGCCCCGCGCTCTGATGAAAACTTTTAAATGGTTAGTCTGGCCTGTTTTCATTGAAAAATTTTTTCATCGTGTGTTTTCGGCACACACAGTCAGAAAAGGCAATCTATAATTTCGAAATTTGTAAACGATGCTCCTGCGCCCAGACATATTTTTTCCGCTGAGTCTAGATTTATAATCTAGCCATTATGCAAAAAAAGGTGCTACACATTTTGAAAACACTTTCATTGTTTTGACATTTAAGAGCTTTTAAAAACAACAGCTACCTTTTTATGTAAATTTCTGTTTGCCCTGACCTTCGCATATAAAATTTTTAAACTGTTTCCAAATTATAATATTCTTTTTCGGAGGAAAGCACATTTATCCTTATTCATGTCGTGTGCAGTCTTTTTTATGTGCTTTGTTAAGATTCATATTTCATAGAGCAAAGAAAAAATAGATTGGTTAAAGAAATCGGTGAATTAAACGAAAAAACTAAATTATCTGACGTTTCCTAACAGTTGCACTGTAAACGATTTAAGTATCTCAATGATTGCCTTTGAACGCTTTATGCATGTAGCTTTGTAGACAGGCGTTTTCTACATTTACTGAGGGTAATATATTTTGGGGCGTGTAATGTAATTGCAAGACCTTAAGACTTAAGCCTGCAATTTTAAGTGCAGAGAATCTGCTCGAGGTGTTTTGAATAAAACTTCATTTCCACTCTAAGTTTCCGTCGTTTATAAACTCACAATGTAAAGTATGCTCTTATTTTGGCTCCGGTTTTGCCATCGATGTTGATAAAAACACGTTAGTAATTGATATGAATTTTTTCTTTCTTAGCAGAATTTGAAGACAGTTTCTATTAAATTTCCACGTACAGTTCAATTCGAGAAACTTAATCGTAAGCGACCCTCTGCCTCATCTAATGGTTAAATACATGGAGGGTTTTTTTTGAAAAAGGGACTATAGCCGATGAGAACGAGTTTTAATGCAGCATCGCGAAAAGCCTTCCATAATAAACAAACTTACCACTTTTCCGCAATCGATACTATGTCAGCTCACAGTTATCGTTCGATTTGGAACAGGATGCAACAGATATTACAAAACATCGACGATATTGGACAGGAAAGTTAATAACTTACCATGGAAATAAAAAAAGCAATCAGTTTACTTCACGAAACAAGAATTACTCTCGTGTCGGCGAGGTGGCTTAGGCGACGGGCAACACACAGAGATCATTTGAATTTGAATAGAAAGGTTTCTACGTAAATTGATCGCCACTATTTTTTTCAGTAAGGCCATAAGGCATTCTTGATACTCTCATTGCAAAAACAATGGAAAAAAGACATCAAAAGAGGCGCTCACCTTTAATTGAAAACGAATGTATTAGATACACTAAAAATAAAGTCATGTTTGAGTTTACGATTAAAAATGCTCACGATACAATATTGTTTCAGCATTGTCTTGACATTAGCTAATATAAAATTCGGCTTTTATTCCATAGCTGTGTCAACAACATGCAAAAATGTTTGAATTTCGGAGTCGATGTGAAACTGTGGTATAACAGACTTCTTAAATTATTTTTACTAATTAACATACAAAGTAGCTTGAATTTTTTGTTGTAAAAGAAACGAGATTTGACCGACTTAACTAATAAAAGATTACGATTGCTGCCATTTTTCGATCATTTTGTCAGTTTCAGCCAGTATGCGTTACCCTCTACCGTAGGGAAAACTCGAAATCGCAAGGCTCCAAAACGAAATCGGGGAAGCGTGCGTGAATGTTCAGAAATACAACTATGAGTTTAAGGTGGCACTGTAATCAAATAACCTTTTTTCCTGGTTAGATAATCGCTACGAACACTTTAAAGAAAATGTTAGGCTTATGATTTCTTGCCAAAACCTAATTTTCTGATCTCAGTTAAAGAAATTGTAAGAATTCTCCTCTTCATTTGTCATGCTGCATTTAATCTTTCAAACGTGCAAAAAATGTTCAAGGAATCTCTTAAGTGACTGGAATTTCATAAAGCTATCAACTTCCTGTTTCTATATCATCAGCAGCTTCGTAATCATCTTCTTTCCATTTCTGTCATAATTTTTTGGAGTATATGTGACCATACAGATTTCTGTAAACTTCCGTACATAAAACTTACACAGATAAAATTTCAAAGTTGTTACAACGTTACGAAGCACTTGAGGAACGTCTCAAGGAAAATGTAACATGTTAGTTAGTATCAAAACAAAACACACATGTGTTTCGAAATTACCGCAGTCGAAATTTGTGATAATTTTTTTAAGGAAGGCTAAATAATTATCATCAAAGACTTTTTCGATTATTTTTCATTTGCTCAACATTCTTTCGTTTGAAAGCTTTGCATCAAAGCAGTTCATGAAATAGTTTGCATCCCGTTCTTTAAATGAAATAAAACATGAAAGCTTATTGGTTTTTAGAGACAATTGTTCCCAAGTCTGCGTAAACAACACTACATGGAAAATTGGCTTCCATCGTACAAAGTCATTGGCAATTATAAGATTTTTTTTTAACCTTGCAGAGTTTCCAATTTAGAAGGTTGTCTTTCATTATTGACATATGCAATTTAAAAATTAATTTAAATTTCTGACATTTTAATATGCCTTTGAACTTCAATTCAGTTGTCGACCAAGATACAAGTACGAATTTTTAATGCTAAGCAACACTGTACCATCTGTAATTCGAAATAGCTTTCCTATCACTCGAATTATTTTTATTTTAATTTTTTTCACGACGAAAGGTGTCGACAATTCATCAACCTGAAATACAATGGTATATCTTAAATTTGTATATGTACCCCACGATTCATCTCGCTACAAAGGATGGGGTCGAACAATTTCAACATCTTATTCAATGCTTCTTCCTAAGCAAAAAGAACTTAATATTTGCTGGTGTACAAAATTCAGACTTTGCAAATCATTGTGATTCAGAATCATACTCAGATTTAAACAGAATGTTCAAACAAATTACCAGTTTTTTGTAAGCTTAAGGTATTGTTTTAACAGCGAGTAGTATTATTAAATAGCAAACAGCGATGGCTTCAGTCGAAAGTCAAGTTTTTATGAAAAGCACTTCACGTCTTGAAAAAAATCAAATTTGCAGTAATGGCTTCAGAGTATCTACACTAAATATTTCTGATGTTGATGAAATCGTTGGTTGGTACAAAGGATGGTTTCATTTCAGTTGTGATACATTCAGCGTTATAATCTGCAAATCGTTCAAAAGAAGTTTAAGACGATTCCTCGTATCCGATCGGCGGTGTATTCGGTAAATTGCTAAAACTTCAAAGCATTCTTGATAAAATTTTGACCTCAAACCTCTATTGGAAATTCTCTTAAGTCTCCATCAGTGATCAC